TTCTTCCTAGAGCCTAGATTTATAGGACAATAATGAGGTAGAAGGATATGAATGTACATACCAGCGAGCATTACTTGACCCCCAAGGGCATTACTGAAAGGAGCATCCAGAAAAGCACAATTAATTCAAAATAGAGGGATCCTTAAACTGATATCCGGACTACATTCATGGTCAATATATAGCTCATATAAGCAAATACTTATGTTAAATCCGTTTCTGTTTAATAAATAACTTTATATGCCAACAAAAAGTGCATTCTACCTTGGGGCACGAAGGGTCCTTGTAAGCTAAAAGGGAATCAAGATGAATCTGTAAGTTAAATCTGGACTGAGATCCAGAGCAGCAGCAGCCGCCGAAAGGGAAACAGACACAGAAACAGTCCCTGAATAAGATACAGAAACCGAGATGCAGGGGCAACTTTTGCGCCTCAATTATAATGAGAAAAGCAAACGAATTGGAAATAATTTTCAATTCACTTCTTTCCCACCTACTTTCGTTGGTCTTTCCAGTTCCTTAGGACTGCGATCATCAAATATTTATGCGCCCTTTGTTTTCATTATTTATTTGAATCGCCCAAACTTTTGCATGCATTCAGACTTCGGAATCAGAAACCCTGAAATGCAAGGGGTACCGTCCTTTTTTTGGGCAAGCTGGCCAAAGCCCCTGGCTTAGTGGAAGGTATGAACCGATTGATAAAGCTGTTAATGTTTTTTGTGTCCAGTGCAGAGGAGGAGGGATCTTGAGTGTCTGTAGGAGTGCCTTGTTTACCGACGATACGCCAACCTCCTGCGGCTAAATAAAGAATTATTTATTTTAACCTTAAATGTAAAGGGCAGCAAACACCATAACTGAATATGTTAAAGGAAAAATTAATTGGTAAGGTAAGGTGACGTGAGGGAGGTGAGTATGTTTTTATTAGTCCCAATAAGATTTAATTAAATAAGTTAGTAAAAAGACATTTTAATGATTTAATTATTAGTGCATTTAATGATTAAACATTGTTAGTTATTATTTTGTTAGTGCGGGGCCTTTAAGAAAGGCCCTATAGTTTGTTTTATATTTTATATAAATTCGATCGATCATAATTACAAATGGATTATAATGGAAAGGATTTCCAAGTATTTTAGATGCCTTTTTGAATATAAAATAGATGTAGGGCATTCAAAAGGATTGTGGAAAACGTGCAATCGGTGGTAGAAAAAATGGAAATGGCTGAATCTTTAATTAATCGGAGATTAATCGGAATCATAGACGAAACCTCGTGGACGTTTGGCTTCAATTTGTTGCTCAACCTTCTGCTCGTCAGTGCGACGCTTGGAGAGCTGCGGTGGTGAACCTTCCTGAATTTTGTTTTCATAATTCTTAATGAATGGCCACTTCAAGATACTAGGCTTTCCATCTTGTTCACCTGGTCCGTCCTGTCCAACTTGTCCTCCTGGTCCATACCTTTGGTCAGCATCAGCGTGATCGGGGTTCGAGATTGGTGGCTTGCGCCGGACAAACTTCACTTCAATGGGTTGAGAGCTAAACTTAGGAACGATTCCATCCAACAACATCTGCGCCTGCTCAGCCGAAGTGCGAGTATTAAAACGGACAAAGGCCACGCCACGCGGCTCTCCTGTGGCCTTGTTGAGTAGAAAATTGACATCCAATACATGGCCATAGGTTTCAAATAACTCCCGTATTTGAAAATGATTTACACCCGGTGGCAATTGCGCCACATATAGGCTGTTGTTCCTAGGGTCGTCGCCACGGGGACAAGCATAAGTAACTTTGAGAACCTTGTCGCGCACTTTACGCCCATTTAACATTATCTGGGCCACATTGGCCTTACACGAATTCACAAAATCTATGAACCCATAGCCAAGGCTCATTCCACTGCTCTGATCCCTAACGATCTTGACACGGCGGAGTTGGCCAAACGTCGAAAACATGTCAGCCAGCTCATACTCTGCCATGTCCCGTGGCAAATAGTTCACCATCAGGTTTGTCTTGTTGCTTCTCTGGACGGCCAGCGACGACTGCTCCACAACGTTCTTGGTTATAGACGGTACTTCCATGGGCTTAGGAGAACCAGAAGTCTGGTAGCCCGAAGGTGGAGCGACAGCAGAATATGGAAGCAAAGCTCCTTGGTTCTTTTGCAAGTCCTCTGAACCCGAAGAATAGGTGGGAAAGGAGATCGGAGTTCTTGGGGGAATATAGTAGGACGGAAAACCGGGAACCTTTTGGTCTTCCTTTTTGTTTTGGACGACCAGCGACGACTGCTCCACAAAGTTCTTGGTCATAGACGCCACTTCCATGGGCTTAGAAGAATCCGAAGTCTCGTAGCCCGAAGGTGGAGTGACACCAGAATATGGAACCAAAGCTCCCTGGTTCTTTTCCAAGTCCCCTGAACCGGAAGAATAGGTGGGAAAGGCGATCGGAGTTTTTGGGGGAATATAGTAGGACGGAAAACCGGGAACCTTTTCATCTTCCTTTTTGTTTTGGACGTCCAGCGGCGACTGCTCCACAAAGTTCTTGGTCATAGACGCCACTTCCATGGGCTTAGAAGAATCCGAAGTCTCGTAGCCCGAAGGTGGAGTGACACCAGAATATGGAACCAAAGCTCCCTGGTTCTTTTCCAAGTCCCCTGAACCGGAAGAATAGGTGGGAAAGGCGATCGGAGTTTTTGGGGGAATATAGTAGAACGGAAAACCAAGAATTTTTTGGTCTTCCCTTTTTTTGTCTAAATCCAGCAAATTTTCCATGCTTAAATTCCTTTAAAATAAATATAGAAAAGAACGGAAAGATGGAAGGGGAAAATATGCAGACTGAAACAAAAAAACTTACTTTGCCAGGTTTGTCTTGTTGCTTGGCTGGACGGCCAGCGACGACTGCTCCACAAAGTTCTTGGTTATAGACGCCACTTCCATGGGCTTAGAAGAATCCGAAGTCTCGTATCCCGAAGGTGGAGCGACAGCAGAATATGGAAGCAAAGCTCCTTGGTTCTTTTGCAAGTCCTCTGAACCCGAAGAATAGGTGGGAAAGGAGATCGGAGTTCTTGGGGGAATATAGTAGGAAGGAAAACCGGGAACCATTTGGTCTTCCTTTTTGTTGTCTAAATCCAGCGAGTTTTTCATGCTTGAAGGAAGAAAATAAATATAGAAATGAACGGAAAGATGGAAGAAAAGAGAAAAATTTGAAGACTAAAACAAAAAAAAACTTACTTTGCCAAAAAAATGATGAAAAGTGAAAGAACTTTTCTCCTGTCAGATGATTTGCAACTTTCTAGTGAATTTGTCAGACATTTACAACATTGGTTAAAAGTGTGCAACACTATAATTAAAGAAAAAAATTAATTGTTGAAAACATTTTTTTTTATTGATTATTTTTTCTTGCCAAGCTATTTATATATTGACAGAATTGTTGAATAATTTGGTGGTAAGCATTTTTAATAAATTAAGTTTGCGCCACGGCCTTTTGTTATCGAATAACGGTGTTGAAAAACCATAATTTCCTCAAAAAGTGCTGAAAAGCATTAAAAGCTTCATAAATAAAAAAAAAATTAAAAAGTGTGTAAAATGCAATTCCAACCAGGAATTGGTTGCTTCTTGGCCACACTAGTTTTTAAAATATCGAATAAATAAACAATAATAATAAAAACAATCGGATGTTTTTGAAAACATGTGGGAAGTAAAGTAGAATTAAAACATTATATTCTTAATATATTCGATTTGTCATTTAGGTTCGTAATATTATTCATTATTCATATTTATTATCATTATTTATTGTCCTTTACAGTGTCGATGGATCGGCCGGTCTACAATTGATTCAAAATGAGGCAAGTATTATTATTTTTCTTTTAAATGAAATAAATTTCTTCTTGTTGGCAATCGCTGATTTCATGGCCAGACAAAATGAAACCCCTTTTGTATTCAAAAGGTGCAAAAGTTTGTGAAAAGTTTTCAGCTGTTTATTTATTTGTTTGCTGATTATGGAATTTCAACGCATCTCGATGGCGGAACAACTGCACTGAGGAATGTCCGAACTGCGCCAGGTGGAAAGTAAATTGGCTTGTGTACTTGCCAAATTTTTGGCCAGTCCCATATTGATTCGAAATCCACCTGATATCGGCTATGGCCCGGAGGGCATGCAAGCTTCGCCATTGGCGGAAAAGAAAAACTTGTTCATTATTTCTTTTTGTTTCCATCCAAGCTCATATTAATTAATTTCCATTTCCGTGTTGTTATCTTGGCTACGCCGATTTTTACCTTCATGCTGACTAGACAATTAATCAAGTTTAATTACTCAAAGGTTGCGGGAGGCGCTGGGAGGATATGGAGAGAGAACCCAAGGCACTCGATACCACACCCACAATCCTTATCCGCCCTGGAGTCGGGGACCCCCCTCGGGGACTTGCGAATCCTCTCCAGCGCGCAGTGCGGTGGGCATCATTGGCTGGTCCGCATTAATCACTTGAATATGCTAACATTTCTCAGTGCCATGTGTGGGGAGGGGCGAGGAGTCGGCATGGACAGGACTTGGATAAGAGTCGCCATTAAAAGACTCCCTCACGTAAACAATACGTTCGGATGAGGTGGGTAATTTAAATATTTTCGTTGCAAATAACTCAGGTACAAATGTACATTCTCACATGTTCTAGCTCTTTACGGAAAAAAACTATTCTAAAAATATAATTCTATTTATCTTTTTTTAACATTATCCTATTATTTGGGCCTCCTGGGGACACCACTTGAAAAAAAAACGCGACTACACTCTACCTCAAAGGTGGTGTGGAAAAGAGGAATTTTAATTTTCGGTGTCCAAATTATTTTAGTTCTTAATTTAGATTTTTTAATTGATTTTCTAGCTAGTAATTTCTTCTGGTATGTTATGGTCGCAATTCAAATTTGTCCGCTCAACCTCTGTTAAATTTTTAACATAAAAACTCCTGCACCGCCCTCTGGCGGATTTGAAACGAAGCACCAAAATCGTTCTGCAACACTCCAAGCAGATTATGCTGCTTTTCAACACTTTTCCATTATTGTTTTTGTTTACGAAAATTGTTTATTTTCTTTTAAAAAGGAGCGAAACATGGATTTCGACAGCCCCGAGGAGAAGGAGTTCCCCGGCCTGTATGCCTCGGAGGCGGCGGACTCACGGTCCAAAAAGAGCAAGGAGGAAAGCGACTGTAAGTTCACAGAAAAGTGGTTGAGAAAAATCAATTAAATCTTTTCACTGTCGTCCTTCCAGTCAGCGAGGATCATGACCTAAGCAAAAAGGACCTGTTGATTGGTCGCCGCAAAGACAAGAAGGAAAAGGGCAAGGACCGTGGCTATGCGGCCCTCGAGGGTGAAAGTTCCCCCGAAGAGGAGTTGGACACCAAGTTAGTTGGCCTCAAAATATATAGATTACCTTTATCTGAATGTTTTTTGCTCATCTAGGAGTCCTTCGAAGTCAAAAAAGTCGAAAACCTTCAAGTTTACCAGCTCCAAGAGCAAGGAGAAGAGAGAGAAATCGCGGGACAAGGAGAAATCCGAGAAAGATGCAAAGCATCTGGAGGAGGAGCCGACGTCCCATAAATCCAAAGACAAGGAGAAAGATAAGGAACGCGAGGATCATAAGAAAAAGGACAAGGAGCGCAAGGAGAAAGACAAGAAGGAAAAGTCTGACAAGAAGGAGAAAAAGGACAAGAAGGGAAAACAGCTATCGCATCAGCAGCAACAACATCAAGAGGAAGCATTCGCTGCCGAGGAAGTACTGGCCCTGGGATATCCTGTTTTCGGAGTATCGGTCAGCCTGGCCACTGAACGATCCCGCTGCCACGACGGCGTAGATCTTCCGCTGGTGGTGCGCGACTGCATCGATTACCTGCAGGATCACTGCAAGTGCGAGCATATCTACAAGGTTGAGCCCATCAAGACGCGTCTGATGCACTACAAGCGGTTGTACAACAATCGAGAGCACGACGCCGCCGTGGATGAGCTCAACCTGCCCACCGCCTGCAGTCTGCTGAAGCTCTTCCTGCGCGAACTGCCGGAGCCGGTGCTAACCACTGATCTGGTCGCCCGCTTCGAGGAGGTGGCCTCGCATCCAAAGGTCACCGAGCAGGAGGCAGAGCTGCAGCAGCTGCTCGAGCAGTTGCCCAAGTGCAACCGCACATTGTTGGCGTGGGTTTTGCTCCACTTTGACTCCGTGATCCAGCAGGAGCGGCACAACAAGCTCAACGCCCAGTCGCTGGCCATGCTTCTCAGTCCGACGCTTCAGATGTCTCACCGTCTAATGGTCGCGCTGCTCTGTCACTGCAACAATCTTTTCGCGGACGTCAAGCTGATAAAGTGAGCAAACTTGGTGGGGGTAGCTTTTTTAAAATATATCATAAAGATAAGATTTTGGTTGTAACTACTTGCTGATGTCGGTAATTAGTAGTCCAAAAAGAATGAGTGTAGTACCTCGCAAACGGAAGCGCTGGCCGCGCTTCGTCAGCTTCCTCATCAGGCGGAGATTTTAAAAACAAAATACAGACACCGCAATGCTAACTTTTGGTTATTTTTAGGTATGTTCCACCACTTACTTCGGCCAGCCAGCTGCCGGAACGACCCGAGGAAATCCAAATAGAGCTCCGCAAGCAGGACAGCCTACTGACCCAGATCCACAGCGAGATGAATGCTGGTTTTATTACCAAGAAGCGGGAGGAGCAGCTCTGGGAAGTGCAGCGAATCATTACGCAGCTGAAGAGAAAATTGCGAAGTTTCGAAAAGAAACAAGAGAAGTCGGTGGATGAGCTAGACAGCACCAGCAGCTCTCATCCGGTTGCCACTTCTGGCGCCGCTGCCGTAGTCGAAGACACCACCGATTCCAAACCTGCTGCCGAACCTGTGGCAGCTACCAACAACAGTATTGCACCTGAGGAGCCGCAAACGGAGGAGCGCGCTACTAATCCTAGTCCACCTGACTTTACCATTGACTCCAATACTGGTTTCGTCCTGCTTCCCAAGGCAAATCCGCATCGTGAAGACTTGCTGCGACTACAAATCGAGTACGAGGAACTAATGGCTTGGCAGCACGAACTGAAAGCCCGCATCCTGGCCGAACGCAACGAAGTCTACCGGCTGAAGCAGCTGTGCGAGCAGCAGAATCCCAAGGCCCATGGGTCACATGGGGAGTCAGTGCCGCCATCGGAGGCTGACTACGAGCGGATCATCGAACACTACACGCGCGAGAACGCCCTGCTGGAGCACAAGAAGCGGATGTTGGGCATCGAACTCAAGGAGGAGCGACGGGCATGCATAGCCCTCCAGGTGGAGTTGCGGTTGCAACAGTTTTAAATGTATTAATGTTGTTAATAACCACGGATGGGTCGGTCACTATCAGGTACTAATGCTTACCTTAATTAATTTTAAATTCAAAAACTGTTACATTAAGATACAGAGCTATGAAAGCTTCAAGAGTTGTTTAAAACTATAAAAGTAACGAGCGCTGTCCAATTTTCAATCATTCGGCTAAGCGAAGCTAGAAACCTTAATTTATAAATCAGATATTGAAAATTTCTGCTGTACAAGATATGATTATATTTTGCTCTATTCTATATTATTATTTGAGTCTCATTGATGTTTTAAACCAATCGACCCATCAATACGAATATATCCATATATATGCATGTACATAATTTAATTCCCCTTAAATCTCAATGTATTTGAACGATCAAAAGCTTCTAAATTAAATAAATGCTCACGTGTTGAATTGGCAGTTTGCCCCAAAACTAATCAAAAATATACTGTATTAAATAATAAGTCATTCGTTCCAGCTTCAATTGATTCATAAAATCAAGTGGCGATTATCAAGATCCAATTGTCTAAATCGGTCGGATGACTTAATTTCGATTTGAGCTGGAGGCAGAGATTAAAGATCAGGCTGTCGTACATGTAGACTATGGATTGATTGTTCGCTGGGGTAAGGCGGAAATATATATGAAGTCATCGCTAATATTACGATTCATGGAAGTTGTGATGGTCAAGGAATAGAGATGAGTGGTGCGTGCTATGATTACTTTATTTTTAATATTAAGAATTAATAATTATAGAATACATTAGAATTATGCATTTCGTTTCGGGGCGTGATCTCTATTCCGCTGAAGTACAACTTAAAAATATCACACACAAATACCACGCGAGAAAGCAGGGTCCTCCAGCAGTCCTCCTCCATGATTTAAGTTTTTATCTGCTGGACTACGAATCCATCGAATCGATTATGGACACTCTTTGTCGCTGATCTTTTGAAAGTCTAAGAGTAAGTTGAAATAAAGAATTAGGATTTTTTTCTTAAACTTTAAATAAAGTGAATAACTCACTTGCATTCTGTAGACAATTCTCGACCTTCATCACGCAAATATTGCGATAGGTTTTGGTGGTTCCTTTGTCGTCCGCGGCACAGATCGTATTATAGGACTGCGTCTCGCAATCCATGACGCACTTGGCATTGGCATCGGGAAGGCTCAGGCACTGGACCATCGTCATGGCGAAAAGGGCTACTAAAAATAGAAGGGAGACATCACATCCGATTAGTTAGGCAGGAGGCGTGCGATTAGAACCGTCAGTCATAAAAAACAATCACTGCCCGCATACAAAGCGATGTTGATCAGCCCAGCACGCCCCGTGATATCACCCACATCCACAGCCACATCCATATAGACATCCATCGATTCTAGGCGACGCCAGGCCGTCTGGCAATGCCAATGAATCGGCTGAATGGCCCCCGAGGCTCGGGCTATTGGAATTAGCGCTGCATACCTAATTAGCCATGTCGGCACGCAAAGGAGGCATTTCAGTTCTCAACAACTCTATTTGAGTATTAAATATTCCATTCATAACTTACACGGTAAATATGAATGAAGTTTATCCCACTCGAATTAATTTTTAATATTCAATTTAATAAAAAGTCAACGCCTTAGTGGGTCAAGTGGCTTCTATTCTGACGCAGCGATTTTAAAAATCACATGTTACAATATGTTTACTAGATTAAAACTAAAAACATGCGTCAGCAGTTCCCCTACACTTTTCAAAAAGAATTAATGATTGGATTTTGCCATAAAATTTGCTTTTAAAAAAATTAGAAATAGTATTTTGGACATAAAATTTTCAGAAATCTGCAAAGAGAGTGTTTTTGCGAAGAATGTGTCACGTAAAATTTTAGAGCTACATATGCGACACTATAATTTCTAGAAAAAATGTTGAACTTAAAAAAACCATTTTTGAAAAGACTGTGTCACCTAAAACATAATAATAAAAAAATTATTCTAAACTCAAAAATCATAAGCTTGCTGTTTAAGAAAATTAGATTTCATTTAAAATTTTTCTTTATGATTCATATGTGATTCATTTTAAAGTCTACCTTTTAGCTTCTATTAAATATTACCAAAGACATATTCCAAGAACTTTACTTATTAAAAAAGAATCACAAAGAAATCAAAATTTCCAGCTTGGAATTCCCTATATTCTTAATCATTTTAATTTTTTTAGATACTATTTATGAAACTTTAAAGAATTATTAAATGAAAATCGGCCCAAAGCCCCTCATATATTTAAACTTTCTTTAAATTTTAAACATTATAGTTTTGATTTTTACTTACATGCCAACAATACTGCGAAGAACTTCATTTTGCTTGCAATTCGATGGGTAATTCGTTCACCAAATTAATTAAATTATTTATTATATTTTGTGTTTAAACTATTTTTAAGCACACTTTGCACAATTTGATTTGGCTCGGCGTGAACTTTGCGGGTCAGACGAATTAATTATGCCAGTTTGGCTGCCTGGTTTCGGTTTCGGTTTCAGTTTCTGTTTCTGTTTCGGTTCGGATTGATTAAAAATTCCTTACGATTTTACGATTTCACGATTTATATATGTATATTCTATGGGCGATTCGGGGCTTGTCACTGAACCGCAGACACGTGTGTGTGCTACTGTTTTGATTGGGCGATACGTATATAGATTAATTCGCGCACGATTTTAATTCCGACCCTGATTTGGATCCGATCCGACTCTATCGGCCGCACAGACGCGTCCAAATGCGAACTGAAACTGAAGCGCCGCCAAAGCGAAGAGCATATATCCTCCAGCCAGCTCGGACTCGGGTGGGCGAATTGATTAAATGACTAACTGACTCAGTGACTGATTGATGGCTTGGCGGCTGGTCGCTGCAGTTTGATTTTCAATTTTTGTTTCGAGTTTGGGTTTAAGTTTGGGTTTGGGTTTTGGTTTGGGGCTCTCGGGTTCGGCAATCAATCAATCAATTCGGCTGTCCGTTTCACCGGCAATCTGTATCTCGTATCTGTATCTGTATCCCGTATCTGTATCTCTATCTGTATCTGAACGGCTGACTGTATCTGGCTGTCGTCTGCCGTCGTAGCGCACGAATGTAGAATGATGTCCGACCACACAGTGCCTGTTAGTTTTATAGAATTTTTTCATGCTAAAAAGATTTACGCTCGTGTCGTTCGTCTTCAATTTTCTTTTTGTTTCTCCGCGCACATTTCGCCGTAGCCCGTCCCGTAGTTGTTATTTTTTTTTTATTATTTATTTATTTTTATTTTTTTTATGTATTATTTTTTTTTTTGTTGTTTTGTCTTTCTTGTGGCTTTGTGTTGGCTTTGATTTGCTTTTTGTGTTTGCTTGGTGGTGGCTAGTACCGTAGCCCCGTACTCCGATCAATCGGTAGATCGGACCGATCGGTCGATCGTTTGATCGATACCCTCTCTACAGGCAGGTCACGTTGTCGCCGCCGCTGGGATCGGGGATCGGGATTTTTGTGTTTGAATTATTCATGTACACTTATGCAGTCACTAAAAACTCTTCTCCTCCTCGCTTCACATACCGCTCAGCACTGACAAGATGCTGAGATGCTTGGACTCTTCAATCGCCTTTTGGACGGGAGGCATCTTCGAAAATCTTTGAAAATTTCGTCAGCAAAACCGAGAACCGATTCGGAGCGGGCTTATCAGCCCGAGAGCGACAAATACATAATGAACCGACTATAAAAAAAAAAGAACAGCAAAAAAAAATATGAAAATTCTACAGTTGGTGACGGCCACGAGTTCACTCCACCCAGCAGAGTCTATGAATTTTCTATGATGCTTTTAGCCAAAATATATAGTTTGTTATTTATGGATTCGCGCCGCATTTGATTTAGCTTTTTCATTAACATTTTTCAAATATTTGTATCTCGGTGTACGTTTGCGCTTATCAGCTGCGTTGCCAACTCATCCAATATTATCAATTTGGGAACCAATTTCTATATATTTTAATGGTTTGTTGTCCTCCACATGGTGGTTTCCACTTGGGCTTTACCTACACCCAGTACCTATCAATGTAAACAAATGTTGGGACGTAAACAAATGAAGTCACAGGATCGAAATTGGAACATCAGAGCAATCATACCTGGAAGAGAAAATCCTTCGAAAGGGGTCCCCATGCAAAGATATAGACAGGTTTAGCTTTTTTTTTTAGGTTTTATGCTAGTGCGCCTAAGGCAAGTCTACTTAGGAAGTGTTTATTTCAAAAACGTGCACTACATAAGGAAGAAATCGAAAGTTGAACTTGAAGTCTACTTAGCAAACACGATACATTTGTACTAACTTAGCTCTATTATTGTACTAAAGAGATGTCTTTCTAAAATGTGATATTTGAGTATCAGTTTCTACTAAATTATTTGATAAATTAAATGGATATATTAAGTTTGAAGGAGTAGTGCCACTCCGGCCAGAATCCATTTGCCCGGCTTGTCTTTGGTCTTGAGATTCAGATTGGAAACATAGGTGGTGGGGCCCCGGGTACGGGTCTTGTAGACGGGGCACTCGTACATGTTCCTCAGGTCTTGCTTATCTTGGGTGATGGCCTGCAAAAAAAGAAAAAGAAACCCTCACACAATCGGAATAGCATTAAGTGGAACAATAGATCGGAGTCGGAATCTAGTTTTTGAATTTATGCCAACATGCGCCAGCATCGAGACGCCACAGATCCGCTCTCGATTCGCAGATTCGATTCTTTTTTTTTGTGGCATTTGCATTTCACAAATTTGCAACGCAAACTCACCCGAATATTTATCACCGGCATTGAGGGATAGAGCTCCTTGAGGCGCGACTCCATGATAATGCCCTGCTGGATGTCCCACCTGGCGCCCTCCATGAAGATGCCATGCACGCAGCACCCGTCCCGTGGCGCCGTCCTGCAATTACAAAATCGTGGCTCTAACTTGATATAATCTTAATCGAAGAGCTCCCCCCCAAGTCCGAATTGAGTCAATTAGAGGGGCGGGTGTCGGCCTAGGCTAATCTGCATCGACAAGTACATCGACGCGCCGGAGCCGGAGCTGGAGCCGAGTGGGTTGCTCCATTGTTTCAACGGCGGCGTCGCCAACCGAAACGTGTCTGCCCGGGCGCCACTTAATAAGCAATCTGCTGCCAGCGATCGGCTCACAAACAAACGGAGGCTTGTAAATGACGAGCTATTAATAGGCAGCACATATTTATAATCCGAGTGCTGGTTTAAAATTAGCTCTTATGAAATAGCATTCCGACTATTTTTAGACCCTCCAAGCCGGTCGCTGACTTGCAGCATTGATTGCCGCAACAATTCTATACCCTAACGGGGGGTATACTGATTTTTCAGTTCCAGAGAATCGGTGACGCATGAAAATCATAACACTTTGGCTGATGGGAGTGTAAACATTCCCGGGAAGGGGTCAGTCCAGAAGTCAATTAAATATTGCGTGGCAATCAAGTCACTCACGTAAATTCCTCCTTCTGCTTCTTGGTAACGTCACACTGGAGGCACATCTTGTCCAGCGGCAGATCATTCCGACGGGCGGTGCTCTGCATGATGGCGGTGAGCAGGGATTGCGGATTGAAGAATCCGGCCAGCCAGACGCAGGAGGGTAACTAAAATATAAATAACTACTAAGAAATCATTTTCTTAGCACGAGGTATGAGTCATACCACAAAATCGGTGGACCAGGTTTCCAGTTCGCGAAGACGCAGGCACAGATCAATGAACCAATTGTTGAGACCCAAGAGCGAAGGATACGCACGTTGCGTCCAAATGGGCGGTACTTGATCCAAAAACAGTGAATTCTCCAGCACCTCCATGTCCGACGTAATGGTCAATTCACCCTTTAAGCCCAAGTCCAACTCCTTCAGGCTGCGCTTCATCTCGCTGGTGAGGAAGTTCATCCGCTCGCACTCCTGAAAGGCCACTATCACATACGGCGTGCGCTCCTCCACCTTGTTCATGATCTCTACCATGTTGAACTCCTCGGGCAGCTTCTCGATGATCTCATCGACGATCTGCTTCACCTTGTCCTCGCGTGTCACCGTCGCCCCCCCGCCAGCTCCGGCATCCCGTGGCTGCATCTCGAACACAGTTCGGAATATGTTCTCCGCCCGAGTGGTCAGGAATCCGATCTCGGCATTTGGATGCAGTCCGTAAAGGTAGGGAGACTCTGCCGGCATCATTTCGTCCACATAGGTGTGGTAGCCCTGATAGTCCGTGTTAGGTGGCGCCGGGAAGGAGGGAGCCAGGAAGAGTTCACCATCGACCAGGTCCGGCTGCATGTACTCCTCCAGATAAGTAATGCATAGCCGGCGATCCCAGTCGTCCGTGATGTGACCTCCATACATAATCTCCCCGAACAGATATCGCAGATCCTCCCACGGCACCTTGGCATTGGCCTCCAAGTAATTATATAGCACGGACACGCTGATGTTCAGATCGCCCACATTGAAGGGATAGATCTTGTTCCAGCCCTGGGGCCCGAACTTGCGTCGCTCCGCCACCACGGCGTGGAAGTAGCAGAGCGAGAACAGGATGGCCTTGAACTCGGCCTCCTTGCCGGACATCTCCAAGGTCTCCTGGGTGAAGTTGTCCAGGGCCTTGTGCAGGTTGGCCAGCATGCCCGTAGGTGGCTCGTTGGTGATCTTGATCGAAGACTCTAGGATCCCCTACAAATCAAATGGGATATCATCCTTTTAGTATCGTGTCTTCACAGATAGATATTTTAGCAAACAATTTTTATACAAAATGGTATAATTAAATCAAAGAATACTCTTTCTATCAAGATCTACCATATCTACAAATATATTAACTACACAGTCTGAAAACCAAATGTACTGGGATTTACCTTTAAACCCATTTAAATGAATAGATCGAATAGAACATGCATAATAAAGAAAATTCAATATTCACTCAATATTTTCCATAAGAATCATAGTCCTTAAAATATCCTTAATGTATTTACCTGTGGAATAATGTGAGCCGAGGGCGTTGATGCTGGCTCCGCACTGAGAAACATACGATAGTCCGGATGCGAGTCCTCGGCGTAGTACTCCAGCTTCTTCTCAAGAACTGGCAGCCATTTCCTGACCAAATGTATATTCTGCAGAACCACCCAGTGGCCGTTCTTGGCGGCCGTGTCCATGGCAGCCTCGGCAATGCATTCCTGACCTTGACCCAAAGACACATTATGGAAGTTACCCAGATCCATGGTGAAGCCCATTTGCTTTCCCAGGGCCTCCACGTCCTTGAGGGGATTAACGCCGGGCGATAGTATGAAGAAGATTGGAGTAGAGGGACTGGCTTCCTCGTAGGACTTGGCAAACTCCATAGCCCGGTTCTCCACATATTTCGATCCCAGCTTCTCTTCAATAAAGTCACTAAAGAAGATAGTGGTTTAGTGGATGATAAGTCGTAATATTTCTAGGAGCTACTCACGCTAGCGCGTAGGTCATTCGATCAGGCCTCAGAGCTCTGATCATGCAGAGCCTCTGTAAGGCCGTTTTGTTCTTCCACTCCTGTGGGAACTTCTCCTTCTCAGGCAACTCTGACTCCACCAGTTTTTTCCAGCGCTTAGAGGAGGTTTCAATGTCGCGGTCCAGGTTCCTGAATTCATCTTTGGACGCTAGACTGCAAATTCCGCCCCACGATTGGTTGGTCAGAAAGTCCACGGGACTTGTCACATGTGGCTTGATCGGGAAGCGGAGTAGGAAGTCCAGTTCCGCCGATGTAACCTCCTCATTCATAAGCAGTATCTATCAAGGATGATTTATGAATATTTTATGATTCTTTAATCTTAGGGAGGACTCACCTGAAATGTCATTTGCGAGGCAAAGATGAGCTTGTCGCATTCGAAAAGACCACGCGAAGTATACTGAAAGACCGAATACGTTATACAATCGATCAGATTGGACACCCGCAAATCCAAAGTTTCGCCCGGTTCAGCCTTGGCTATGGCCTTTTGGAACACTACACTAAAAGCCTACAAGTAACCAGTCATATAGAAGATGGTAATCCATGGTGATCTTCCACTTACTTTCAGTGAAAACTGATATATCGGATTAATAGTGTTTAGTTCGTTGAGAATGAAATATAGCAGACTGGCTCGGGCAGCTGCGGGTCTGTAGTATTCTCGGGCCTTGTCGATCTCCTTGGATGTTATCTTCGCCTCGGCCACCTTCTCCTCGATCTCCGAAGCGGTGCTCTTGGTGGTCTCCAGATTCTCGACCAGCGCCGTGTCACCTAAAATATTCTCACCCGCCGACGATAGGCGCGACAGCAGGTCGTCCTCCAGCTTCTTGAGCATGATCTTGAAGTCGTTCTGTTGCTTGGTGAGTTCGGCCTTCAGTTCCTCCAGATCGGGACGCTCCGCCTTCACCACTTCCGCCAGCAGTTGGTCCTCCAGTCCGTCCCGTGTTACGGTGAAGTTAATAAGTGTGGTTTGTGCTTGCATCTCTGGCTTGTAGTGCGGATTAGCTAGTTTTGTGTGCAGGATTAAGCGGAAGTTAGAGTTGTATTCGATCTCCTTGTCTCCGATTTTAATTGCCCTGGAACATAGGTACACTCAGGGATGAGGTGGATTAAGGGATTTCTCCACTTACTTTCCCTTTTTGATTAAATTTCGACCCAGCAATGAATCCAGCACTGGATCCAAGTTCTCGTCAATGTTCTCGATCAGCACCGTGTTTCCCGCGTTGATGGACTTCTCGATGATGTCCAGATAGCTCCGCTGACCCAGACGAATCACCTTCAGCTCCTCGCCATACTTCTGCTTGATCCATTTAACGCCCTGCAGTTGGGGATCGATCATCAGGGGCCAGCGGTCCGAGTTGGACAGGATGGTGGCATTCTCAATAGACATCCTATCGCTGGGCAGTCCCTCGTTTGTCCAGATGGCGATGGTGGTGTCGTCGGTCAGCAGCGTCAAAGGATCGAGATTCTCGGTTGTGGGTATGGGCGGATCGATGCTCTTCAAAAAGGGTGTCCACATCTTGAGTAGAAGATCGATGCGGAATCCTTTCGTAAAACAGCCGACATAGGAAATGAAGGCGGTAATGAGTAGAATATCGCCGGGTAAGGTAATTCCCTGCTTGACGAAGCTACATGGTGGATTATAAGTTAGTTATGTTTTAGTTAATATTATTAATTAGGAAGCTTACTTGTTGACTGCTTCCGCCCAGCGTACGTTTTCACTGGCCAGACCGCCCACCAGGCGATTGGCCAGCGCGATGGTTGCTTGTGTGGCGTCCGCCTCTTGCTGGCAACGCAGTTTGTCAGCGGTGGCCTTTTCGAAGTCCGCCGTCAGCTTGGCCAGCTGCTCCTCGAGGCTCTAAAAGGAAAATTTAAGGATTGGAAAAGTCATATTAAATATAATATTTAATTATGAAAATTGTGAATTATGAAATTATGAAATAGCCCTCATATCTTACCGCGACTTTCCGCTTGATGCCCGCCAGTCTGTCCTGGGCCGCTGCCAGCTCAGCATTGGCGGCCGCCAGAGCCTTCCGTTTGGGCTCCACGTCGCAGTAGACCTCGTAGAACTTAATTATATTGATTACCCAGGCGCACAGGCCAGCCGCCGCTCCCGACTTGGAGCGTACAAACTCCGGCTCGAACTCTGGATCCTTGAGGTACGGCTGGATGGCCTTTGTGATCTCCGGATGGATGTTCTCTTTGTCGTAATTGATCAACGAATCGAGGAACGTGTCCACCTTGGCCATGGCGATTTTGGCCGCCTTCCAGGAGCGGTCCTTGGGCAGCTTGCCCCCCGGGGAGAGCAGCACCATGACGGCAGCGGTCACATTGGTGACCGCACCCGGCGGCGAACCGAAGCTCTTGAGCTCGGTTAGATTGGCCTTGTTGAGGGTGTTGAGCGCCTCCTGGGCGGCGGTCAGGGCGGGCTCCGCCTTGAGGAGATCCTCCTCGCAGTCCCGCTGCTTCTTGGTGACTTCGTCGGCTATCAAAGCAACCTTCATTTCCTCCTCATCGGCCACGGCTTTCTCCGTTTGCACCTTCTCCGTCTCGATGCCCACAATCTCGATGAGGGCGTCGGCCGCATCGTTCTTCTCCTTTAGCTCGATCTCCTGGACGGCGAGCTTTACCTTCAGATCGGCCACTTGCAGGGCAGTGGATCGGAGCTTCTCCAGTCCGTTCTCCAACCGCTCGATCTTACTCTGAAGATCCTCATGCTTGTTATTCAATAGCTTGATATAGAGGTTGATCTGCTCCAGGTAGCTCTTTGGGGTGGTGTAGTTGTACCGTCGCTCGTTCTGTAAGTACACCTTCGAGGTCGTGTTGACCGAGGTGTGGACGTAGGCCATGAACTTGGCCACAGAGTCGCGGTGGTTCTCCGGCAGCACCTTGTTCTGGGCGAGGAAGTTCATGGCCACCGAGATGAGTGCTTCCTGAGGCCATTCGTGGAACCAATTGATTGATGTGGCATTGATGATGGCAGGGAATTTTCTCGACCGAACACGCAATGTTGAACCCACTGGTGAAAAGCACAGAACTATCTTCAGTTGCTTGCGCACTCGATCGATGAAGAATTTCCAGCAGTTTTCCCTCGTGTCAACCAGTCCCGCACCTTTGACCTCATTGCGGACGCCAGCGATTATGTTCTCGATCTCGTCGTCCGGAAACAGATCTGGGATCTCGCCAGTGGCTAACATATCGTTGATTAAGACAAGAAAATCCTCGCTAGGGATTTGTGCATCCGTCATTAGGAACATAATGCCAACATTCTTGAGTCCGGCCTTCAAATAAAGTCCTGAAAATTCATTCTGCAATGGGAGATCATAAATTAAAAAGTCAATCGAATCATTAAATAGGTTTTTCGGGTATGATTAAAGGAACCTTCAAGTCATTGACTCCATATCCCTTCTTAAGCTGTATCTGCACGACCTCCAAGCTGGATATGAATGCTGCCAAGCGCGCTAGAGATTGTTTCCCGCTGCCACCAACACCAACCAATAGAGCGCTGCCACGCGGTGATTCTAAAATGCGATTGATCCTGGGGAATGGATATATGTTTTATGATAAATTTTTAGAGGAAGAATAGGACTAGTAATACCTGCATACGTGCATCATCGCATCCTCGAATAACACCAGATTCATGGCAGCGACTAGATCATTATACGATGACATTGCTTCCTGAAGGAGTTTGTGAAGCTCAGGCCAACCCTTGATGGGCATGTACTTAGGATCACCAATTCCTCCAGCGAAATGACAGTAGATATTCGGCTTGTCGAATATAACGGATTCGTCAATTTCTTCGAACGACTTCTTGACAATGTCATGCTGCATTTTGGTAAAGCTATCGATGTCCTTATCGTCGGTTAGCTTATCCGAGTACACGCGCTGTGTCTCGTGTTGCCACAAACGTATAAGATCTGTAGAGCCCGCCAAGCACTCTGTCGAACTGAACAGCAATCCCTGAATGGGAAAGATATACATATTTAATAAAATAATTCAATTATGAAAATATCCTCTTACCTGAAATACATTGCTGATATCTCGCAGATTAAAGATGTAGTGCGACTTGATCGCCGTGGGCAGGAACACCTGCAAGCACTTGTTGTGGAGCGCTATCGTGGCTGCCACAATGTTGGGCGTCATCCTTGTTACAATCGGGTTGAATTTCTGCTCCGCATTAGCGAAATGCTGCGCCAGGATAGCCGAGTACATGACCGTGATGGACTCGGGTCCGGGGAAACTGACTGCGAGAACGCAGAAGTGACGCTGCAGGCGCGGATTGATCGTGAAACTGCCCGAGGTGGGGTTCATACAGGCCACATACTGACAGTTGTGGATGTCCTTGAGGGTCAGCTTGTTGCGGTCGTACCAGTGGCCATAGTCCAGATGCTGGCGCATCAGAGTGTGCGGCTGCACGGTGCCATACTGGTCCACCTCGGGCATATTGATGTCGTCCACGAAGTAACAGAGGAGCTTGTTGCCGGGCGGTCCGTAGTTGCGACCCGCCTTCTTCTCCAGCGGCTTCTCGAGGATCTTCTGCAACATCTCGGACGTGGTGTAGAAATTGAATGGTATTGTAGTGACAGCGTAATTCTCAGATAGCGATTGAAGCTTCTCGTTCACCAGTACGGTCTTGCCGCAGCCGGCATTCCCCACTAGCATCACCGGGTGCTTCTTATCCATCAGGAGATCTAGGAAGTAACGCAGGCGAATCGACTCGGAGGTGTGCACGATGACAGCCTGCAGCGGCAGGTCCGAGTCCAGTTCGAATTTCGGTATCTTCTCCGTCCAGGGCAGGAAGGTCTTTGTTTCGCTATCCAGGAAATAGTCGAAAACTGTTCCGCCTTTTGGTTTTTTTTTATGGAATGAATGTGGGTTTTATGGTAAGGTTTAAGGGTTACACTAAAGGATCATACGGTCGGCACTCACCTGGCGGGAACTTAACAGTTTTGAACTCATTTACCCACCATTTGCTGAACTCCACGCGGTAGTCAATGGCTTGATCCTGGAACATGGCCGATCCGAAGGCCCAGATACAGGCAAAAACAAAGTACAGTTCGTGCCATTCTTTTGGACAATCGGCTGGCGTGTTCGCTGGGATTAGAAAACAGTTTAGCAGATGGCACAGCATTTGTATGTGGGCCATTTCGGCGACTGGCGTGATCTTCTTGAATCGCACGCGAATCGTTTCCAATGAAGGCGGTATGTACTTATCAAATAACATGACCAAATTGGACTTTTCGGCTGGAATTTTGCGCGTTTCAACCCAACTGGTCACATAGCTGTAAGAGAATAGAGGTTACTATCCATTTCCTCTAAAGATATAATGGCCAAATACAAATTCAGTCAAAATTTGAATTCAAGAACACTTCTTAAGGCTATCATTTTGACTGAATTCATATATCTTTAATCCAATTATTATAAAATCTATAATAAAATAAAAAAATGTTAATCATTTTCGTTGGAATTTTTTTTTGCTAGAAAACAAAAAAGTTTTTAATTTATCACCAATTGTAGAAACGCCAATGAGGGGTTTTTTTGGAGGGAAAGTAATTTGCAAACATTTTTGAGCCATGACATAGTGTACTTAATAATCCGAGTACTCACGGATTCCAACCCAAGTCCTGCGGATTAATGTACAGGATGCCAGCCCTGGATACGGTTGCCGGCGTTGCTGTTCTCAGGTTGGAGATCTCGAAGAGCAAACGCATCGAAGGCGTCAACGCAATGCGCTCGTTGCTGGCCAGTGTGAGGACCTTGTTGTCGTCCATCACGGTATTCAAGCTTTCGATCCACATGGGATCGATGTCGCCGTCGAGCACGATCCACTTTGGTTGATCGCCCGTTATGTTTGCCTGATCCCGCATCAATACCGAGAACAGGCCGTCTTTCCACTCGCGAGTCGCCGGGTTGATAATGCCGAAGAGTTCATCATTGGTCACAGCTTTCGGATTCAAGTCATTGAATATGGGTTTCCGCTTGATGTTCTGGTAGGTGCGCAGCAGCGTCTTCCACACCTGGGTCTTGCCAGTGCCCGCGTTGCCAACGATGAACACGGAGTGGCGTACCTCCAACAGCTCCTCCAGCTGCACCACTTTCAGGATGAAATTGTCCTCTGGTTGCAGTAGCAGGTCGGAGGCCGCTTGTTTTACGGTGCGCTCAAAGTCCTGATCACGTTTGCGGGGCACATCCAGGGCGGGAAACAGGTCGCTGATGAGCCCCATGAACACCGGCATGTCGTCCGTGATTATTTTCGGTATATTGAAGTCGCGGAGGGCGCGCATCAGCACCTCCTCCTCGGGTCGTCCGGGATCGCCTCTCTGAAATGGATAACAATTAAGGATTCCATCCTCTTTTTAGATCTCCCACCTCTTACCTTGAGAGATCCCGCCACAACGAGCACTGATTTTATGGCCCGAAGACCCCAATCGTAGTGATCCTGCTTGGACAGCAGCTCCTTACACAACGTGTACAGGGTGATGAACTTTCGGGCTAGGACGCGGGCATCCTGGAAGCCCTCGGCCACCAGCATAATCTCGCAGATGAGCTCAAAGTCCGGCACGACCATGGCACACGGACGAAAGAGGGCCTTCAGATTCTCCGGCAGCTCAGTACGTCCCGCGTAGCCAGGATTCATGGTGATAAAAATTCCGACAGTAGGGACGCAGCTGATCATTTCGCCCATAAAGTTGAACTTCTCCTTTTTGTCGCGAATGGCGTCCTGAACGGACTTCACTTGAACAGCCACCACCGACAGGACTTCCACGGTGATGCGATTGAACTCGTCGAAGCATCCCCAGGCTCCGGTTTGGGCCAGTCCTTTGTAGATGTTGCCGCAGGACTGATAGTCCATCTGCTCGGAGCAGTTAAAGACGTAGACCATGATGCCGATGGCCCGCCCCAGGTCCTTGGTGGTTTCTGTCTTACCCGTACCGGCTGGCCCGGCCGGGGCTCCGCCCATCACCAGGTGGAGGGACTGAGTGAGTGTTATGTAACAACGATCTGTGAGCGGCGTTATAACCAGGCGTGGCGTATTGCCCAAGTATTCGTGACAATACTGGAACTCGGCGTCGCAGATATTGGCAAAACAGTCCTTCTCCACATCGTCGAAGCGATGCCTCAACTGGGATTGCCACATAAACGCGGAACCCGAATCCAATTTGGCCTGAATCATCTTGGCGACCACATCTCTCGAGTGCACATCAATGGTGCATATCGTCATTATCTTTTGACGATCGCCTTTGCTAAGCTCGCCCAGCAGAAGCGTTATGAGCAGGCTCAGCTGCGATATCTGCTTCTTGTAATAGTCCTTGATGGCGTTGTCGTATCCCTCCTCCAGCCGGCCGAAGGCGATGTTCACCTCGGTGGACCACCAGATCTGCGATCCGCAGAGCGACACCTGGGCGGGATAGTCGAACAGCCACTGTTCCCGCTGCTTTTCCTCGTAGGCGATCACTGCCTCGGTGACGTAGTGCCTCAAACTGGCACGCATTGCCGCCTGGATGCGATTCAGCCAGACCTCAACGGGTCCCCGGATGCTGGCCAGTTCGCTGAATTCCACATACTCGCCATCCTTGGCGTACATTCCGGAGGCGGTTTCGATCTCGCCAGACTCGTCCTTGTTGAACTTCAGGCGGGCGATCGAATCGAAAAGCTTGGTCAGATGTTTGGTGACCATCTCGGGCTGGATGCCGTTGCTGAGCACGTCCAGCAAATCGGCCGAGGACACAAAGTAAAAGCGCGGGAACGCCAGGCGTTTTGTTTCCAAGTACTCTGCCAACGCCTTCTCGCATAGCGTAAGCTCCTTCTGCAAATGCTCCAGGCGTTCGATCAGGCCCGATCGATTCGTGGACGCCACCACGTTTGACGAGACGGACATCTCGTCCATGAGGACGCGGAACTCGGCGTCGATGTTATCGAAGCGCACCGAATCGACGGGGAGCTGTTTGCGTATGTCTTCCGAACTCATGAAGATACTCTCAAGATGGGTCCAAGTGCGTTGCACCTCAAACCAAACGGTTATCACTTGATCGGCGATCATAAGCTTGTTCTGCCAAGTGGAGACTTCCTCGAGGAAATGGGCGATGTACTTGGATGTTATGAGATTCTGTAGGCAAACCTGATTATCTTCAAGCGTCTCTATGAGTTCTTCCGATGCCTTCAGGAGGTTACAGCCAGTGCGCGGGTGCAGTTCGTGGTCGAACTCCATGGCCGTCCATGTGGTATTCAAATCTCTTAGTATTTTCTCCATGGACATTTCCTTGACGGCCTTGTCCACAATGTTCTTGACCTCCTCCTCGCATTCGTGCAGATTCAGGCCTAATAGCTCGGCCAGCGTTGTCTCGTGATCCATGATGAACTTGACCTATAAAGAGGACCCCATTAAAGCGAATGGATACAGAGGTTGTGGGTGCCAGGACTACGTCTGCAGTGGATCTAAAGCTACGACTACTACCGACTATAGACTACCGACACATGCGATATGTGCCTCTCTTGGCAATGCCACTTACGGTCACTTCTTTGGGCAGGGCGGCCAGACTCTGCAATGAAATGGTATTTACAAGAACTGTACAGTTTCTGCCGGGCACAAAAAATCCCGGAAATCAAGCGGAAACGAAAGAAAGAACGATTGATTATGTAAAAAGGTATTGTTGCTATATGTATATATGTACAAGGGAGTATCCTGAAAGAGGACAACTCAGGTGCTAGGGGAGTGGAGAGAGATTTACATGGATTATTTACAGTCAGGCCAGATATCTGGGATTGGCTTGGGAGATCAAAAAAACAAATAGCATTTGAATGGAAGCACAAAATAGACCTTGGTCGAGTTCATAAGCTGGTTCCAATGCCGCTCCCTGATGGCTGGATTCTGAAGCTCCCCGACAGCCCGAAGCGAGGTGAGCATGTTCTTCACCGTGGACTCCAGATTGATGAAGGTGTCCCACGGACGCATCTCCTTGTCCAGCAGTCGGATATCCTTGGCAAACTTCTTGCACTCGATATCCATGTTCTCCACATCGACCTTCCGCCATGGCGTCGTTTTCCAGTCGTCGATGCTTGTCTGGACAATGTTGACGTAGTCCCAGAGTTGCTGAGCGGTTATCGAAACAATCGGGAGGATTAGTAAGATATCGAATTTCGATTATGATTAAGGTTAGTTAATAGCTTGGGGGAAAAAAGTAAAAGCTCAAGTTCCACATGTGGCATGCAAGAATTTGGTACGAGTTCAAGATTAAAACATGCACAGACAAAAAGGAAGAAAAAGGAAACGGGTGAGTACTTGGACTAAACAGGATCCTAGGTACCTTGAGCATGCGCAGCTCCTTGCGACACTGCTTGAGGACTTTGAACTCCGGGATGTTGACCTCAAAGAGGCTGCCCGACTCCTGGATGTCCCGCATCTCGCTTTCGCACAGGAACATGTCGTCGTTGATGCGATCCATGAGCAGGTACGGCTTAAAGCAGTCGAACCGGAAGAAGTCGTACGTCTTGAAGACCTCCCGGAACAGCTGGATGTGGGTCTCGAATAGGGCGATTTTGTTCCGGATACTGACCACCTCAGTGGCCTGCAGAGGCGACACCTGCTGCTTCACAGTGGTGGCGATTTTCTTGGTGTTGGCCCACTGCTCTGGCAGCTCCTGTAGTAGAACGTTCACCTCCTCGGGAATGTCCATGTCGTAGTATTTCAGTAGCTGAATGGTCTCCTGCATGGGCTCGAACATCTCGTCGGTTCGTGATGCCCGCTCTTTCACCTGCATGAGGAAGGCCATGATGCTGACCAGGCCCTCGTAGTCCTTTTCCTTCACGGTCTGCAGAAGACCCTCGTCCGCCTTGCGGATGAAGTGGCTGAGGTTCATGAGACTGGAGGTGACAGTCGTGACCAGATGCTCCTTGAACATGTTGCCCCACTTGCACACCGTATTGAGCAGAGCCTGGCGGAAGGGTCTGACGTCCACCTGGAACCAGGAGCTGAAGACCTGGAAGGGAGCAATGTCCTCGATCTCGTTGAACAAGGACTCGTAGTTGTCGATCTGTTCCCTGAAAGCCTCAATAGTCGGTTGACACGGCTGTGGTGGTGGCTGATTCGGATCGTTTATCATGAGCAGCTCAATCTCGTCCGGATCCAGCATCCTTCCAAACTCCAGGAAGTACTCCATGCACTCTTCGCGATCGTCCAGCCAGAGGTACGAGTACCTTTCGAATTGGCGGCAGAATCGAGAGGCCTCCTCCATAACCAAATCCACTCCGTTGAGGATCTCGCGGCGCATGTCTATAATGTCCTGGTTCTCCTTGATCATCTCCACGTAGTTGCGCTTCTCATTCGGCTTCAGGCGCTTGATCAGGGAACCCATTTTCATGATGTCCCTCATTAGCTCGATCAGCATGTTATTGAAACCCATGGGATCGTCAGGGTCCAGCGAGGGCACAAACACCAGATTGGGTTCCACCAGCTCTAATCGGGACTCGAACAAAGGGGCATAGTTGTTCTCCGGGTCCATGTTCTCCGCCAAGTAGCCCACACTAACTCCCACCGTTCGCAAAATGTTTTCGTAGACAATGTTGTCCACAAAGTCCACGTAACTCAGCCAGACTGGGTCGTCCTGTTTGCGTTCCATGTCAAACTGCAGCATATTATCTTGCAGAAGCTTGTGGATTTCTATGGAAGCTGCCTGGATTTCCGTATAGCGCTTGGCGGTGCGATCCGGACGTTCGTCTATCGATAGCACCGTATCCTTCTTGCAATCCCGCCTCTCGAAGAGCGGCTGTTTGGCCCAGACGCCCATTATTTTGCGAATCGTGCGGAGATTACCCTGCGTGTGATCCATACGGTTCTGGAGAGCGGCCACTGGCTTGCGAAGCTTATCCAGGTAGGTCAGGATATCTGTAAGATGTTAAAACTTAGATTCTTTTTCCCATAAATGACTTTAAAATTTCAAACTTTTTTGATCAAGCATTCCTTCACGCTTGAAATACCTTACCTGACGAATTCCAGACGAGCTGCTCCACACCGATCTTCACCAGATCATCAATCATCTTTATCTCGGGTTCGATCAGCCTTAGCTCCACTGGGGAGCTGCCCTCCTGGATGCTGTTGTACCAGTCGATTGTCTTCTCCAGATTCAAGGTGTAGGATCGGAAGACGTCGGTCTTTTCGGCAAAATCAATAGCTATTTGAGGAATGCCGTCAATCTTCATCTGCTGCAAATAGTGAACCTCCCGGAGAATGGAGAAGAGGGCGGCGCTGAAGTTCAGGATGAGTGAATGGCTACGAGGATCGCGGGCTATCAGCGATTTTTTCAGGTTCTCCTCGATCTGGCCAGCCAGACGCTCGGCCCAGTCATCAAAGAACTGGGTCTTGCAGGCTCCCAGCTTAACCATGAGAACTTCATAACGTTCCACAATTTCCAGGGATTTCTCTGTTTTGGTTATTCTGAAGGGGAATGTTATTTGTTAAAAATATTTTATTCTGAGGAGTGGCCTTACTCATGCTGTAGAGCTTTGAAGTGCTTTATTGGAGCTGTGATCCGGGTTTCCAGCTGATGGCACCACCGGATGAAGGCCGCCACTGGAGGACAATTATAGTTGGGAAACAGATTATCCCCAACCTTCTTCAGTTCCATCTGCTTGTCGTAAATGGTTTCGCAAACTGTCATTTCGTCATCCAACATGCGTACTATTTCCGCATATCGTTGAGTGAACTCCTCCTTGATTTTTGGACGATCCAAGACACTACCCACGATGCTAATGAGCTAAGAATTACCCATATATTATATTATAACCTTAAGTATATGTATAATCCATAACTACCTTGAATATACTCTCCAAATTATGGCAATCATCGAAGGCTTGGCAGAGTATAGCTGCTAGTTTCATGTCCAGTTCAAGGATACGGGTCTGGAAGCCCTTGAAATCGTCATCGAACTCGTGATCATCCGGATCCAGGACATCATAGCTCTTCGAGGCAAAGGCCGTGAAGTATTGATTGAACTCCACATAGACATCCGTGATGCGAGTACTCAGCTGGCGACCTCGCAGCCCACCGATTTCGACTTTCTCTAATTTCAGGAATTCAATCACAGTAAAGAAGAACCTAAAAAATAACACAAGAATATTTAAAGGTATTTCCAAAAATATATAAAATATGTAAGTAATCTTTAAATCACCATTGAATGGTTGTAAGACGCTCCAGAAAGGCATTAAAGCGCTTGAAAACTGAATTTGGATGAAAGGTCCACAAAATCGGGGGCCGCTCTTCAGGCTCCGTGAAGAACGTGGCTAGTCGTTCCTTGTAGTAATCGAATAGTTCTCGGAAAAACTTAAGGATCTGTATGGACAGGGTAAGGCGTTGCATGGCCTCATCAATATCGCTGTGGAATATTGAAGATGGATCCAAATATCTCTTGGCCTGGCAAAAGAAGTCCAAAGATTACATCACAAGCAGTCTTAATAATTGATTTTCCATCTTTCATTCTAGACTGCTCACCTGGTGTATAATCAAATTGCATATTTCCTGCAGCAGGACGGTTATTTTCGCCGATTGGCAATAGTAACGCGAATTGCCCCACAAAATGCACACCGTATTCATAAACGGAATGAGCAGTGGCTTGCACTCGGCGAAATCCATCTCCTCCAGGTGCTGAAGGGGTCGTTTCAGCGGATTCAGATACAGTGTTATATCCTTTGCCTCCGCCAGTGCTATGGAAATTACCAATTCGCATGCAAAAATCATATTTCGTGCCATCGATATACAGAACACTTACCCGTAACGACATTCTTGAAGAGGGTCTGGAAACACGGATGGTAGGCACTCATCGAGTACTCGAGTATCAGGGCCATGGCCCGGATGCGCTCATTGCGCAATTGGTCGTAGATAAAGGAAAGATTCTTGAGGCGATTATTCCAAAAGGTAAATTCTGAGAGACAAAATGAGGAGGATTAAACAATTAGGATAACTAATTACTGGGGGAATTAAGATAGTTAGGGAAGGATAGTTGACTTGTAGATTCATCTTGAGTTCATATAAATCCAAGGTTTTTATTGGCAAATCATAACCTTTCTTGAAAATGTGAAACCTACTTGCAAAAAACAACCATACAGCCAATATTTAAACCCTTTTCTTATGGTAATAATCAAATATTGCATGCAAGCGGAATGTCATTCGTGAACAGATAATAAAGAAAGGCAACAAAAACTTCTCACAGGACATGCAAATTCCGCGGCACCGCCTTCGGCGTTGCTAGGATATGGGAAGACTTGAATTTTATCAATAAATAATAAATGTGTGGAAGCCAAAAATAAAACACATGACATGCCGGATACCAACCTGTGTGTGGAGTGGGATTCTGGCCATTGGCAAAGGCGTTCGAGGGGCTCTCCTTGATGACCTCGTGGATTTGGGTGGCCCACTTGATGACCACGCCCTCGATGGCGCTTTTCAGGTACAAATCGAACTGGCACTGCTCCGTTTCGACCAGCTCCTTGGCCGCCTTCACAATCTTCTCGACGCCCACTGGCATGGCCAGGATGGTCTCGCCGCTCACCTGACCCTTCACCTGGTGCACGGTACTCTTCAGACTGTGCACATGCTTTTGCACGTCCTGGGCCACCATGATGGGCCAAGTGCGGTAGTTGTCCTCGTTGGAAAGCAGCGGCACCAGCACCTCCTCTACCAGAGCGGACAACTGGTCGATGGTCCGAGTAGCGAGGTCTCCGTAGATGATGAAGTTGCCGCAATCCTCGCGTGGAATCGGCTGGGCATATCGCTTGATGAAGTACACTCCCTTGCTCTTTAGCTGGGAGAGTGGAAATGTGGTCGATGGCACCAATTGGGCGGCCGGCGTCAAGATGATGATGAGGACTACGGGTGTGCACCGGTCGAGGAACTCCTTGATGATGCCCTTGTGCTCCTCCACCGTTATGACGCGGGTCCACTTCTCCGGCTTCAGTTTGAGTGACTTGATGACAAAGGAACCCATCAGCTCCAGTCGCGGGTCCGGACCTCCTCCGGCCGCTGCAGCGGCTGCCTCGGCGCTGGTGGATGGTTCCATCGCAACCCACTGATGGGTGGTTGGGTGGATAGGTTGTTTGGTTGCTTCTCCTGCAGTGGTTTCCTTGTTGTTGTTGTTATTGTTGTCTGTTGTTTATTCTGGGGATGAGGTGCACATGCATATCTGAGTGTTTGCCTGACCTTGTTACCACTAACAACTAATATTATAAATAAAATCAATCAAACAAAACTAAAAATCGATATTATATTTTTTATGAAAATTCAAAATTTGATTTCATAATCTTTTTCGTAGGTTAATTTTCTTTAAAACTTTAACAATAGTTACGTAATGGATTTAGAAATTTTTCATTTGTTACATAAATAAAAATATTTCTTTGAAAAGATTTGTTAAAGTTAGTATAAGGCCACTTTTTTTATAATTTATTGCTTTAATAAACTAAAATCCTAATACCATAGATTACGTAACTATCACATTACATAACTCTTAAAAGAGAAAAATCCTTAAATTTTGGTTTAAAACCACATTTTTTACACTTGGGTTATTTTTATTTTAACAAAATTTAACAACGATGCTAATTAATAACATTTTTCAATCACTTTCCAAATTTTTCCCTTGAATAGTATACAATTTCTTTATTTTCCTTTTGAGTTTTCCACAGATTTTTCCTTTTCACAATTGCGACTGCTTACCTCGGCTGTCGGAATGCGACTGAAAGTCTCGTTATTTCCTCTGACGTCAAAAGTCCTACCTGACATGCGATTTCCCGCGTAAAAGTGATCGTGGCAGGACCCGTTGCTAAGGAGTTGTTGATTTTTGGTCCTGGTTCCATCTAGAGGCAGTTTTTACTGTTTGTTATTTCCCCTGCGCCATAATGCCGTTGCCAAGGCGGTTGCTATGTTTTTGGCCATTTGTTGCGCCGCCATTTCCTTAATTGCCACAAAATGGCAAACGGCACGCCATTTTGGCAACATGGAGTGCGAAATAAGTTGTTCGATTTGCACGATTCCCTATGATGGATTAAGTGCAAATTGCCGATTAATCAATTAAGATTGGTGGTGTTAGTTTTAATTGTTTGTTATTTGATTTGATTTATTCACGGGAATTGGATCTTTTGATGACAATTTTTCGCATAGTTATGGCATTTTCGATTATTTAGTTAAATAAATGGAAGCTATGACATAGTCGGATGTAATTAAAAAAAAAAACATACAAAAACCAAACTAAAAAAAATTTAAAAAAAATTATTGTTATTATTACAACAAAAATTTCAAAAAAAAAATTACAACGAAAAACTACTAAAACAACAAAAACTACAACAACAACAACAAAAACAACAACAAAAACTACAACAACAACAACAACAAAATCTACAAAAACAAAAACTACAACAACAACAAAAACTACAACAACAACAAAAACTACAACAAAAACTACAACAACAACAAAAACTACAACAACAACAACAAAAACAACAACAAAACTACAACAACAACAAAAACTACAACAACAAAAACTACAACAACAAAAACTACAACAACAACAAAAACTACAACAACAACAAAAACTACAACAACAACAAAAACAACAACAACCAGAACTTACAACAAAAGCGGCAAACAAAAATTCTAAAAAATAAAAAGGTTTTCCCGATTTTTCGAGGCTGCTTAGGTGCAACCTATGAGAATCGAGGAGGAGGGCGCTTTTTTTATTAATTAATTTTATTATTTTATTAAATATATTTTTTTTAATTCTATTGAATATTTACCAAACTAAAGCTTTTTCTCGATTGCTATCATGCGCAAACCAACTTTAAAATTGCGCTTAAAATGTTGCACGTGGAATCCTAACAATGCCATTATTTATATGCCTTTTTCTTTTAAAAATATACTTTTCTTATAAATCTTTATACCCGATTCTTACTCTCACAAAATAATTCCCAATTTGATGTCAAAATTAATGGCGAAAAAGTGATTGATTTTGCAACATGCAACCTGAAAACCAAAAACGGCCCTCAAACCACCGGCCACAAATCACTTACTCTAATTCCATCAAATGATTTCCAATCACGCCAAGAACTGTTGCACTTTCCCTGCAACAGTTTGCCAGGGGAAACTACTAAGCCAACCAAATCAGAGATAATCATTCATACTTGCCACAATTTTGGTCCCCTGTTTATGGCAGCCCTAGGCGCAGGCGCGTGCAACATGTGTCAAGTAAACAAAAACGAAGCCAAGCCACCTGTAGCTCCGGGTGAATGTCTCCAACGAGCAACAGTTTCTCGCATGACTTCCGGATATAAAAGTTTGGCTATTTGCTATTTCCATCAAGGCCTAGGTCGGGGAATCCAGTGTCTCGTGCTTTGGGTGCTGGTTCAGTGAACTTGAGAGTTGCAAGACTAAGCCCCAATCCCCAAACCCCCAAAACCGAAAACCGAAAACCACATTTATGCAAGCAGTCAGCCAAGCCTGAAAATCAATAAGCTTATAAACAACCCGACGGACCAGGTGATGGCAACCAGTTGAGTGGCGATAATGTGGCAGTTGGCACTGGCCTTGGGCCTCCTACAGCACCTGAGTATTTTGGCCATAGTGGTGGAGCGGAATATGTTTGCCTACTACAAGGTGCCGGCGGATCAGCTACTGCTTGCTCAAAATACCGACTACGAATACGAGTCTCAGGAGTTAGCCCACCCATTTGACGGCAAGGAGGTGTTCTACGTCCTTCAATGTCCTCCCAAGCTAGAGGAGGGCATACCCAAGCCACAGGACATGCAGACGTGCAACGTGGTGGATCAGTACAAGGATATTTGGAAAAAGAAGCAGAAATCGAGGTCCAAAAAGCGTCTCCACATGGTCCCTTTCCGGATTGTGCTCCGACCTCTAAGACCTCCGGCCATGAGGCGTAGCCACAAGCGCTCCAAACGCCAGCATAAAAGGGATAAAGAGTTTAATCCTGGCAAGGATAGGAATCCAGAGAAGTTGTCTTCCCCGCTCGAGCATCTGGGACGTCCGCACCGGAAACAAAAGCTATTGAAGTTGTCTGCCGATCATCGAAGATTTAAGAGAGGCAACAGTTCCAAGGGATTCCAGCACATGTACCATCGCGATGAATCCTACAACGATCACATCTTCTACGATGAGCTCCATGCCGATGGAGAGTTCCACAACTCTGGGAAAGAAAAATTCAATTAGGGAGAGCTTGGAGGCGGAATCTGACCGGTTCTCGATGACATTTGAAGGGGTGCAGTGTCAACTATTACTTAATAGGATGAATAAATATTTATAGAGACTGCAAGAATTACACAATATACAATTTTGAGCTCAAAATAAATTTATAAGAAATCCACAACGTAATCTATCTGGTAATACTTTCTCATCACTTCATTTGGCAAATTAAAACTGTCAAGTCACGAAACAATTAATACGATTGCTACTGCTCAGAACCGGCTATTAGAAAAGCTTTTCAACTATTTACAATAACCTAACCGACTAGACTAACATATTTAATGCTAATTCAACCGGTTTGCGTGCAATAGTCATATTTGTCCTTCCATAAATTCAATAAAACTGGAATGCGGTTGCTGTACAATTCGATTTTAATCGTTCACTTCGGATTCTTTGTAGACTGGCAGGAACATGTCGTCGTAGGAGATTTTGGCAAAAACGTCCTCGAAGATGCCACGAAATACTCCAGCGAAGATTTTCAGATTCTGGGGCTCCAGTTCGTTCCAGAACTCCACCCAGTGCTTGTTGAATACATGGTTTATGGCTATCGTGGCATCCGTGTTCTCCGCAAAAAAGTTGTCCAACCAGAACACCCAGCTTGAGATTAAAGCTCCTAATTAGTTATACTTCAAGGTTACATGTTAGGTCTCACCGATCCATGTTGACAAACGGATTCAGCTCGTAGATCTTCAAGTATCTCTTATTGTTCCGATACTCCATGATCACCTTCAGCTTAAGAACGAAGCGAAAGTTCTGGAAGTCCGAAAAGGATTCGCCGGTAGAGTTCATCTGAACGAGCCACGCCCTGCCCTCGGAGAAGTAGCTACCCTTGTGGATGAGACTGGGTATCCGGCCGTGAATCTCTATCAGACTGGAGGTGGGATTCTCGTCGAAGCCATTTACCTTAGTGATGGTCGTGTTCTCGAATCCATAGTTCACCTGCTCGTATAGAAAAAACTTGAGCCAGAAGGCTCCTACCCGATCATCGTCCCAGAACTTAGAGTCCTTTATGTCCACCACGTCGATGGGCTTAAGTCCCAGGGCAGGTATTCCTCTGGGGAACTTACGTATCAGCGCGTTCATAGACTTGACAATGCACTGCGAGTCTCCAAAGTTACATTTTGGGATTTCTTTGGCTGAGAGTTTTCAAATAATTGAAAATAAATGATCGTGATCACTTAAGACTACTTTAACAATCGTTACCTACGCAACATTTGAGCATTTATCGCCCCGAAAAACTGAAGGCCCAGTAAAGTAAATACCAAGTCGAGCATTTCTTTATATTATTTTCTAGTATTACTATTACACATCCAGTGCCGTCAAACGTCAATTCGCAATTGAAATTGTTTGCTGGAGGAACGTCGAAACCTGGTTATGAATCCATGTATCAGCTGCCTCTGTAACCGGTTATAAAGCTCTATTGATGTAATTTGAATTTTTAACTTGAAAAATATTCTATGCCACTTCCTTATCAAAGGTACAAAATGTAAAATAAGATTTTCCAAAGTTAGGGAGTATATATTTTAATTTTTACAAATAAGATGTTAATCGTTCACTTCTGAACCTTTGTAGACCGGCAGGAACATATCATCGTAGGAGATTTTCGCGAAAACATCCTCGAAGATACTACGAAATACACTGGCAAAGATTTTCAAATTCTTGGGCTCCAGTTCGTTCCACAACTCCACCCAGTACTTGTTGAAGACTTGGTTTATGGCTATTGTGGCATCCGTATTGTCCGCAAAAAAGTTATCTAACCAGAAAACCCACCTAGCGAATAAAACTTCTAGTTAGTTGTACTAGATGGTTAGTTGAATCAGTCCTCACCGATCCATGTTGACAAACGGAGTCAGCTCGTAGATCTTCAGATAGCGCTTGTTATTCCGGTACTCCATTATCACCTTCAGCTTGAGGACGAAGCGAAAGTTTTGGAAGTCTGATAAGGACTCGCCCGAAGAGTTTAGCCTGATGAGCGTAATCTTGGCTTCAGAGAAGTATCTACCCTTGTGGACGAGACTAGGTATACAGCCATGAATCTCTATCAAACTGGAGGTCGGATTCTCATCGAAGCCATTCACCTTTGTGATGGTCGTGTTCTCGAATCCGCAGTTCACCTGATTGTATAGGAAAGTATTTATCCAGAAGGCTCCTACTCGCTCGTCGTCCCAAAACTTTGAGTCCTCGATGTCCACCACGTCGATAGGTTTGAGACCCAGATCAGGTATTCCTCTGGGGAACTTTCGTATCAGCGCATTCATAGATCTGACGATACACTGCGAATCTCCAAACTTACATTTTGAAATTTCTTTGGCTGAAGGTTTCCAAATAATCGAAAACAAAAACTCGTAATCACCGAGATACTTATTTGATTTTTGTTACCTACGCAACATCTGAGCATTTATCGCCCCGAAAAACTGGAGGCCCAGCCAAGTGAGTATAAAGTCTCGCATTTTTTTAATTGTTTTACACATCCAATGCCTTCAACCGTCGATTCGCATTAGAATCTGTTTTGTGGAAGTACGATTGAAACCTGGTAATGTATCAGATGCCTTAAAACCGGTTAAAAGTTCTGTAGATGGCATTTGCATTTTCAACTTGAGCAATTTGTTACAAACTTTCAATATGATTTCCTTCTTAAATAAACAAAGACAATCGAGTGTTCTAAAATAAACAAATATTTCGTCAAGGAAGAGGATCCTTCCATAGGTGAAACACCAATTACAGCAATAGGTTTTTCACCTATGGAAGGTTCTTATGATTCCTTCTGGAAAATATCTAATAGAAGATATATTGTAATAATATTGTAAATTCCCTTAATGAAGACTATAAAAATTGAACTTGTTACTTTGCTAGTTACTGTTGATAGTCTAGTAATAGTGTGATAGTCTAGTAAAGCTTTCTAAAAGATCTATGCATTAACCTGATTTAATGACCCACAACTGAAAAAAATATTAACCGTTCCACATACCATATGTATTTAGAAACACAAATTATCTAGGTATTTCTATATTTATATTATTTTAAAAGTCTTTTTATAAACTTAACTACATTGTTATTCATTATTTCAATCCTCATCGGGCAGGAACAGGTCATCATAGGGCACATTGTGGAATAAATCGTCAATCATGCTCCGGAAAACGGTTTCAAATAAGCGCAGGATTCCCGGCTCTAGTTCATTCCAGAACTCTACCCAATTGTGATTGAATAAATTATTGATCGCAATGGTCAAATCAAAGTTATCCGGAAAGAAGTCATCCAGCCACATAATCCAGCTAAGAGATAAATAATTTTTAACAGATTTTAAACAAAGTTTGTCTTTAAGATAAAATCCAACTCACCGTTCTAGCCGGATATTTGGCACCAATTCATATATCCTAATATATCGCTTATTGTTTCTGTATTCCGTCCGGACTTTCAGGGTCAAATCGAACTCGAAGTTGAGGAAGTCGGAGCTGGATGTGCCTGTTGAATTGATCTCCACAAACCATAGCATCCTGCCCTTGGCCTTATAATCTCCTTTGTAGGTCAGCCGGGGTATCTTTCCATGGATTTCAATTTTGGTGGAGGTGGGATCACGATCGAAGCCCCGAATCTGGGTTATTGTGGTATTCTCGAAGCCGAGGTTGATTTGGTTGAGAAGCTCGAAGCTGTACCAGGCACCACCCACCTGCGAATCATTTACCAGCAGCCAATCCTTGACGGGCAAAACATCGAAAGGTTTGAGATTCAACTCCGGAATTCCCTTGGGATAGTTTTTCAACAGAGCATTGGCTGATTCCATCAGGCACTTGCCATCGCCGTAATGACATTTTTTTATATTTGAAGCTAAAATGTAAAAATTAATAGAATGTTCAAATATAATTCTATTAAAAACTATTACGGAAAGCTTGGCCCAAAATGCCCACAAAAAGTTGAAACCCAATCAAAAGATAGTTCAAAAGATCCATTTTACAGAAACTTAACCCGCAAGATCTCCGGCAGTACGATGCACTGGCATATTCGATGCCAACTGCTTGATCCGCTAAACAATTTGTATTAAGTCGGAGCATTTACAAGGAAATCAAAAACCCGCTGCCATTATCATAACAAGTTCTCTGTGAGACTACATGCAATATAATCACTGAGGAAAAACAATTAAATCTTACAGCATTATTGACTTTAAAATAAAAGTATTGTCTATTAAACCAAAGTTTATTCTTAACGAATCAGTCTTGAAAATACTAATTAAAATCAGTCTTAAAAAATAACTAATTTTTAGTCCTTATTAATACTATAAAATAGATTCCTTTTACAAAAGTTTGGTTCAGTGCTTTAATAAATTAAAGCCTAGATTTACTTTACAATTAGCATTACCTGATCTAACTCTAAAATAAAACAACATTACTACATCGCAAAGCTTTTGAGCTACTAGAGCTTTATAGAGTTTTTATTATTATATCAAAAAATAATATCAAATTATAAATACATTGTTAATGGTATATTTTAAACTTATCAAAAAACTATAATCTATAAAAATAGATCTTTGTAGGGAATCGCAGATAAAACGGTATTAATTCGCCTGATAAACTCGAGCTTCAACTCAGCCGTTACTTGTGGTTCGAAGTCCACCCAGTACTCCTTCCAATTTTTATTTATCCATTCATTGACGATAACATTCAGATCTGTATTGCTCACAAACAAATTTTGTATGTCCTGTATCCAACTGAAAATTGGTTTTAAGCAAAAATACACAAAACATTTCATGGAATACATACCGATCTATTTCAATTCTCAAGTCCAGATTGTAAATCTTCACGAAGCCTTCTTTTTCAGGTGAGAGCGAGAATTTTGTAATGAACCGAAAGTTCTGAAAGTCGCCATCTGCCTCACCCGATGCATTCACATGTAAGCTAAGAAATTTCGATAAGAACTCGAAGTGAAGTTTGGACCGCAAGCTGGGAGTCCTTCCGTGAATCTCCACCTGGGATCGGGAAGGGTCTGTCTTAAAACCACGGATTCGGGAGATAGTAACATTTTCGATTCCATAAACCCAATGATTAGTCAGAAACCACTTAAACCAGAGGGATCCATTGGGATCACCCGCACCAAGCTCACTGTTCTTGCCTTTAAAAACGTTTAAAGGTGGCAGTGAGAGTTCCGGAACACCTGTTTTTCCATAACGCTTGATCACAGCATTACTGGTTCGCAGGAGGCACTTTTCATCCTCATAACGACACTTTTGAATATCCGGAGCTGATGGAATTTTGCAAAACAATAAAGTATTCGCATAAATTTTATCAACAATCAAGTCTTACGTAATTGATTGCCTCCAATTATTTGAACAACTAGTGCGAGACATATCCACCTCAGATGCATTACGATCACTGATAATCGTTGCAGGTTCTACAGCTCTCTATATTTTATAGATTCTGAGCTTTAACTGGCTTGATAAACTTCTAAGTGAATAAATCGGTGAATCACCTAAATTAATTGTTGCATTTTAAGGGAAGAAGTTTATTTATAAGGAGCAGCTTTCGGCTTTGATTTTGATCTTTTTTTTCTATCTTTTATCTTTTTATACTATCTAGTTACCAACTAATTTTCGTGATGGGCTAGTAACTGTCTGTTTAATTATTCAAATCATCTACTTTTTACTTTTTATCCCTTACACCCACGCCAATACTTGACATCGGATATCAGATTTAATAAGTGATTCTAATAGAGCTTCATTAACAGCATCTGGTGAGAATTTTCACTTTCAATTAGCGAACTAGTCTGCTATTAATATTAAATGGCAGATATTAATATCAAATTTAAAAAACTTTGTTTTTATCGATTTTTGAACCAAACAATTTTTAATTAAATATTACATTTAGGAGAGTAATGAACTCCTGTTACCAGTGGCGGATTTAAGGAAAAAGGCCCAGTGGGCAAAATTTTTTCAGGGTACATTGAATGGTATTTTGAAGGGTACAGCCCAGAAAATTCGACAAAAAATCTTAAAAATATTTTGTTCCCAGATTTTGATGCAGATTTATAAAGAATCGATCCACAAATCGTTTAAAGTATTCCGCTCCAGAATCGGATGAATATTTCCTAAGATATGGCCTACGCAGTGGGTCATATGGGGCTCCCCATGCATTTTGCACATTTTGAAGGGGACAGCCCAGAAAATTTGACAAAAAATCTTTAAAATATTTTGTTTCCAGATTTTGATGCAGATTTATGGAGAATCGATTCACAAATCGTTTATAGTATTCCGCTCAAGAATCGGATGAATATTTCCTAAGATATGGCCTACGCAGTGGGTCATATGGGGCTCCCCATGCATTTTGCACATTTTGAAGGGGACAGCCCAGAAAATTTGACAAAAAATCTTAAAAATATTTTGTTTCCAGATTTTGATGCAGATTTATGGAGAATCGATCCACAAATCGTTTATAGTATTCCGTTCAAGAATCGGATGAATATTTCCTAAGATATGACCTACGCAGTGGGTCATATGGGGCTCCCCATGCATTTTGCACATTTTGAAGGGGACAGCCCAGAAAATTTGACAAACAATCTTTAAAATATTTTGTTTCCAGATTTTGATGCAGATTTATGAAGAATCGATCCACAAATCGTTTAAGGTATTCCGTTCAAGAATCGGATGAATATTTCCTAAGATATGGCCTTCGCAGTGGGTCATACGGGGCTCCCCATGCATTTTGCACATTTTGAAGGGGACAGCCCAGAAAATTTGGCAAAAAATCTTTAAAATATTTTGTTCCCAGATTTTGATGCAGATTTGTGGAAAAGAAATCGAAGGTGTAACTTTCAGCACGAGGGGCCCTGAAAGCCTTTCGTCGGGGGGGCCCAGTGGGCAAGCGCGCCTTTGCCCACCTGTTAAATCCGCCACTGCCTGTTACAGAACCAGTCTTTCAAAATTCTAAAAAAAAAACTGGTCAGCTTTCTGAAAAAAATTCCTTTTTAAAAGTCTGTTAAAGTCAAGATGAATTTTACAATTAGCATTACCTGATCTTAGCACTAAAATACAACTTCAATACAAAGCTTTTGGGCTACGAGAGCATTGTAGAATGTTTATTATTATAGCGAAAAATAGCAAACGAGCAAATTAAATATATGTTAGACTTTGAAGTTATCAAAACTCTAGAAATTATAGAAATAGATCTTTGTAGGGAATCGCTGAGAAAATGGAATTTAATCGCTTAGTAAATTCGAGCTTCATCTCAGCCGTTACTTGTGGTTCGAAGTCCACCCAGTACTCCTTCTAATTTTTATTTATCTATTGATTGACGATAATAGTCAGATCTGTATTGCTCATAAACAAATTTTGTATGTCCTGTATCCAACTGAAAATTGGTTTTAAGCAAAAATACCCAAAAACTTTTATAAAATGAATACCGATCTATTTCAATTTCAATTCTATTTTAGTTCTCAGCATATGAAATTTTAATTATACATTTCCCCAACATATTATTTTAAAATTGTTCAGCTTTTTCAAACTTTTGCAAACAAATGATATATATCGCTTAAGAGTGCGATATTTTATTGGTTGGTATTTTTATCGATAAGCCTATCGGCAGCTAGAACTATCGCTGTAATAGTACGGCTGTCACATCACTAGGCCTGACAGCACTGCCTAAAAGAAAACACTGGGACACAGGAACAACAAATACAAGCGCTGACGATTTCGCACCAATTTGTTAGTGCCACGACTGCCGATCAGGCTAATCCCATCGTCACACCGGTGCAGCCTCCTTAATGACGACGATGTTAACGATCCGTATTGGCAGCTGGTCAGTGGATCGAAGCTAAGGGACTATGCAACGGACAGCGTGCGGTGGCTGCAGCAGTGACTCCCCTAAGCATATACTAATCCAAGGATAGTGTCCAACTCAACAAGGACCCTCTCAACATCCAGCCATGCTGCTGGTACGGCAGCTGTTCGGTGCTTCGCCCAATTCATGGGCCAGCGCCCTTAAACTTTTCGTCCTTGCCTGGGTGGCACTGGTGTACGTGTTCGTGGTAAAACTGACGAACACCCAGGGACAGCAGGCGGCCGGCGAGAGCGAGCTAAATGCCCGAAAGATCAACCAGGCGCTGCAAATGCTGGAGCACACACGCCAGCGCAACGAGGAGCTCAAGCAGCTCATCGACGAGCTGATGAGGTAAGTGTTAGGCTGGCGACTTGGCAGTGGAATGACAAAAGATAGTCTTGATAGTCTTCCGATTGGAATAGCGGTCTTTAAAGGAAAGAAACAAACAGGAAGAACCTTAAAAAGTCATAGATTCTTGACCATTCAGGACACTTTGCTCGTATTTCTGTATTTTTGCTTCCTTTCATTCTATTCACGGTACAAGGCATATCTAGGAAATCCATTAGCACTGCACTAAGAACAGGAAACATATGGCAAAAAACTATTTTTTGTTTAAAATTTATTGCTTTTAATGTTAAACAGATGGAATAAAAGGCAGTTCATGTATAAATGCATCTGTTTCGTGGCTATAAATGTTTTGATTCGAACTTTTTCCTTAAAAACAAGCTGAAGCGGTCATTGAACTCTGTGAGGGCAAATAAGATCAATTAGCTTAATTAGGAGTTATGGTTTTCCCTTTTCACTTAACAGTTTGGAAATTGAATTCACAGTTTCATTAAAAACTTTAGTTGCATTTTATCACAAATTTGTATCAAAGTTTGGAGGCGGATACCCCGCCAAAAGACCGTGTTTAGTAATTTCGAAAAATAATGGAAAACGTAAATGGCACTCGCCATTTGAGAGTCGCGACTGAGTTAAAACTGTCGTGCAGTGTCGTGGTTAATTATTCATGCCACGCCAACAGATTACATACGATAAGCTGCTTACTCACCCAATCCGCCATGTTATGTGCGTGTTCTCCACTTCCAGCGATCAACTGGACAAACAGAGTGCCCTAAAGCTCGTCCAGCGGCTAGAAAATGATGCCCAAAACACAAAGAACTCGGCGGACGGAATCGGACCCGAACCGGAGGCATTGTTTGAGTCGGCGCCCGCGGATTTGCGAGGGTGGAACAACGTGGCCGAGGCGGCGCCCAACGATATTGTGGACGTGGGGGAGCATGGCGAGATAGAGCCGAGTCTAGAGTACGAGTTCACCCGCCGTCGCATCCAGACGAATATCGGCGAGATCTGGAACTTTTTTAGCAGCGAGCTAGGCAAGGTACGCAAGGCGGTGGCCGCCGGGCACAGTAACTCTGATCTGGAGGAGACCATCAACCAGGTGCTGTTGCAGGGCGCCGAGCACAAACGGTCGCTCCTGAGCGACATGGACCGCTTGCGGCGGTCGGATGGCTATGAGGCTTGGCGCCACAGAGAGGCCAAAGAGCTCAGCGACCTGGTGCAGCGCCGGTTGCACCATCTGCAGAATCCGAAGGACTGCCAAAATGCCCGCAAGCTGGTCTGCAAGCTAAACAAGGTATGAAATGAAAGAGTTATCCTGATTCATTTATCTATTCTTTATTATCCAAGCACATCCATAATTATGCTTATTATAACTTAACTAATCCTTCAATCCTTTACTTCCAGGGCTGTGGCTATGGATGTCAACTGCATCACGTAGTCTACTGCTTTATCGTGGCCTACGCCACTGAAAGGACGCTGATTCTGAAATCCCGCGGCTGGCGCTACCACAAAGGCGGCTGGGAGGAAGTTTTCCAGCCGGTCTCCAATAGCTGTCATGATGCGGGCACCGCCAACACGTACAACTGGCCCGGCAAGCCGAACACCCAGGTGCTGGTCCTGCCTATTATTGACTCGCTAATGCCGCGACCCCCGTACCTGCCGCTCGCCGTGCCCGAAGACTTGGCACCGCGTCTGAAGCGCTTACACGGCGACCCAATTGTCTGGTGGGTCGGCCAGTTCCTCAAATATCTGCTCCGTCCGCAGACAACGACGCGGGACTTTCTTACCTCCGGGATGCGAAACTTGGGATGGGAACGTCCCATTGTCGGGTGAGTAAGATCCTTTAAGAAGGAAGAAGGAAGTATTATGTTGCTATTGTGACTTCTATTTCTCCAGCGTTCATGTGCGTCGCACGGACAAGGTTGGCACTGAGGCGGCTTGCCACAGCGTCGATGAATATATGACCCATGTGGAGGATTACTATCGCACACTGGAGGTGAACGGAACGAGCGTCACGCGTCGCATCTTTCTCGCCTCGGACGATGCCCTGGTGATTGAGGAGGCGCGACGGAAGTATCCGGAGTACCAGATCATTGGCGATCCAGAGGTGGCACGCATGGCATCTGTTTCCACGCGCTACACGGACACATCGCTGAACGGTATCATCCTGGACATACACCTGCTCTCGATGTCCGACCACTTGGTGTGCACCTTCTCGTCGCAGGTTTGCCGCGTCGCCTACGAGATCATGCAAACGATGTACCCGGATGCGGCAAACCGCTTCAAGTCGCTGGACGACATATACTACTACGGAGGTCAGAACGCGCACAATCGCCGCGTCGTCATCGCCCACAAGCCCCGTTCGCACGAGGATCTGCAGCTGCGCGTCGGCGACCTTGTTTCCGTGGCCGGAAATCATTGGGACGGCAATTCCAAAGGGAAGAACACGCGCACTAATCAAGTCGGTCTGTTCCCATCCTTTAAAGTGGAGGAGAAAGTGGACACCGCCAAGTTACCGCTCTATCCTGGCGTTTAGTTCGATATATATATATTTATATAGAATGAAAAAGAACCCAGTTGGTCGGTTAGCCCGCCATGTTGTTGATTGAATCTGTGAATCTATGAATCTCTTTAGCCGCATTCCACCCGGTATCCTACGCCGCCCGGTGCCCTTCGGTTCAGCATTTCCAGAATCTCAACCAGATATATCTCTAGCTCTATAATATGTCTCGAATAATTATCGTATGTTCCGTTCTTTTGTGCTTCTTCGTGTACGTCTAGATTTTTACGCCCTGGATCCGATTCTGATTCTGCATTTGTACAAGTCTTTTATTATTTATAAGTCGAAAGCCGAAGAAATTATGTTGACAAGAATACACATAAAAACAAAGAAACAAAGTATATATACAAATAATTATATATAGGAGTGCATGTAGGTTCACTAAGCGCAATATAGTCTATCACCTGTAAAATAGTTGAAAACGATATGAGAACGTAAAAACAAAATCTGATTACTTCAATAGCAAAAGGAATAAATAAAAATGTTTTAAAAAGAACCCACAGTGTGCTTTGTACAAGGCCGGTCTTAACTTATTCGTTATCCGCAACGTTTAACATATCCTGGATCAGGATCCAGCTTGTGAACTTCTCTGGATTGCTCTGCGATCAGCGCTTCAAAGGGTGCCACTATGAAACTTCCCTCTTTTTCCACTACGTTACTTTGGCAAATAAATCCCCATTTCCCCATTTAAGACTTCTAGAATCTAGATGCTCTAATCAAAGAATGGTGTTCCTTTTTGGAATCGGATACAAATTGGAGGAACTATGAGTCTCAAAAGATGGCCAAATGGGGAAGATCGGAAATTGATAATTTTTAAGGGGGATTATTTGAAAAATTTTTAAAATATTAAAAAACTAAATTAGGGGATTGTTTTAAATAAGGGGCAAAACATCGAAGGGTTTGAGATTCAACTCCGGAATTCCCTTGGAGTAGTTTTTCAAGAGAGCATTGGCTGATTCCATCAGGCACTTGCCATCGCCGTAACGACATTTTTTCTATTGGAAGCTAAGATGTAAAATTTAATTGGCTTTTCAGGGTTAATTCTATCCATTTTACAGAAACTTAATCCGCAAGATCTCCGACAGTACGATGCACTGGAATATTCGATGCCAACTGCTCTATTCGCTAAACAATTTGTATGAAGTCGGAGCATTTACAAGGAAATCAAAAACCCGCTGCCATTATCATAACAAGTTCTCTATGAGACTACATGCAATATAATCACTGAGGAAAAACAAATAAATCTTACAGCATTATTGACTTTAAAATAAAAGTGTTGTCTTTTAAACTAAAGTTTATTCTAAAAGATAAAAAACAGTCTTACAAAATACTAATTCCACTGAATAGTTTCCTTACAAAGCAATTTTAAAAAATAGATTCCTTTTACAAAAGTTTGGTTCAGTGCTTTAATAAATAAAAGCCTAGCAATACCTGATCTAACTCTAAAATAAAACTACATAGCAAGGCTTTTGGGATACTAGGGCTTAGTAGAATGCTTATTATTATAGCAAAAAATATCATATGAGCAAATTATAAATACATTGTTAATGAAAGACTTTAAAGTTATTAAAACACTAGAAATTATAGAAATAGATCTTTGTAGGGAATCGCTGAGAAAATGGAATTTAATCGCTTAGTAAATTCGAGCTTCATCTCAGCCGTTACTTGTGGTTCGAAGTCCACCCAGTACTCCTTCCAATTTTTATTTATCCATTCATTGACGATAACAGTCAGATCTGTATTGCTCACAAACAAATTTTGTATGTCCTGTATCCAACTGAAAATAGGTTTTAAGCAAAAATACACAAAACATTTCATGAAATACATACCGATCTATTTCAATTCTCAAGTCCAGATTGTAAATCTTCACGAAGCCTTCTTTCTCAGGTGAGAAGGAGAATTTTGTAATGAACCGAAAGTTCTGAAAGTCGGAATCGCCCTCACCCGATGCATTCACATTTAAGGTAAGAAATTTCGATAAGAACTCGAAGTGAACTTTGGACCGCAAGCTGGGTGCCCTTCCATGAATCTCCACCTGGGATCGGCCGGGATCTGGATGGAATCCCCGGATCCGGGAGAGAGTAATGTTTTCGGTGCCATAAACCCAATGATTAGTCAGTATCCACTTAAACCAGAGGGATCCGTTGGGATCACCTCCTTCAAGTTCACCGTTCCTCACTTTTAAAACGTTTAAAGGTGGCAGTGAGAGTTCCGGAAGACCTGTTTTTCCATACCGCTTGATCAGGGCATTACTGGTTCGCAGGAGGCACTTTTCATCCTCATAACGACACTTTTGAACATCCGGAGCTGATGGAATTTTTCAAAACAATACAGTATTCGCATAGATTTTATAAACAATCCGCACTTACGTAATTGATTGCCTCCTATTATTTGAAAAACTAGTGCGAGACATATCCACCTCAGATGCATTACGCTCACTGATAATCGTTGCAGGTTCTACAGATCTCTTTATTTTATAGATTCTGAGCTTTAACTGGCTTGACTAGTTTCTAACTGAATCAGTAAGTGAATCACAGACCTCAATTGTTGCACTTTTAGGGGAGAAATTCATTTTTGGGGAGCAGCTTCCGGTTTTTATTTGTATAATGTTTCAAAAAGACTTAAAGTCCAGATGATTATATTTTATCTAGTTATCGACTAATCTTTATAATGGACTAGTAACTGTCTGTTAATTTTTGCAAATCACATAATTACTTTTGATCACTTACACCCACTGCCATACTTGACGTCGAATATAAGATTTTAATAATGATTCTAGTAGAGCTTCATTAAGAGTCTGTTCTTATAATTTTCACTTTCAATTAGCGAATAAATTAGCCATTAAACATGCAGCTATTAATTCCGAATGTTGTAACCGCAATTAAAATATTTAAACTAGTTTAAAAACTTTATTTTTATTAATTTTTGTACACAACAATTTTTTATTAAATAATTACATTTAGGAGAGTAATGAACTCCTGTTGGACCTTTAGTGTTACTCAAAACGTGCATGTATAAAGAGTAGGAGTTCCTAATTAAAATATTAAAAAATAAATAGGGAATTCAAAAAATTTAAAAGTTTTTGCTAAATTATTTCGCACACACACACAGTTAATATAAAAAGAGACACAATTTTTAGGCAAATTTTTACAGGAAGATTTACACACGATTAGACAATTGATGTGGTTCGATTTACGCTCACTTAATTTCACAGCCTTACTATTAAGAGACTTTATAATTACTTGATTTAATTAAAAGTGCATTTGATAAGTGATAATTTTGACGATACTCATGGCTTTCTATGTCTCTCTGCGCTTATTTTGATATTAGTAGTGTTCATTTCCGTTTTCGATTTCTTTTTTTTTTGGTATGCGTTTATGTTAGAAAGTAGTTATTGTGTTACACTGATCCCAGGTCCTCTTGGAGAACCCCTCAAGAATAGAGTATACCCGAAGCAACAACGAGCGCCAGTCCATTTTTCGGGAGACCCTTGCCGAAAAACTTTGCCACACGGCGTCCGCTGTTGGGCGGTTTGTTACGGCGGCGGCATTCACGGTACCGATTCGAATGCCACCGCTAGCTGATTACCAGATGGTGTCCCTCGGACCTGGCCTCCAGATTGCTGCTGGGGCATCCTAGCTCGTTGTTGTTGCTGTTGGTGAAACAAACCTCCTCACTGCCATCGGAATCAGTGCAGCACAGTAATGGCTACGCATCCTCACCGTCGATGGCGTCCGGTTCTTGGTCGCCGTTTGTGGCAATTCTGGAAGTTCAAGTGGAAGTTATGGATGAAATTTTCATAAATGGATGGTGATTGATGAGTGCTTGGATGAGGTACAACTCTCTCGTAAAGCTAAGGGACTACTAGCGACTTGAAAGGTAAATCAGGGGTTTTTAAGAGGGGTAAGAGCATGGAGCGTACTGACTTTATAATTAAAAACATAGTAAAGGATTATATAGGCATAAATATTAATCCGAATTAATATTTGTTCCAATCAAGGAGATACAAAAATTAAATAAAAATCTAAAATCAACAACGATGCTTAATAAATAAAAAGTTTATAAAAATGGAATTTCTATCAAGGCTGTTAAGGAACTTTATAAAGTTTAATTTGGTCACGTTTGTTTATAGAATCAGATTTAGTGATTAGGCAACCATATTTAAAATTTCATGTACAGGTAAATATATTTCATTTATGCATATATTTTTTTGCAGCAATTTCAAATTAAAAAAACAATAAATTCTAAAAATTAGCATGCACATTTACATAAATGGTACTACTAAAAATAGTATTACAAAACCCCAGTTTCTACATATTTTATAACAAACATATTAAGTTATAAAAGTAAAGATATAATACAAATTTAAACAAAATAAAAGTTTATATAAAAAATTAGTTTTTAAGTCATATATTAAAAATGTCTACAGCAAATAAATAACACTGGAAGCTAATAAAATCCACAATCAGAAGGTTTACACAAAAAGTTATCAAAAAACATAAAATGTACAAAGTCCCAAAAATAAAAACACAAAAAACAAATTAAAAGCAAACAAATAAAAAACCACCAACAAAGACTAAAACGAATATTCGTATTTATTATTTTCTGGTAGGGGAAATAAAAGTTCTTGGAGAATTTATTTATTTCTAAAGTTAATAAATAGTCTAAAAAATATACAAACACAGAAACTTTCAAGTACATCATTATTTATACAAGTATCAAGTATTGGAATATCAACAACGTCCATTGTGAAAAGAAGTACGTACAATTTGTCTAATAAATAAACTAGTTTGTTTAAAATCATCTAAGAAAAATACTTAAATATCTTGATCTAAGTAGGACGATAATAAATTCTTTACCACATTTACAGAAAGCTCAAATCTTAGTTTAGAATTACGGAAAAGGCACTTAAGACTATCTTAGTTGGCTTCGTTGGGTGAGATTCTGGATTGGATTCTGTATGGGATTTCTGGGGGCTCCATTGTCGTTAAGTGTCAGCTCGCTATATACATTTTAAGCAGGAGGATCCGATCCAGAACGGTAGATAACGTCGATGTGGCCCGAACAAAGAGAAAAAATCAGTTTTGACCAGCACACACTACTTATTTGGACGCAGCACATTTTGTCCAGAATATTTTATCAAAATAATTTTTATCAAAAATGGATTTTATTTAATTTTTATTTTCGAATTATTCGGTCAGTCATGGCACGAGTCTGTTAATCGATTATAATTTGGAAAACTCAAGTTTATCTTATGTTCCATTGAAACTTTGCATATTATGGGCAATTCTTTGGAAATCGATTTTGTTCAAGTTGGTTTTTAAATTTTTCGAAATTAATTTTCAAATTGTTTGTATAAATGCCAAAAAATCCATTTCCGAGGTGTACGAGTGCGTGTATATTTGTTTGTTTGATTGTGTCAATTTAGAATATTTTTTTAGAATATCGGTTTTTTTTTTAGCCACAAATGAATGGAAAACATCAATCAATCCGATTGGGAGGGTATAGTTGTTGTTACAGTAGACACCGAGTATAAGATCAGGGTGGAGATGGTGCAATATATTTTATTTTATTGGTGAACACACAGATATAGACAGAGGATACAGAGGGTTTCCGAAAAACATATAATAAAAGAGAAATGACATTTTTTATTTAGAAAGTTTAGTAGGTAGAGTGTAAAAAATGAGCCACGTCCGATGTGCTGTGATGCCCAAAACCAATAAATAAACCAAAATCCATATCAAATAAACTAAAAGTAGCCTATAACTAAGCTAATAATATAATCTTAATGTTTAAAATCGGGTATATCCTTTGGTAATCCATATTTGAATCCAGTTTGCGTTGGACATCTCGAGGCACTTGTGGCCAGAACCAATTAACAATAAATTAAAAGACTTTCGAGTAATACTTATTGATAAATGCAATCTTTATTTAACATGCTAAGCGCCAGAGCCTTATGAGCACATAATACCCATTGCCCGATAAAGCAATCTGTGCAGACTTACTTATTATCTATAGGAGCCCATTGCTGATGGGTAAATGCTTTCAATGTACAATCGTAGAAACCCTAGAGACATGCCTTAATATTAATAGAATGTTGCATAGATCCTACTAGTTAGGTACTTATTAGTTAGGTAGTTTGTTGATTAGTTAGTGGTGTTAGGAGCGTGATTTAGTGTTAATATCACAAGGGTATGTGTGGGGGTGTTTTGAGGAGCTTGGCCTGTGTAATTAGTTATTCAGTTAGGCACTTTCTCCGAGACGGTATCGAGACCTTTCACCGTGTTAGTAGCTGATTCGCCTACAACTAAGGTTACATCACTGTGAAGAATCAAGAGAAGAGAGAGCATAGCGAGATACGATTCGGGACTTTAGTTGAGGTTTAGAGTTAATAACCAAAAGATAATTATTAGAAGAATTAGGAAGAAAGAAGGAAGAAAGAGAAAGTAAAGCTTGGCAGAAGGGGTTTTGGTTAGAAAAGAGGGTTAGATGCGGGTAGAAATTAAATCACAAGCCGAGGATTCTAATAGATAGATCGAGATTACAGATCGAGAGAGTTGTGCAGAGTTGTGTGTGTTGTGGAGGTGTATGGTGATGTGCTGGGGCGAACTTATTCCGAAACATACCTGGCATACGTCGAGTTGGCGTTCTTTATCGAAAAGCTGTTCTGGCTTGGCAACACAAACCGCTGCACCCACTGTAAAATAGAGAACACCACTTGAGTACCACTAGATGAAGTCGTCTGCCCTAAGCCCCAAAAGCCTCACAGAAGCGTATGCTGACGGTCACGTAATTTGATAAAGTCAGTCCACTGATGGCCCTATCAGTGATGCTTTAAAATGTGTCAACACGGTCGCCCAATTTGTGATTTGTTAAGCCCTATTGATAAGTGCCGCCAAGAACCCGAATACTTACCCGACTATTCATCAGACGTTGATTGCCCATGCAGGCGGCCATATGTATAACAAGGTACAGGTTAAAGAGTATATACAGAACGGCAAATATACCTGAAATTAGGAGACAAATAGTATAAACTAGAATACTTAAAGTGAATGCAATGTTAAACTCACAAACTAGAGCCAGCAGGCCGCCTTCTATCTGCATATTCTCCACCTGAACAATCACAAAGTACAAATTAACGCCAATCACCACAATGGTGAGCAATATGGAAACGATTTTGTTGCCCCTGAAATATCAATCAATTGAAATACAAGCGAAATCAATCAGCTGGCAAGCTGGGAATGTATCACTTACAGTCCATTGACGAACTCGCCCATTATGGCGGCACACGATGTGAACGCAATGGTGGGAATGGCGGCAAATGGCAGCTGAAGCGACATCACAGCATTCAGAATATCATTCATGTGGGTTAGGTCGTCCATTTTGCTGAACATGGCCAGGCAGAAGGTGGGAATAATGGCAATGCATCGCGTGACCAGCACGCGGCACCAGCGCGGCCACTGCAGGTTGAGGAATCCCTCCATCGAGAACTGACCAGCATAGGTGCCCGTCATCGTAGAGCTCTGACCAGCGGCCAAGATACCTACGCCCCAGATGTACATGGCCACGGCGCCAAAGGTGCAGCCCAAAAAGAGACCACCCTTGTACAAATCAGCATCGATGATGTCCGTTCCATTGTTGCTGTCCACAAAGGACATTTTGGCATCTTCGTACATCGATTTATCGGCGCACATCTCCACCTATAATTAAGGACACAGATAAGCATAAATAGGTTGGATTAAATAGACTAACCCTGTACTTACCACATCATTGTTGGTCTTTCCGTACATTCCATGAGCAAAGACGGCCACCACGAAGAGATTAATGATGAAAGACACAAACAGGGCCACCGATGCCTCTATGAAGAAGTAAAAGTTCGCCTCGCTCACTTTTTTCGGCTGGCGACGATCAACATCGCGGGACTATCAAAAGATCTTTCATAAATACATATTCTTTAGTCTAGAGTATTTATAAATATATCACCTTAACTAAGGCAGAGTGCAGGTAGAGATTATGGGGCATAATCACAGCACCGACCACTCCCACCGCCTGCAGTAGCACACTTGAGTCGCAGTTGGAGCACCAGGGCACAAACATACCCTCCAGAACCTCGCCTTGATTGGGTGCTGAGACAATGTACTAAAATAGAGATCACGAAAAATGCATTAAAATAAGTTTATTTGAATAGAAAACAAAGGAAACAATCAGTAGAAGTAGCAAAAAAATCCCAAGATTCCCCTAAAACTTGATAAATGGTATTACGCGCCGATAAATAAGTACGCAGAAATAAATTCCCCTAACTCTCACAGGCCCCCATTGGTGATTAAAAAAATCCCCACGGATAATTGTAAAGTACTTCATTATATAACCAAAAAAGATAAGGTATTGTGGTGGTATTGTTTGCCACATCTGGAACTGGAACTGTTTGTCATATCCGGCAGCATCATGTGCCCGGTGCCACCCACAGATCACATAGTATTGCTCTTAAAAATGTGCAAGTGCAGCTTATCTAATCGTCTGCGTCTCCGTCTGGGACAGACAACTCAAGTACAATTACTTATTATTATCTGGGCTGTAAACATGCCGGCGCAGTAGATTTACGCGAAAAAAAATGGGCTGGTTTAAGGGTGGCGATGATATCGAGAGAACGCCCCTGCCAAATGACAATTTGCCATTTTAGAGCTCGTCACGAAACACCAAACGTCGCCAGAAACAAATTAGTTGGATTCTTTGGTTATGGCATTCTCGAAACAATTGTCTAAACAAATTTCATTTGCGCCTGTCGCTTTTAATGCCCTAAGTACGGGGATTTTTCGAAATTTTTGGTGGATTACTTGCAATAGTGTCAGGGGGGCTTTCGATCGGGGCTTACCTCATAGCCAAATGAGACAGCCATAATGGTGATGAGCGAGCCGAACAGAAACTCCAGCTTGCGTAGACCGTACTTGTCCAGAAACAGGAACGTGAACGTGTCAACAATGGTGATCAGCACGCCACCCCACAAAGGCACTCTGCAAATAAAAAAAATGAATAAAAAGTGGGGAAATCACACAGAGTGTTCTGGGAATTTTAATTCTGCTGCTTGTTCAACTTACACTTTATTGGAGAGCAAATATATGGCAATGGCAGTACCGATGACCTCCTGCATGTCGGACCCAATGATGGCTATCTCGATCATTATCCAAAGGATCCAGCGGGGGAATCGTTTGTACTGCCGGTAGCACATCTCAGCCAGATGAAGGCCAGTCACCACTCCCAATCTGCAAGAAGAATATGGTGTAAAGTCTTATTTTTATGGAAGAAAATCCCAGTTCACCTTGCAGCCAAGCGTTGCATGAGCAGACCCAAAACGGTGGCCCAGAGTAAGACCCACAAGATCTTGTATTTGGCCGCCGCACCCGACTGCATATCGGATTCAATGTTGCCGGGATCCAGATATGCAATCGACATGAGAAAACCGGGTCCCGTGAAGGCCCACAGCTTACGAAAACTGAAACGAACCTGTGAAATAAAGTTAAATTAATTTATAATTAATTATATTTAATATAGTACTTACATTTGTCCTATCATCGTCTGGTATGAGGACCTTTTCGTCACTGAAATAGGCCTGCTTGGCGGCGGGTTTTAGATAGGTCGTCTCATTGAGAATCTGTTGATGATTGCTTCTCTGACTGCCACCTGTTCCATTGGACCCTGCAGGACCATCGCCACCGGCACCAGGCTCCATGTTATTGTGGTAAGCCTCATTCGAAGACATTCTTCAAAGACAACCTGAAACAGAGCAATAATAATATATTAGACTAGATTAAAAAGTGTTTGCTTTCTGATTGTTCCACCTGCCATGATAATAATTCTCACAATTTGCATTTAATTGTGCATCTCTCAATTAGCATTATCATAATACTCACAAAAAAACAAAAGAATTTAGCACCTCATACTGAGATTAATAATTGTTGTGAGTTCCCGGAAAGTGCGTGGCAAAAATAAAAAATAATATTGTATACGTTTATAGTTTGAAAAGCACTTGTGGCTGACTGGGGACCCGGGATTGAGCTGATAACACCACTATAACGCAAATGGACTTCATTCTATGTAATCAGCAAGTATGCGGGACAATATGGCATACAGATGAGGAAGTAAGCCCGAGCTGGCTATGAATCATATTTGTGGAGGAATCAGGCTTGTGGCAGCAATTGAAACATTCCAATACAAAATTTAGCAAAACGAATAATTGCACACGACACTCGTTGTTGTGTAAAGCAAAGTCCATTTAATAATTATTTAAGTATTTTTTAAATAACAACGAATTCAACACAAAAATACGAGTCTATTGACCTGCCTCGTTGTTTGCTTTTTTTTTTTGGATATTGTTGATGTGATAAAAAAATGATTACAAGTGCATTTTAAATGCGAAGCCTGAGCATGGTTGGTTGGAAATACCGCCAAGTGGCTCACCTTGACAAGGCTGCCCCAGTGCCACTGAAGCGATATATATGTGTTTATACATCCGATGTGGTGCTACTTTCCACATCGCTTCATCGTTGACAGATAAAACCAGATGAAGACAAAGAGCCGGAGAGCATCGATCGGTGTCTAATTATGTACGGCACCTGATCGAATCGGGCAAGCCAAGTTGGTCCAGTCGAGGCGCCATTGATGGCGATTTAATGGCCATCTTGTAAGGAAAAGTGTCACAAGCAGTCAGAAGCCAAGTTAAACACATCAAGTAGAGTTATATCTCTCGAAGCATGTACTGTTTACCCAGTTGGCTGGCACTCCCCGAACCCAAACCCGTACAGATAACCTATATCAGCGACGTGTTCTGCCAGCGGAAGGTTTTTTTTGCTTGAAATTGTAACACTTTTTTTGTTGGTGATTGCCCAAATCAGTGATCATAAATTTAAATAATTATTAAGGGTTATTTGTGTCTTTTAAATGAAAATTTTGTCGCTTTTTGTCCATTGACATTGTCCTCCTCGAAAATTGGATTCATTTATATATTTTTAGGTATATAAGTGCTTAAATATTGCGCAGTCTGCAAATAAAAACCATTTCAATATTTTTTCGACTGAAACAACACACACTTGACAACAAAAGTTTTTCTAAACAAAGATAACAGCAATTTGAAAATATAATAACAATAATTATTCCACTTATCAGCAGTAGGGCTATTTGGGAAAAAACAGATTGGCGCACGGCACGATCGGATCAGGTTTTGGAGTTCCATTTTAAGTAAAAAACTAAATCTAATTAGAGATTCTAACTAAAAACAAGATCAATATTTGATTAAACTTGATAATGTTTTTGATTTGTTGGGACTTTAGCTTTAGCTGGCATACAAGATAGCCTTATCTTTTATGAAACTGACCCCTTGTTGGGGGATTTAGAAGTGTGAAATGGGAAAAACTTAGTCAACAACAATTTATTTTGGATTTAAAAACAAAAACATATACATATGGCTCCCCCAGGTCCGTCTCTTTGCCGGTGAGAGTGAAAGAGAGGTAGGGAGAACTGGGGGAGACCATCTCTGTTTGGGATGATGGCCCCACGTTTTATTTCTTTACTTTTTTTGTTAAAAGCACACACCTGCGTGCGCACTCACACCAACACGGTAAAAAACACGATTTATTGAAGATGAACACCCCAATGCAAACTTGGCCACGAAATAATTGATTGAAATTCCTTTAGAAAGGCTTACTTGCAGAGCAGCTGGCAGTCGGGAGGAATTAATTAATCGATCAGAATCGAAGCCTGCGCCTTTATTATATCACACAGAACGAAAAGAAGCGGCGACTCGGCACTTATTACTGCTTATAAATGCATTTTCCGAGCATTTCACCTGCCCGCGGACCAATTTACACGAATTCGGTGACGTTGTGGCGAAAACGAGAAACGAAAAAAACGGAAACAAAACGGGTAAAAAACGGCAGCACAGCGTATAGCGTATGCTTTGGCTTCCAATTGTTGACTTAGTTAACGACAATTGACGCGCGACGTGACAGGCAATTATTTCTCAGACTCGGACGCTTTTGTTTATTAATTTTTCTCGCTCTCCGACCAATATTATTCTTGCTGGATTGTAATCAGCTGGTGGCAGTGTGGCCGTATAAGTCTAATATTATCTTCCTATAAAATACTCTTTACTGATCTGGCAACGCTTTTTATAATTTCAGTTATATTTATTTTAAAATTTTGATTACTTTAAAAAAAAATCTTTAATATATTTTTTTAAAACCAAAACTTATTTTTTAATTTTGTAATTTTATACTTCTGTATACCTTATAGGCTAATTAAATTTAAATAGCCAAAAAGTCGTACGCCCCTTCCCAACGCGACGAGAGCTAATGAATGCCTATTTTGTTTCGCAGTTGCGGCTATTTATTCAAATATGTTTTACTGATAACTAAAAAAGAAGAGAGAAAAAAGGCTTTGTTCTCTTTGTGTTCGATAGTGGGGGATTTTTTGATAAAAACTCGGGGGAACTTTGAGCGTAAAATTCAAAGTTGGCGTTAGAAATACCGGTTTCGCACGTGGCCTCGCCATTCTCTCCGACTCTCCTGCACTCTCTTATCATTTTAACCGCATGATACCGTTAATAGGCAATGTACGTAGACTGTTACTAGTTCTAATTCGATGACAGCGATCACAATTAAATATTTTCCACGTTGACATTAACACGCACACTTTATCGTAATGCCCATGCAGAAATTAAATATATAAATCAACTTTATCGGTAAAATTTTCGATTTTGTCTTGACACTTTGCGTCGATTCCAATCACGGTAAATCTTATCAAGAACAGCGGCTTCTTTTTGGATGTCCATCAAATTTACAATACTCTCTGGGGTACTTTTTTTTTCTCGAAAACTAACTAATCAGCCAAACGAAGTTCGTTCCTTTGTCTTCCAGCAGTTGTAATTCATATAAAATTTATGATTCATTCTCCCTTAAAGGTTTCATATTAAAATTCCCAATCCCAATCAATTATTAAACAATTACACATTTTTAAATACTTTGTATTATGTATTTATTTATCAAAAGACCAGACTTTTAGTTGTGACTGTCTTTAACATTTGATCTCACCTGACATGGGAAATTCTCATAGACTTTATACAATTTAAAAAGAGCAAAACCTTTACTTGACACATTAAACTTCTTCATAATCAACGTTTCAAATATGAAATGAGCAACAGGTTAATTTTTTGCACATAAATTGCTTAAATGAATACATAAATAGCTTGGCAATATATAGATTAAAATAAAAGAATGTAAAATGCAGTTAATAATTTATAAAATATGGAATACCTTGATTATTTCAAATGCTAGCATAACAAATTAAAATAATTTTAAACTTTTTCCGTTCGTTGCACGTAGTTCTGAGGTTTAAGTAGGGAAAACAATGTAAGGATGAGGGACACACAGAATGGGCGGGGTTAGTAGTGAATTGATTTTATACTCCAACATCAGTATTATGGTATCGTTAGTAAGTAAATACAATTTGATTTTGATCTATCGTGAATTTCGTTTGGAAGCAATTAGGAATTCTGTTCCACCACTTGCACATAATTGGCCGGGAATAGTCCATACCGGTTCTTGCACAAACCCCTCCACCAGCCGTCATCAATCTTGTCGATGTGGGTGACCACATCGTCAGGATCGAAGGAAATCTCATCGTCGTCGGCCGCTTGATAATCGTAAAGGGCAATGGCATGAATGCCTGTGTCCTCCAAGTAGTCGGCCAAGTTATCCGAATTGGCATAGATAGCTTCCTCGGTAGCAGATGCAGTTGCTTCAGTAGATGACCCATTGGATGTTGGTACCGGTGAGGCAGCCTTAATCTCGGCTTGGTTTTGGTAGAGTGGTTCCTCTATGGCAACTGGCTGGGGCTCAGCTGGAGCTGGAGCTGGAACTGGAACTGGAGCCTGAGCTACGGGTTGGACTTGGGCTTCGGCTTGAGGTGTTGGCAAGTGTTCAGGGGATTCGGGCTCACTTCTGGGTGGCGTTGGCACAGTTTCCACCTCAATCTGTGGCACAACGTCTGGTACAGGAGCCGGTGCTGGGGAAGGAGCTTTAGCTGGAGGAGCTGGTTCTGGGGCGACAGCAGCAACAACCGCTGGAGCCGGAGCCTTCTCAGGGACTTCAACTGGTTCCTCCTTCGGCACTTCCACCTTTGTTGGCTGGGCCTTGGGGATAACAATAGGTTCCTTGCGGGCCGGGGGCGTTTCGGCTACAGGCGATTGCATCTGATTGAATGCACTGATGGCATTACCAATGCCACCAGCACGACCTGTTTGAATAGCTGCCCGGCTGCCCTTGGGCGGAGGCGTTTCTGAAGATGTTTTGGGAGTATTTTCCACAACAGTCTGCTTGGCGGCCTCTTCGCGATCCCGTTTGTCCTTGGCTTCCCTGAGGCGTTTTTGTTCCTCGGCTCGCTTACGCGACTCTTCCTCGGAGTTCTTGGCCAGGTTTTCGAACTTAGCGCGCAGGTTCGAGGGTTTTACACCTTCGATTACAGGCTTCACTTTGTGATCTACCTGGCTGGCATGCTTTTGGGGGGCTTCCTTATGATCCCAGCCCACTGCAGACTTATCTTTACGATCCTCCTGCACTCCAAACTTTCCGCCAAAGCCCTTGGAATAATCTGAGAGGGAAAATATATTTGAATATTGACTAGGAGATATGGTTCTCATGGGTCTTACCCTTTTGCGACTCGTGCTTTTCTACTTTCTCGATGTGATCCCAGCCCACAGCGGATTTGTCCACTCGATCTGACTGGACACCGAACTTTCCACCAAAACCGGTGGCATAATCCTTTTGGGAGGCATGTTTCTCCACCTTTTCGACATGGTCCCAGCCAACCGCCGACTTGTCAACGCGATTTGTCTGGACGCCAAACTTTCCACCGAATCCCTCGCTGTAATCCTTTTGGGAGGCGTGCTTACCAACCTTCTCCAGGTAGTCATGACCCACTGCCGACTTGTCCATGCGGTCTTTTTCCACGCCGAACTTGCCACCATAGCCGTAGCCGGCATTCTGCTCCTTCAGCAGTTGCTTCTTCTTGTCAAGATCCGCCTTCTCAGTCTCCTCCCTCAACTTGTCCATGCTGTAAATATGTAAATATAATTTGAGCACATCGGACATTGAACTTAATCAGCATTTTCAAGCGAAATCGAGAGGTGACTCACTCTATGGCGCCGGCGGTGCGACCGCTGCCATCGATCGTCTTCGAGCCCCACCGCTGCTCCTGCTCGCTGACATCGTTGATAAAGTCGGGATCAGTTTCCCAATCATCGTCCTCGGCGGCATTGGAGTTATTGGCTTGAATCTGGTGACCGGCGGTTGCCTTCCACATACTGGCTGCTTCACTTATCCTTATCTATACAATATTTTGTAGATAAACAACAGAATAGTGAGTGGTTGTCGAAGTCGAAGCAGGTTTTATTCTTACTCCGCTTTCAGATAACGGAGTATGACAAAGAAAGATGGGAGGGGCCGCCGCCCGGAAAGCGGTCAATGGGCATACTTACGACCTGGTGACTAACTGCAAATGCGAATGCTGCTGCTGGGAACTGGCTTCAGAAGCTGACGAATGTTGGCGAATATCCGTAGGAAGGGAATTAGCAATTGATTCATAAAATAACACCAACAAATGCCGAGGAAAACGAAGAAGCTAAAGACCAGTGTGACCGCACTGCAGTGGATGCGGAATCCTTCCTTCAGAACACCCCACATTGGTATGAAAGCCATTTCGTTGTGGTCAAAAATTTGAATTAAAGCATTTTTAAATTTAGTTTTTAAATGAATCAGGTCAATTAGAAAGATTATTAACTTAGATTAAGGTATGGCCTTCGCTGTGGGTTCATATTGTCTTTCAATGCATTTCCGGAATTTTAAAGGGGATCCACGGGAAAATTTGACAAAAAATCTCAAAAATATTTCTACTCTAGATTTTTATGCAGTTTGATGGAGAATCGATTTACAAATCGTTTAAGGTACTCCGATCAAGAATCGGATGAAAATTGGCAAAGATATGGTCTTCGCTATGTGTCGTATTGGCGTTCAATGCATTTTTCACGATTTTGAAGGGGATCCCCCAGAAAATTTGACAAAAAATTTAAAAAATATTTTGTTTCCAGGTTTTGATGCAGATTGATGGAGAATCGGTATACAAATCGTTTAAGGTACTCCGATCAAGAATCGGATGAAAATTGGCAAAGATATGGTCTTCGCTATGGGTCGTATTGGCGTTCAATGCATTTTTCACGATTTTGAAGGGGATCCCCCCGAAAATTTGACAAAAAATTTAAAAAATATTTTGTTTCCAGGTTTTTATGCAGATTGATGGAGAATCGATTTACAAATCGTTTAAGGTACTCCGATCAAGAATCGGATAAAAATTGGCAAAGATATGGTCTTCGCTGTGGGTCGTATTGGCGTTCAATGCATTTTTCACGATTTTAAAGGGGATCCCCCAGAAAATTTGACAAAAAATTTAAAAAATATTTTTTTCCCAGGTTTTGATGCAGATTGATGGAGAATCGATATACATATCGTTTAAGGTAATCCGATCAAGAATCGGATGAAAATTGGCAAAGATATGGTCTTCGCTATGGGTCGTATTGGCGTTCAATGCATTTTTCACGATTTTGAAGGGGATCCCCCAGAAAATTTGACAAAAAATTTAAAAAATATTCTGTTCCCAGGTTTTTATGCAGATTGATGGAGAATCGATATACAAATCGTTTAAGGTACTCCGATCAAGAATCGGATGAAAATTGGCAAAGATATGGTCTTCGCTGTGGGTCATATTGGCGTTCAATGCATTTTTCACGATTTTGAAGGGGATCCCCCAGAAAATTTGACAAAAAATTTAAAAAATATTTTGTTCCCAGGTTTTGATGCAGATTGTTGGAGAATCGATATACAAATCGTTTAAGGTAATCCGATCAAGAATCAAAAATCAAAAAAATTTAAAAAATATTAATAAAAATAAAAATATATATTTTTGAAGTGTTGGAGAGTCAGAAGAGTTTCTATTATTTGTGTATTTTTTCATCAAATTGCGCCGCCCCATTCTACTAGAATTGGAGAAAAAACAAGAAAGGAAAGTTAACTTCGGGCGTAGCCGAAGTTGATATACCCTTGCAATTTAAACCGGATATATATCGCAAACAACGGATATACATAGTTGACCGATCCTTATGATTACATCATAATAAAAGCAATTAATTACAATTAAAAATCTAAAAAAAAGTCCCAAGCTTCTATCTTCAAAAATACGAAAGTTGATATTTCTACCAAATACCATTTCCGATCGTTCAGTTATATGGCTGATAGGATATAGTCGGCCGATCCTTATAAAATTTGGTAGGTTGGATCAACTGACCAAAAATAGAATCTGTAATAAGTTCTAGCTTTCTATTTTCAAAAACACGAAAGTTGGGTCATTTCCGATCGTTCAGTTATATGGCAGCTATAAGTCGACCGATCCTTATGAAATTTGGCATGTCGTAATGGTTTGCCAAAAATAGCTCACGTGTCAAATTTGAACTCTAAAACTCTAAAAACACCAAAGGTATACCATTTCCGATCAATCAGTTATATGGCAGCTATAGGATATAGTCGGCCGATCCGGGCCGTTCCGACTTATATACTGCGTGCAAAAGAAAGAAGGGTGTGTGCGAAGTTTCAAGTCGATAGCTTTAAAACTGAGAGACTAGTTTGCGTAGAAATAGACAGACAGACGGACAGACAGACGGACAGACGGGCATGCTCATATCAACTCAGGAGGTGATCCTGATCAAGAATATATATACTTTATAGGGTCGGAGATGTCTCCTTCACTGCGTTGCACACTTTTGGACAAAATTATAATACTCTCTGAAAGGGTATAAATATATATCTAAGAAAGAGGAAACGATTCTCTTCCGTTTGGCTGCCTAATTCAGTAGTTCAATCAATTTCAATTGCTCTGATACTCGGAGACTTCAAACAGCTTTAATGTCAATCAACTTTAAGTAATTTAAAATGTTTTAGTGAGTAGAGCTGGGATTTACTCATCGCATCTAGTTGGGCGGCATTCCTCCATAGCTATTAGTGCCCTTAAGGCCGGGCAATTATCAAGAATCGGATGAAAATTGGCAAATATATGGTCTTCGCTGTGGGTCATATTGGCGTTCAATGCATTTTTCACCATTTTGAAGGGGGCCCCCAGAAAATTTGACAGAAAATTTAAAAAATATTTTGTTTCCAGGTTTTTATGCAGATTGATGGAGAATCGATTTACAAATCGTTTAAGGTATTCCGATCAAGAATTGGATTGAAATTGGCAAAGATATGGCATTCGCTGTGGGACATATTGTCTTTCCATGCGTTTTTTTTTTTCTATAAGTACAGTAGAATCTACTAAGTAGATGATTGTTTAATTTTAAAATTCGTCATTTGAATTTTATTATTTCAATTTGCATAAGGTTATTGAGATATATGTATGTACATACGTCACAGTTGAAACATCATTACTTTCTTAACGATGATTCATTAAGGTTAATCTTAAAAGGATTGAAAACTCAGTTATTTGCTGAGAAGAGAGAGAATAAACCGACTTTTAAAGTCGAATCGTAGGTACAACAATAAAGGTAACTTAAAATAAAAATACGTCATCGTTTCTGGAAATCTAAGGTGGATATGGTATGTTTTATAAGTATCCAACATGCCGCAGATCATCCGCTCTTCGGGTCAGCCGCTCTGAGAGTACTTATTAATAATAGGGAGGGGTATATGGATTAGATGGCTAATCTTATCTTACGATATTTTGTAAGTCTTATTATAATTATTAGTGTTAAATAAGAAATACAATACTTTCATAAAAGAGAAAATATATGCTTTAATGGCGAGAAGAAAATGGACAATTTTGAATTTCAAAACAGGGTGACACGTAGTCGAGACAATTCCTACGACTCTTGCTCTCTTGGATCCCAGCACCGGCTTTTTTCCCCACCCATTGGGGAGAGCGACCGTATAAAAAGGGAAGCAGAGCGCGAAAACCCCATAGTATTTTTTCACCACTCGTTCGCTGTAGTCTTGTACGTGGAACCAAGAGTATATAATATTATTTAGAATTGGTCAATTTTGAGGAATTTACCAGATTAAAATATTTGTTGACTCTTGCCAAATCAAGTGCACATATAAGCAATTAAAATAAGCAACATTTTAAGTGAAAAGAAAAGAAAGTGAGCTCGAGCTAAGAGAAAAGTAACATTCGGGGCCAAGGGCATTTTCAAGAGTTTTTAGGCGCGGCCCCAGAAGAATTCTCCAGAATCTTTGAAGTGTGGGAGAAACTCAGAAGAGTTTCTATTATTTGTTTATTTTTTCATCAAATTGCGCCGCCCCATTCGACTAGGTTTGGAGAAAAGAAAAAAAATTTAAAACAAAAATGCCAGCAAAAGATGACATCATCAAGTGGGACTGCCTTTTTTTTCTCAGCTAGCGATTTTTCTCTCACCATTCGCAGACGCGTGTGACTTTTGTTCATCTCCCACTGGCACATATTAATTCTTATTACTTTTTCTCTTTATAGTTCAAAGTTTATAAGAAAAATATAAATTTTAAGAAAGGGTAAACGATTCTCTTCCGTTTGGCTACCTAATTCAGTAGTTCAATCAATTTCAATTGCTCTGATACTCGGAGACTTCAAACAGCTTTAATGTCAATCAACTTTAATATAATTTAAAATGTTTTAGTGAGTAGAGCTGGGATTACTCATCGCATCTAGTTGGGCGGCATTCCTCCATAGCTATTAGTGCACTTAAGGCCGGGCAATTACCCTAGAATAGGTGTGTCATCAAGGTTTATTACCAACTACTACCATTATTCACAAGTGTGAAGTTATAAAACATTTTTTTATTTTGAAAATTCAAGGTACAGTCGCCGTAGAGCCTTTAAAAAGAAGTTTCCGAAAGCTTTTGTTCAAAAATTTATTCACACATTTGTTTAAAAGTCACGAGTTTCAAGAGCTGTAGCTCCCTTTACCCCTAAAATCTAGTTTTGCTTCAGGTTTTCAATTTACGTCATAACCGCCATGAATCATTAAGTGCTGTAATAACAAATGTTTCACACGGCATGATCATGTTGGATGCTATTTATAGAAAAGTATAGAAAGCAACGTCATGAATGTATCATCATTCAGCCTCATCTGTAATTTCCAGCCGCAGCCACAAAATTTCCAAATTTTGTTGGCCAGTTTCTTACAATGGGAATGGGAATTCTAATTTATGGTTCTATTCAAATACATATGGCGGTATATACAAAGAACCGGTTCCAGCATTGGCCAAAACATTTTTGTTTGTTTATAGCCTGATTGCAGAGGCGTAGTGGTAGTTGTTTTTGGCCTGGCCTGTTTGGAGCGTCGCCACGTCAAGCTTTTTTTTATGGCTTTTGTTGACTTTCTACTTTGGCGGCAGCATAGGAAAGCAAACATACTCTCTGCGGCAGCTTAGCGATCTGAAATTTCAATCAATTTATCATAAAGTCATTTTCCCTATTGATTTTTGTGATTATGGAAGCTTTAGAACCAATTCCCTGAGATAACGTAGTCCCTCTTGACAACTGAAGTGGAGAGGCTTTCTAATTAAGTTGGGTAATTTTCTTAAAAAAAAATTTAGTTTTTTTTCTGTTTATGATAGTAAGGTACTAGGCATTTCCCAGAAGCTTTCTCTTGGCCATAAACGAGCCGTGCCCGATGTTTTTCAAACCAGAACGCAATGAGCTCATCCGTTTATAAGGCCATTTCGTGTGGGTTTGGTCTGGCCCGGCCCGGTCTATCACGAAACTGGCTAGAAATAGTACACTATTTTATCAAAAAGAGGTTTGGTTCCGGAGCTCAACCACCTCCTTTGAACTGAAAACTTTCACTTTCTCCGGCTGGACGTTAAACTTAACCCCAACCACTTAGAGACAAAAACTAGAAAAACCATCTGGGTAAACAAACTAGGAAAAAAAATCAATGAGAAAACGTTATTAGTTCAGCGCCAGGCTGGCTACGGGGCGTATGCGTAATGCGAGGGTTTTATGTATTTGGTTGATGATGTAATCCAGGGAACTGTGAGCTCCATTTAATGGCTCCAGGGAAACATATTTGAATTGACCTTGCTGGGGGTTAATATTCTATTGAGCTTCTAGTAGTAATCTTTGAGCTATTATTCATGTAATTATTACTTCCTACTTACAGATTTTCCACAAAATTCCAAAAACCAAAATGAGCTCCGCCGAGTACTACCCATTCAAGGTGAGTAAATCGATTGGATAGACCTGAGATGAGGGATGGATATTAATTAAAATTAGTAATAAAGCCTGAAATATTAGTATTCTCTACAAATCTCAGGCCACAATATGCCAAAATCTTATCTATAGTATGGCTATTAAATGCTCATCAAATAGAGTTGTTTTAAGATAATTGCTAAGTACTAGATGATAGGAAATGAGAGTGCTTGATAGGGGGTCTCTTTGATAAGAGGACTTTGTTAAAGTTTGCATTAAAATGAAATAACAAATACTATATTTGTATAATAAATTCAACAGGCATTGTTGTGGGGTAATATGAGTCATACTAGCAGCACCCTTTTTTAGGTATTACGTGCACAGCATTGAAATAAATTCAATTATTCATGCACTTCCCAATAATTACTCATCATTTGCTGATTGTTTCTTTTTGTGACTTATTTTGTACAGTGCACACCCACCGTCTACCCCGCGGATCCCTTCGATCCCGTCGAGGATGCCGCCATTCTGCGCAAGGCCATGAAGGGCTTCGGCACCGATGAGAAGGCCATCATCGAGATCCTGGCCCGTCGTGGCATCGTTCAGCGCCTGGAGATCGCCGAGGCGTTCAAGACCGCCTACGGCAAGGATCTGATTTCGGATCTGAAGTCAGAACTGGGCGGCAAGTTCGAAGATGTGATCTTGGCGCTGATGACGCCGCTGCCACAGTTCTACGCCCAGGAGCTGCACGACGCCATTGCGGGTCTGGGTACCGATGAAGAGGCCATCATCGAGATCCTCTGCACTCTGTCCAACTATGGCATCAAGACCATTGCCCAGTTCTACGAGCAGAGCTTCGGCAAGCCCCTTGAGTCCGACCTTAAGGGCGACACCAGTGGCCACTTCAAGAGGCTGTGCGTCTCCCTGGTCCAGGGTAACCGCGATGAGAACCAGGGCGTGGATGAGGCTGCCGCCATCGCTGATGCCCAGGCTCTGTTCGACGCCGGCGAGGGACAGTGGGGCACTGATGAGTCGACCTTCAACTCGATCCTGATCACCCGCTCCTACCAGCAGCTGCGACAGATCTTCCTCGAGTACGAGAACCTGTCCGGCCAGGACATCGAGAAGGCCATCAAAAAGGAGTTCAGCGGCTCTGTGGAGAAGGGCTTCTTGGCCATTGGTGGGTGTTACTTTTAGATTATTTTAAAATATTTTATTTACGTTCTTTTCGCTTTTGTAGTCAAGTGCTGCAAGTCGAAGATCGACTACTTCTCTGAGCGCCTGCACGATTCCATGGCTGGTCTGGGCACCAAGGACAAGACCTTGATCCGCATCATTGTCAGCCGATCGGAGATCGATCTGGGTGACATCAAGGAGGCATTCCAGAACAAGTACGGCAAGAGCCTGGAGTCCTGGATCAAGGTAAATACAGATTTTGATCATATAACTTAATCAGCATCTTGTTAATACAACTAACTAGCATTGGTTCTTGCACTTACAACCTCATCTCGTAGAATCAAAACATAGTTCAAATAGCTTTTATTGTTTTTGTGTTTGATGTTCCTATCCCAAATCGATCCTTCGCTTTTTGAATTCAAATTATTCAGTTCAATGCCATTACCCTTCCCTGACTGACTTGATTACTTCATTTGTCTCCATAAAAACATTAAAACTTGGCATGTTCTGTATATTTTTAGGGCGATACATCCGGCGATTATAAGCGCGCCCTATTGGCCATTGTTGGATTTTAAAAAGAACTGCTAAACCAAAAACAAAACAAAAAAGCAAGAAAAGCTCCAACTATTATTTGCTATCATCCGTTCCATGTCTTAAACTATATACTTTATACCATGTACCATTGAGATCGAATAGTTGACAAAGTATAGGTTTTAAATTGGAACACTTTTTAAGAAGACGAGGCCACTCTGTGCATTTAAATCTAAAGAATCAGAATCTTAACCCATGATGATACAACAGCATCATGCTTATTATTGTATACGTTCCGTATATTCTTGACGCGGCTATGTATTTAGCTTTATGATTTGGTTTTCCACACTCATTTGCCCTTAAACTATTAAACCATTAAAAAAAAACGCAACAAAATAAAAAAAAAAATGTCAAAAAAATATTTGAGTTTCTATTATTGGAAAATTCTGCACTGCTTGCCATTCATCTTAAAGGGCCATGAAAGTGCCTAACATTATAACTAAATGGATTGAATTAATATGAAATTTGTGTAAATTTTGATCATGATTTGGAAATTATTAATTATAAATGCTTGAGATTATGAAATAATGCTCTTTTTAATTTGATAAAGATTTTCCCTTTAAAAATACTTCAGACTTTTTGCACTGCTTGCTTTCTGTAAACTTCAAATGTAGATATCCATGTCAAATATGCTTTTATGCAAGTGGATCTAAATTTAATTATATTCCTGCCTTATTCTGACTCATAAAATATTTATATATTTATAAAAAACATACCAACTTGATCATTTTTACATGAATTTAGTCAAACATTCACTCAAACTTCAAACAACTTCGTGTTCTAATCAAAATTTAGCCATGTATACAAAGTAAAAAGCGTTTAATGCTCTGACACTTTGCTCTTTTTCACGCTTTATCTATATTGTAACCCAACCAACAACAACAGGAGGATGCCGAGACCGATATTGGATACGTGCTAGTCACACTCACTGCTTGGTAGAGCGGATCCAGATCCAGTACACGAATATATATACACAATACTCCCAAATACCAAAAAAAAAAAAATAATTAAAAAGCAATTGAGAAAATTGCATTTCGAAAAAATAACAAAAGTGTCGAACAAAGTAAAATGATGTGAAATTATTGTTGTTGTGATGTGTTTCCAAAATTACAATTCGTAAATTTTAATGAAACCTATGTAGTATTTCCCTCCACCCTGTGCAATATCGAGAAACGTCCGTTTTATTAAACTCTTTTTTACGTATTTTATTTTGTATACATGTATTTTTTTGTAAATTATTCAGCATAGTAATCGTATGAATTGTTTGTGCTTGTATTAACTAATAAAGTTATCTTACATACACCGGAAAATAAAAATGGTCAGATTCAACTTGCTCCTCTGCTCTCCCGATTCTCATTTTAGGACGATCTCTCCGGCGACTACAGCTACGTATTGCAGTGCCTGGCATCTTATTAGGAGGCGGACTCTCATTCCTTCGGAAGATCGCCTCAACCCTGAGGCATTTCACACTTTGTTTTTGCTAATTTAGCCACCATTATATTTGTTGTAAATCCTATCTTACGGCAAACTTTGTTTGTCACCTGTTACTTTCCAGGGATTATTCATCTTAAATGCATACTAAAATCATGGAAAGAAAATGTTTTTTTTTAACTAAGGGATAACCGAAACCAAGTTGTGGAATTTGAACGAAATGTTGGGAACTGGAAGAGGAAAGGCTCTACTTTGCCACGCGATCCTGGTAGGCTGCCCACAGACGGTCCCTGTAGGTCTGGGCCGCTTTCTCAGGATTGGCTGCCTTGAGAATGCCCCTGCCCACAACTCCGATGTCGGCTCCTCGCTCCTTGACCACATGTTCCGGTGTCTGGTACTGCTGGCCCAGCTGGTCCACACTCTCATCGATCTTAACGCCAGGCGTCAACTGGAGCAGGCCAGGAAAGGCGAAGGCATCTGACGACTGGCATACGACGCCGGCAACAAAGTCCACATCGGCTCCCTCGGTGGCAATCTTATTGCTGTTTTCCTTGTACTTGGCGTCGATCAGGTTTCCACTGGCCGACATTTCCGAGAGCAGGAACACACCACGCTCCTGGGCTTCCCCTTCGCCTAGAGCTGCCTTCAAGCCCTGCAGGATACTCCGACCCGGCAATGTGTGCGCCGTGACCAAGTCCGCCCAGCTGGATATCTTGTAGATGCCCTTTCCGTACTGTAGGGATACCGTGTTGCCAATATCCGCAAACTTGCGGTCCTCCATCAGCAGGAAGTTGTGTTTTTGTGCCAAGGACTTGAGGCTGTTGATGAATCCTTCGCTAAAGTCCTCCACAATGTCCACATGGGTCTTCAGCAAGCAGATGTAGGGACCGCACTTGTCGGCTATGTCCAGGATCTCATCCGCCTGGGTGAGATCAGCGGCCAAGCACAGGTTCGTCTGCTTGCTGACAATCAGGTTGAAGAGTCGCTTCGCGATGGGGCTCTTGGCCAAGTTGGCGCGACTTTCGTAGGTCAGTTTGGTGCGCTGCAAGTCATTGGCTGAAATGCAAACAATAAATGGCGATTATTTAATGAAAACCCAAACTAATCTTATCTGGCATTCTATAGCTCTTCCCTTAAGGGCTTAAGGTTATGAATATTTAGCCATGTGCCGATAGAAATATATTAAAATAGAAAAACCGGTTGTCAGAACACTCGAAACAGATCAAAGAATCATTATGGGCCCGGCCAGACACATTGGCTTGATTGGAGAATCTCGTCCCGCGCGTCGGTTGCCCTGATAAGCATGGCATAATTGAGTGGAGCTGTGGCCGGAATCACGTGCCGCCTTCCCTCGAACTTGATCTGGACACTAGATTGGGTTGCCGCTGTTTATGGCTGGTTTTATATTGCACGAAAGCAAATTTAGGCACTTTATGACCAGGGGTCCCCTAATTGAATTTGCCTCGGATACGGACCCAGTCCCACTCCGAGTGTCATGTTCATATTATCTCTCTATCTCTTTATCTATCTGTCCACGTATCTACACCAGAAACTAGGGGAGTACACACCTTTAATGACATCGGTTTTATCGCCTCCAACGAACGAGCCATCGCTGTTGATCTGGACAGCAGCTATGTACTTGGCCACTGCCTCCACGGTGGACTTCTCGATGCGTCCGGCCTCGTGGAGAGTGTTCAGCAGGAAGGAGAGCGTAAAGAGCGAGTGCATCTTAACACCATGCTTGGCAATGTTGGCCACGCCGCCCTGCTCTCGGTCCACCACCACCACAGCATCGGTGACCACGATGCCCTCGCTCTGGAGATCCCGAACTGTGTCCAGGATGCTAGAGCCGGAGGTCACCACATCCTCGACAATCAAACAGGTGTCGCCGGCGTTGAAGATGCCCTCGACGAGCTTCTTGGTGCCATAGGCCTTGGCTTCCTTACGTCGAACCAGCATGGGTGTGCCCTGCTGCACTGACACAATGGTGGCCAAAGGAAGAGCCGTGTACGGAACTCCGCACACGTGCCGGGCGGTCAGTTGTTTATCTTTGATGTGCTCCACCAGAAGATCGGATACAGTTTGCTGTGTTCAATGATTACCTCATAAGTTAAAGCACATTTAAAGATACATGGGTGGTTACGGAACTCACCATCACATCCGGATAGCTGACAATTACGCGGAGATCAAAATAAACCGGGGAATTGATGCCGACCTTCATCTTAAAGTCACCGAACTTGAAGGCATTGATCTCGAACAGCTTGAGGGCCAGAGCCCGCATTTTATCCGCAGTCTGTGCCACCATAGTTATATATTTTTAAAATAGTAGATAAGTTTACTCCGGACACGTGCTATAGCGACTCCAATCAGAAACACACGTCCAACTGGGAGTTGATGGTTAGTGGATGTGGTGGTGCTGCTGTAGAGTGACCGCAACTTGGGCGCCAAAGTAATACCACGGTGCCAGACTCTTATGGCCGTTATTTCAACATTGCCACCTATTTAATGATTTTGGATGTTAATTTAAATATTCCATCCAAAATTTATGTATCTGTTTTATTACTTACAAATAACTATTTTGCAAAATAAATTATTTTTTTATGTACTTACTTTTTTATCACTGTTAAAAATAGATGTAGATAAAAGCAACAAAACGGAAGAGGATATATAAAATTCGGAGCTGTTCGCCGGTAAGCCAAATACACGGAGGTGTTCTTTTGGGAATCTTAAGTCTTTAAGCTAAAATAAAACAAAAACTTATAACGTTAGCTCCACCCACAATCTCCACCAGCTATTACATTTTAATGGGCGGGCTAACCACCAATCAAAATGGGTCCAAATGCGCCTGCGTAAGTCAACAAAGTTTTGGCATTAAGCTAAAGTCCTTTGAAACAATTCCAGATCCTTGAGCAAAGTGTTTCCAAAATTTAGTTTCTTTTCGCGGTCCCCCAACTAAGTCGCAGTTTTCCCTTCGAAAACTTTGTTTGCAATTATCGTTTTTAATTGAATCAAGTTAAGGGCTGCATTACAATGGCCAGCAACGGTAGTGAATCTATTGGTGATTCTGTGTCTTCTTCGAAACGTCCTCGGGTTGCAATCAACTCAAAGAATCTAAAAATTGTAGAACCCCAGCCCAAGGGCAACAATCGAGTGCCCAAGTGCGCTAGGTGTCGTAATCACGGTATTATTTCGGAGTTACGAGGCCACAAGAAACTCTGCACCTATAAGAACTGCAGGTGCTCCAAATGCATCCTGATCTTTGAAAGGCAACGGATAATGGCAGCTCAGGTGAGTTAAAGGATATAATTTAATATTTATTTCATTCAAACAGAGTCCTGATACTCAAAAGGTCTTAAAAATAGAGACGAATTTAATGTGAAACATCTCATTTAGTCAAAACGTCTATTTCCCCATCATTGTATAAATTAAATGGACGAAAAACTAATTTTCCCTATGAACTTGACATAAATAAGTAGTATTAATTGTATGACGCGAAATGTAGGACATTTTCCAAAGATTTCGAATACAAAGGATCAACTATTATTCAAAAGTCCCATAATATGGGACTATCCAAATATCCAAATATTTAAAAATTTCAAAGTAATTCCTTTCGATAAATTCACAATTCTGCACTTTTTTGGACCAAATCTATTTGAATTTAGGAGTCTCTTTTTTACATAACTATAATCAGAATTTTAAGATAAATTATCTTAAATGACCTCTATATTTATCACTATATAATATATTAAAGAGTTAGTGTTTTTGATACAAAAGAGATACAAATAGTCTTCCAATTCTATCAAAGTCTTCAATATCTATCATCAATCTGTGTAGCTGGATTTAATTACCGGATTTCTTAGGAAAATAGTAAACTATCCATTTATATTATACTTGGTTTAAGAATCTGGCAGTGCCCTAATTTGAAACGTAAATAGCCGACGGGCAGAGACTCTTTTGGGGAATCGTAAAATCAACACCATACCTCCAACCTCCCTCCAATCGCAGGACCAAAAACCAATGAAACGGAATACTAGGAACAGGACAACCAGTCGGGTGGTATTCTCGCCTGTGGGTGGTGATGATGATGATGATGGAAAGTTGTCAAAGCGGAGGAACAAATCGACCAAAATATCCGCTTACCAAAACTGTTTGCACAAGTGTTACTGCGTCTCGCATTTCATTAGGTCCGAGAGGGGTTAGACTCCTGAATAGAATCCTGCAGTACATGTGTATTTTATAGATACCCCAAGGAATTCTGGTGGACTTTTATTTACGCTAAAGTCAAACACTGAAACACAGACCTGGAGATGTTCACTTGTCGCATATTAATTTCCATTTGTGGTCTTTTAGGTTGCCCTGAAGCGCCAGCAGGCCGTGGAGGATGCGATTGCACTGCGGTTGGTGGCCACCAAAACGGGTCGCTCCATAGATGCCCTGCCGCCGGGCAACATTTTCGGGCTGACCGTGACCCAGCCAAGTTCGCCAAGTCGTAAGAAGAATGACGACCAGGAGGGAAAGCCTTTCGTTGAGGACTTGAAGCGACAGAAGGAGCTCCCCAGCGAAGCTCCGGCGGTTGCCCAGGATCTGAGTGCAAGCCGACGGGAGAGTGTCTCGCAAACAGCTATCGATATGCTGGCCCAGCTATTTCCCCAGAGGAAGAGATCTGTCCTGGAGCTGGTCCTCAAGCGTTGCGATCTCGACCTGATCCGTGCCATCGAGAATGTCTCGCCGGCGGGAAAATCAACGCCCGCGGAGGTGTCTAGTAACCAGATTCCGAATCAGCAGGCAGGCTCCACTCTGCCGAGTCTGTCCAGCCTGCCTCTGGCCACGCCCCAAAGGAGCAGTGCCTTCAGACCAGTTGTGGCGGATCAGGTGGGTGAGCCATTAGCTCTTCCAATACTTTCTAACATATTCTATTGCAGTACCAGAGTAAATCCATGGTGGAGCTGAAACCGCCCCCGTTTGGGAGCACCACTTCGGCCGCAGCGGCCGCCATCTGCGCCTACCCCAAGTGGTTTGTGCCCCTCTCCTTTCCGGTTACCATGGGCCACCTCTCCAACCTGGCACCGCGATGCACTCTGCCCAACTGCGCCTGCCTGGACAGCTACCAGTTCCACTAGAAATCCCTATTCCCAAAACTCTATCCTCACTTCTATTGGAATAAATTTATTAAACCTAACTACAAGCTGAACTATCTTATGAGTAAGTTGATCAATCTTCGAGCTTCACTTGGCGGCAGACTTTGGGGTGACCTCCTCGGCCTCCGCATCCTCCTCCTCATCATCGTCATCCTCGTCGTCCTCGGACAGAAACATCCGATCGTCCTCGTCGCTTTGCTGGCCACTTCGGCTACCATTCCCCAGATTCAAGGCCGATGCTCCGCCACCGGAGCTGGAGCCCGAGATGGAGGCCGAAGATGAAGATCCGCCAGTGGTGGATCCACTGCGCTTACTGAGATTGGCCCGTCGCCACTTGGCCCTGCGGTTCTGGAACCAAGTCTTCACCTGCCTGTCGGTCAGCTTCAGCTGGAGGGCCAGGTGGCGGCGCTCCTCGGGCGACAGGTATTTGTGGCTGGCGAAGCGACCCTCGAGATTTTTGGTCTGCTGGGAGGTGAATCGGATCTGGCCACCTTTGCGCTTCACTCCGAAGTTGGACATGTAGAAGCTGGCCGCCGGATAGGCGTTGCAATAGAGGGCAGCGGCTGCGGTGGCAGGATTTGGAAACCCTATGGAGAAAGTTTATAATTTAATATATTTTTTAATTAAATAAATAATTAAGTATATGTTTAGTTGTTCATGAAACCCTTGATTTATTCAATTAAGGCATTAAAACGACTTGTTCGATATCAAGTGGCATAATCGTTTGATTTTGATTGGTGGGTGCTGGGGTGGCCCCATTCCCCTATCTCCGCCCCCAACGCTCTTATCAGACTTATCGGGAGGGCACACGTGTATGAGTGAGTATATATCAGTCGGGAGTATCAGTATCGGAGATACAGAATTCCCTGTATGTCAACGCCCACTTGTAAGTCACCAATGAAATGCGAAATGGATCGATTGGGGGGAGTACGGCTGAGCTGGGGAGATTCCGGAGTAATCGACCCAAATCAATTGCCGCTCGACAAGCAATCCGATTAGGGCCATCATATATAGGAATATATGTATATGTTGCAATGTTCATTCAATATCAGCGATAAGAAATAAACTCTATTTTGTTGACGTAACGGAAATTCGCACTTGTTATACATTTGAATTGCGATCATTGAACAATATAGAACTATTCGTAATCTAATATTTTGGGACTATCTTTCTCCATGAAACTATATATATAGGTGTATGTATGTATATTTAAGAAAACTTCCAAAGCCATGTCATAATTCAAATTGTTACAAATAGACTTATTAACGGTTATTTTTATTAAGTGGCGTACCTAGTGATAAGCCCGATCACACCCCACACCACCCGCAAATGATACTTCAATGCCTTTGCCTTCTTTAATCATTGAAAATTGAATTTGTTATTATTTTATAATGTGCGTGTTTAACCCTTTACATGGCAATAACTCCGATTTTCTTGATTTTTTTTTGTTCGGTAGATAAGTAAAAATAAAAAATACACTTCTTTTTATTTTTTTTTTAAGGTTGGTTTTTCTTTTTTTTTTTACAAAAAGCAAAAAAAATATAATTTTTTAAACTAAGCGAAATTAATGATTTAATTGTATAATAATGCAATAAACACAAAAACTCAATAATATACAACTAAATATAATATTTACCTGTTTTTAAACATTAATTGAATCAACTATACAATTTTTTTTATTTTTTATATTTTGGATCAGAAACTGCACAACCAATTCAGATTACCACATTCACCAAATTGGTTGGAAAAGTAATCACCTGTTGAGTATTGGACAGAATTCTGAGTGATCAACACTTTTTATATAAAAAACGAAAGTTTCTGAACTGCATAAAAAAGTTTTTATACAGTTTTGTAACGCAGTTTGATAAATAATTGAATTTAAACGGTATGATGCAGATCTGCATCACCACCATGTAAAGGGTTAAAGAATTATAAGAACAAAATTATAAGAGGTACTCTATTTTTTCGTTTGTTTTTTTTTCAGAACGACAAGCGACGAGCTTATCAGAATCAAATAGCAATTGTCGCTATAAGATGATGGACAGCGCCTATTAATCGCCTCTAATAGCATTTTGTGTTTAGATAAGCCAACACAAATCGGAAATTGGAATAACACTGAATTTGGAGTGGGCGAATAATAGGTATTATACCTTAACTATCAGAACTAAATAAATCGTATGAACTACGATGCATTTATATGAATTAAAATATTTTAACTAAATGGCATGTTATTTACTTATTTATAATTATACAATGGGCTTTAAAATAATCCCTATATATTGTAATAATACCAAACTGTCAAAAAACGTTTCCCACCAATTCCCATATACCCCTAATAGGAGCCAAATTATTCGGCTTCCGATGGCTCTCACCTCAATTTCAAATATTTGTCATTTCGATAAGGCCACCGAAAATATTTTGTTGTTGGGGTGGAATTGGGGCGGTGACATTATCGGGAAAGTCGTAACCCCCTTAGGGCCATGGGGCTAATCTAGCGTTACATTGCATTGAGAATGCAATTGGGGTTCCCCACCCCCCGAGAGAAAGTGAGATTCGAGTGGCATTGGCGCCAACACTTGACTTTGACAAACACCCTCCTGGCAAACACACATTAATCATGTTTATGGCCCATTTTGTGTGTGGGATCCCATTGTAATATTTCGTTGGGCTGGCTTGTGTTTGGACACTCTGGACTTAGGCTAGTTAAGACTCTATTTAAATGAGGATTTCTGATCACACCGTTCCCATGGTCGATCAATTTCCATATGTCAGTCTGACGAAAGGCGATTATGGTATTAACATTCCGAGGTTCAATGACTTGAACTTGGAAAACTGTCACAGAGATAAGTTCCAGAATCTAAATTCGAGATCTATAAGTGTGAGAAAATTTATAACCGATTTAAGATCGTCAGTTCTTCCCCGCCTATTTTCAAGTCTCAGGAATTAGGTCTTCCTCTAAGGAATTAACATATCAGTTTGGTAGATATGAATTTTTAAACATTTATCAGCATTTCAGTCTTTAATTGATAATTGTAACGCTCATTCATTCATAATACCAGATATGGGGTCTTTTCCTGACTCACATCCGGTCTACAAGTCAGGTCTGCCAGTGCATGCTAATTCTGTTCTAATATTGTGTAATTCTTAATGGTTCTAGAACTTGGAATAATGGAGAGAAATCTTGTGGGTTTTTGGTTTTACTTGGTATAGGAATATGCTATAATACTTTATCCTAGAAGGTCTCATTAGAGCCAAAGTCCCTAAGATATGAGGTTTAAAGAGCAATAATAGGTAACAAGACACTAATATTTAAATATTATCTAACTGAATAAAATGCAAGTGTTTAGGATTAGAAAACCTATTTTCTTAAAGCTTAATATCTAAAAAATTAATTATAATATTCACTTCTTCAAAAACCTACCTTCACAGTCCATGGCGAAAGGACTATACTGATCACAATAGGCGGCGGGTTGGACGGCGGCTGCGGCTGCCACGGCAGCTGCTTGGAAGTGGGGCATGAAGAGCGAGGGATTCTTCTGGAGGTTGAGCACCTGCTGGTAGAAGAGCGAGGCGGGATCCGGGTAGATGGGATTGAAACGCAGCGTGGTGGGCGCCAGCACCGCACTGGACTCCAGATTCTTGAGGGCGTACTGGGCGGCGACTGCCTCGCGGGACAGATCATAGATATTGGAGACGGAGGCGGAGGCAGATGTGGTAGACGAGGTGGGAGAAGAGCTGATGGCCATGGTGGCCTTGGGCAAGGCGATGGCACTTGCTGAGGAAACCGTAGTACCAGTCACAGGACTTTGGGAAGAGCCGCGACGCGATTGGAGGCGACTCGCAGGGTCTACGGCCGCACTTTGAACTGTTCGCGTCTTCTGCTCCAAGATGTTCTCAATGGAGAAGGCGGCCTTGCCCGACTTGGTAGTGATATCCATTATTTTGATTCAGTTTTCTAATTATCCAAATAGTTGTAGGGCCGTTGGCGTTACTATTCCGGAGCGATCGAAGCGACTGCGCTGGTCGCAGGCGGTGAACTAATGTCGGGAATTGAAGAAGTCGCCGTAGAGCCCAGGGCCCAATAAATTGTACAAAATCTGATTTCACAGAATATAATAGATTGTACCTATAATGTTGTGCTAATGGGTAGATATCAATATTAACAATAATAGAGCGGTATGTAGATACGCATACACTGGCAGATATGGAGAAGATAATGCCCTGCTACCGGCCATCGATTGATAAGAGTGGTGGTTGGTGGGGCTCTTCGGTGGCTCGATGGCTCGATGGCTCTCCACTCCACTCCATTCCAACCACTCCACTCGAATTCCCTATTTCCAATTCCCAATCGGCAGACAACGACAGCTCGACGCAGTTACTCGTTTCAGTGGTCGGACACCCAATCGGCGATCCGATCCCGTCGCCCGTCGTATAAATCACAGTCCGGCGGGCGCTTATTGAGCTGCCAACCAACCCAGCACCACCGGCACACACCCCATCCGCACCACCCCGGCGAACCGCCCACCCTTTGGCGGGTCGGTGCGTTTGATCGAGTAATTGTTAATCACCCGTTATCGGTATCGTTACCTGGTTTTCGGCTCTCGGTGCGTTTGGATTCGTTTTTGTACCTAACTTAACGGGTAAGGACAATATATACTTCATTAGGAATTTTAGGTTTTTCAAAAGTAAACACATGGAAGGAAATACTCAAGTTCCTCAAGTTTACTTAAGCTTAGGGAACCTTTTAAAAATCATAATGATATAGGCTATTTTTTAAAAGGAAACACATCTAAAATTGTTTGTATTAATTTCCTTTAACAATAAACTTTATAAAATCTTTATATTTTTGGAAATTATTTAAGGAATTCGAAGAGTATCTTAAGCATCGGCATTGAAACTCTTCAGATACTTTTAGGACGCACTACTACTGTTCAATTATTTTATTTGGATTCCGAATTTGTTGATTGTTGTTGTAAACAAATTAAAATTACCTTCCCCCCCTGTCGCGCCCAGCCCCCTCGCAAATGTCCTTCTCCAGCAAAGATATCACTTTGATTGAGTAATCGAGTTGGTGTTATGATTTTCGGTTATCTTCCTTATTTATGCGTTTGTATAACTGTAGTTGGTGAGAGAATTCCGGACGATATTTCGGGGGTGTCTTATCAGTTGTACTCGGGCTCCCCGTAAAGCCTCCCAGATGATGGATTACTTTTGATTTCGGCCTTTGGGCGGGCGATAAAAAAAAAAAAACAGAGCCCATACCCAAAAACTAAAAACCAATTGTTGTTATTGTTGCTGCTGATTCAACAACTTCTCCGATATACCATATATACATAAAGCTCTCTGAAGTCTTTTTAGGTCGTTTGAAAATTTTCGTTGTATCTTGTAGATAAGTTTTGTGGTCGTTTCGGGGAACAATGGAAATCTTCAGTTTTGAGTTTCTTCAGTAAGTAAATTAGGTGGAAAAGTGAATTGTTTTCATTTCACACCCTTTCTCACACGGAATATTATCAGAAATTCAAAGTAATTGTCAGACGATCATATATAGTCTTATGACTATTCGACAATTTTGGGGATAGTTGTTCACTTCCAACACTCCAATGACTCAAAATTCATGTGATAAACATATGCAATAAAGTTGATAGAGTTCCACTGAAGAATAAGTGATTTACCAAAATTGCTAATAGAACTTTCCGGGGGATTCTTTATAAATAGGGGCAGTAAAATACAGCCAATCGATTGCTGATTAATATTTATAATTCCTAAAAATAGGAACTAAAAATGGAACTATGAAATACAAGAATTATACATATCTTTCCAAAACCAAATCATGCCCTAGAAAGCTTCATATATTTATTTCCCGGAAGTACCGAATCAATATTCAATTTCCTATAACACTAAGTAGAATGTTGTTGTTTGTTTAAATAATTTTGATATTCAAAGATATGGAAATGGCATGTATAAAGATTATAATCCTAGTACCCCGGAATACGCTGCTTCATTGTGGTCTGCCACTTGTTCTCCGCTATCAGACAGTCAGTTGTGTAATCCCTATCCAAATCCCAGTGAGCGACAAGATATAACATTTTGCACCCGAACCGAACGGCCATTTTGTGAAACCTCACAAGGTGATATAGCTATATATCTATATATGAATGGGTAGTGGGAGGTAAAACCCCCCCTTCAATGGTATAGCAATATCAGCCATTCACAAACTATCTTGTACTTTATATAAAAATTCAAGTAAATGAACGTTTTTGGTAAGGAATTTTGGGCAGGTGGTGGTGGATGCGATAAGTAAATGCGGCCAATTCGAGGCATTGACGAGGTCTTCTGCCACAAACGACGCTCCTCGATAAGAGGCCCATGCGTCTTGGGGGGATTATGGTCGTCAGGCGTCATTGCTAAATTATTAGCAATTATCAGGAGACAAACGGTTTCAAATGACTACAAAATTGGGCATAAATATGGATGATGGCAACTGAATTTATAATCCTTCTAAGGACATGTGTTTAGATAAGGGTATGGTCTCAAATATTGAATAACACTTCAGACGAACATTGGTTTATTGATTTATTCTCATTCTTTTATTTATGCAAATGAACAAATATTTTGTATATAGCACTACGTTGGCTGCAAGTAATTAATAAGCAGTTTAATCATTGACATCTTATTGCATTTGATTCACACTCCTCTGTTTCTGTTTCTGTTTCGGTCTCTCCGCTCCTATATCTTTCATACAGTTTACATTATAATGTATAGAGTTTAATTTAATTTATCTTTAGCTTTAGATTATAACTATTTATAGGCTTCGCAAGTGAAGTGGTTCAAGGTTTGCTTCACATTTCGTTTTGAGAGTTACGAGTTGCTTTGAGTATTTGCTTACTTGCTTTGATTTAAATTCCATTTAAAGAAAACAATACGGAAAATGCAAAATAAATTAATTCAACTACAATTGGACACATTACTAGGCATGCACACACATTGAGTTTACAGATTTGGATTTGGATTCATCTTTCAGTTATTTTTGGTTTAAAAAAAGCACTACAAGTTACACGTTCTTCGAGTATTGTTGTTCGAGAGAGGTTGTTCTTAACAAGCAGCCTAGATCTTACGAAATTAAAACAAGTCCATTAACTTTGGGTTTTTGGTATCAGTTAGTAAGAAAATTCGAGTAGCAAACGAGTTCAAGTTAAAGTAGGAGTTAGGATTCCTCGCTCGGCCACCTCCGCATAAATACAAATCGAGTTTAAAGTTAGATTTTGGTTTTGGTAGGTAGTAAGTTAAGGTTAAGGATAGTTTTATAACTTTTACATTATGGGTAGAGAGGTTTTAAGGTAGCTGCTGCTTTAGACCAGGTTGGAGACGTGCGACGTGTCCATGTGCTGGATAAGGGTGCGCATGAAGGACATCTCCTTGCGCGCATTCTCCAGTATCACCTTGGGGTCCTCGGACGTGCAGCGCAGGCAATTCGGCGCAAACACCATGGCCAGATTCGAGGAGTCCATTTTGGTGCAGCTCACCACCTCGGGGTTGGAGAATTGTTGCAGAAAATGTATTAGATACGTTAGAACCTGAAATAAGATACATTTTATATTAATTCTTTAAGGTCTTGTTAGTTTAAAAGATAATATCTTACCAACTGATTAATTTCAGGCAACTTATTAACTATTTCTTTGGCTTTATCGGGATCCTCGGTGTTAACGCAATCCTCATAGTAGGCATCCGGTATGAGCGGATCGTACAGCTCTCGGTACCACAGCTTAAGCAGACTGGCTGGCGCATGGGCATCAACTTGAGGATCAAATAGAGAAGTTCATTAGAATCGTTCGAATATTTCATTAATTATAATACCTTACCCAGTGTGTTTTTATAGTCAGGAACATCCCACCGATCCAGTCGATTCTTCATGCAGTTAACCTCATCCACATCCGCAGAGACACGAAAGATACCCTCGGTTTGCTTTCCATTAAGAAGCAGTACCTGAAAGTTACATTTCAATTACATTTCTTTCCTCTAATTTAGAGCTCGTGCCCAACGTACATGCTCGGACAGCGTGGTCTGAATCCAGGGCAGCTTGCGGAAGGGAAACTTGTCCTTTTGCAGATCCATCACCTCGGACAGCGTGTTGCCAAACATGCTATTCCGCAGGATTTGTTGCTGGAAAGGAATATTGTTTTATTTTCATAATTCTTAGAGCCTATCATGCTAGCAGTTACCCGAGCCTGTTCCACCTCGTCCTCTGTGGGCTTCTTGGCCAGTCTGCGTCCGCTGCTGCCGATGCGATCCAAGCGACGACAACAGACGGTGGCGTAGTGGGAGATCTGCACGTGAATGGGCCATTTGCTCACCTCCATGAAGCTGGTGCCGAACGAGGGATCGCGATGTCGATTCACATAGCTGCAAGGAAGGAGTTCAAAATCCATTCAAATATCTCAGTAATATTTCCAAACTTACTTCAGCAGAGTGGGCTGGAACGTCAAGGAGGGCGGCACAAAGGAGAGACATATGGCCATCAGTTCCCATCCTCGGATAAGCGATTCTCGCTTGGGATTCTCCGTAGTTTGTCGACACAACTGGACGTACAACTCATCCCTTAATCTGGAAGTACATTTTAAAGGTTTATGGCAGGACTATTGAAGAATCTCCAAAAACTCACTGCTGCTGCGGCAAGGAGGCGCAGATGATATCGATCGCCACCGAGTTCAGGGTCATGCCCGAGCGCGCCTTGCGATCCGCCATGTAGATCTGGACCAGCTTGAATATTTCGATGGCCGTCTTTTTGTCCGCCTTGTCCCTGGACAGGGCCAGCATGGGTCTGCTTATGGCTTCCGCTGTCCAGCTCAGCATGTCCCGAACCGAGGCCTTCTTCCGGAAGAGGCCCTTCGAGTGCAGATTCAGATTGTCGGCGGCGAACTTCTCGATATCACATTCCTTCATACACGCCAGGGTGGCGCCCATGCCCGGTGCCCGGTCGCTGGGCGGGAATATCTGCTGAATGGTGGGCTTCAGCGAAGGCGGCGCCAGCTTGTGACTTGCCCGAGATAGGCTGGCCGGCGCTCCCCCCACCCGAGCCTCCTGCTGACCCATAATATCTTCTTTGGTTGATGTGGCGGCTCCCGGTCCCAGTCTAGATCCCGGTCCCGCACCCTGGTGCCCGGCTCCAGCCAGCCGCGATATCTGGCGGTTGGGCGAGGGCAACGTTTGGGACTGAGTCTGCTTGGGGTCGCTGGGATCCAAGTGAAGCTGTTGATGGTGGTGGGGCTGCTGGTTGGGCAGCGTCGGCGGCGGTACGTGGTGGCCCCCATGGCCGTGACTGGAGTACGGCGGAGTATTCGAGTACAGCTGCTGGCCGTGGTAACCGCCGCCAGGACTGTGCGACACGGTGTCATAGTATGAGATCTGGTAGCGGGGCTTTGGCTTGGGAGCAGCAGCCGGCGAGGATTCTGCGGCGACATTTCCGCCGATCCCCTCAAGCACAGCTTCTACGTTGTCGGAGCTAAGGGACCAGAAGCAGTTTAGTACAGGAGCAACCATAGATGATAGCCATACTCACATATCCTCTCTGGCGGCGAAGTCGTACGGAGGACCCTGATAGGCATAGTAGGACACGCTGTCGCCCATATTGGCATAGTCGTCGATCATGCCGTAGTTGTGCTCCAGGTATCCGCCATGTGTGTCCGATCCGCCGTCGGAGTCCTCGTTGTCGGGCTCATGGCCGGACAGCGAGTGCTCGGATTGGCTGTCCGAATGGTACGAGTCCGAGTCGCCTCCGTCGCCACCGCGGTAGTCATAGCGCCCCGAGAGCTTGGCCTGTTCCAGGATGTAGTGCTTCAGGGGCAGGAGATGCGGCATCTCCTGATCCCAGTTGGTGTACAGGGGCGAGATGTTTCCATTATCGTACTCCACATCGCTGTTGTCCGCATGCTGGGGGTAGTGATGCTGCTTGGACCTTCGCTTCTCACCCCCACCTCCAGCTCCTGGGCCCGACCCGCCACCATGGTAACCTCTCTTGTCCAGACTGGAGCTGGCGCTGTGCCGCAAAGATCCCTGTTCCGGATAGTGGTGTGTCTGGGACCGATTCGCGGTGGAGTTGTTGGACTTCTGGCGCTGCCGGGCAGAGTCGTTGGAGCCGCGCGAAGAATGTGTCATTAGACCGAGATTCTCGGGATTGCCGCCTGGCGAAATCGGACCTGTCTTTCCCATCGATATCCTCAGGCTGTGCAGATCCAGGCTGTGGCTGGGCTCTTGCAGCCGCGGCGAGTGCTGCAGCTGCAGCTGGGGCAGCGCACTGGTGGCACTCGTCTTCGCCTGCCGCGAGCTCTTCGTCTGCGGACTGATCGGACTCTGTGGGCTCGAGTCACTCGAGTGCTTCTTGTGGCTGCTGCTTCCGCTGCCCGCCGTGCTCGTGGCCGTGTTGCTGCCACTGGCGCCTCCGGTTCCACCGCCGCTGCCGCCACTCTTCGAGGCATTGGTGGTGTGACGGCGGCGGGAGAGCGGCGTGTTCTCCACCGACTTGAAGTACTTTTCATGCATCGAGTCATCGCTGGCCGCTCCTCCGTTGGCTGCCTCGGCGCTGCTCTTGCGATAGGATTTGCTGTGGTGTCCGGCGGCGGCAGGGTTGATCGAGGAGGACATGAAGCTGCCAGACCTTGCCAGCGACACCTTGTACTCGCGATCTAAAAGGAAAAGGGTTTATTTTTGACTTCAAAGGCTTAGGGTTAACTTCTACCTCCTGTGTAGGACTTGCCGGCAGGGGCTCCACTGCTTCCGCCGCCTCCTCCTCCTCCTCCTCCGCTGCGTTGTGCGCTTCTCTGCTGGTGCTGCTGTTGTGCGTAGTTGTACATGGCCGGTGGAGCGGATGCATCTGGCGACACCTTCTTCTTCTGGGACTGCGGCGTATGAATGGAGTGAGTGGGTGAGGCGATGTCGGACGACTTGGAGGAGTAGCCCTGAATGTGGTTGGGCAGCAGCTGATGATCGAAGTACTTGTCCCCATAGCCACTGCCACCGGCATAGGATGAGGATGTGGAGGTGCTACCATGCGGCAGGTTGTGCGAGCTGGTGCTCTCTTGCAACATCTCAAAGCTGGACCAACACCAAGACAAAAGCGATATGAGGGCGATGATGGGATGTTTGGAAAACCAAAGACTACTTACGCTCCATTGTCCTTGCCGCCGCCGCCGCCACGTTGGTGCTTCTGCAGGGAGCTCAGGCGCAGGTTGTCCGGAGTACCACCACCGCCGCTACCGTCATTGAAGCGCCTGTAGCCATGCGCACTGGACAGGCTCGAGTCGCTGGACTTTCCCGACTCCTTGTAATGGTTGCAGGAGTCTGTCGTTGGAAATCGATGCCAGGATGAGTCATCACCAAAACGTACAAACGAGGACTCACCTTGCGAACGCCTGGAACCGTAGGCCTGGGGATGCTGCTGCTGCTGCTGAGTATCCATGGAGCGGGATGAGTCACCCGTGCCGACGCTGCAGAAGATGCCCCGAAAACGGAATGTAAACAAAACACACAAATAAACAAAGATTCAAATAAAACGATGAGGTTACTCAACCCCGAAGTCAACTCACCGAAAGCTCTGGCGGCCCCGCGGACTAGAGATCACTTCGCTGCTGGCCAGCTTCTCTTCGGAGCTGGCCACCGCCCCATTCCCACCGCTGATCCTCTGCTGGCTGCGTCCCTTTTTGTTCGGCCCCGACATGGGTGACGGTTGCTGTTGCTGGGGGAGATTCTGTGCCTGTTGCTGAGGAGGTTGCTGCTGCTGGGCAGGAGCGTGTTTCTGAGGCGTGGTCTGTTCGCGACGCTCGCTGGGATCGGTGTTCTGTTTGAGGGTCTGGAGCTTGGCCAGCGGAATGATGTCGCACTTGCTCGGCCGGTGCCACACGGTCTTCTGCGTGGCCGCATTGTAGTAGTAGAACCTCTGGGTATTCGTATCGAACAGTTCCCACCACTGCGATGAGTCGGTTCGCTTAATTGGCACATCCTGTAAAGCGAGAACGGGAACGAGAATGAGTACGGGAACGCGTGGCAAGCTTTGGGGGAATGTGCTACAGTGTGTGGGTGTGTGGATATACATATGAGTTTTGATCTGATATGGGTCTGATAGGGGGGAACAACACGTGGGTTGCGCCATTAGACTGACACTCATGAATACGAATGGACTATGGATTCAATCGATGCCATGCTGCCCATCCGGATGTTCCTTCACCTATTTATGCAAATCATGAGTCACCCAAAGACTCGGAGACTTTCCTCACGGAGGTTTATGCTTCCGGTATGTTTTCATGTAAGCATGTTTTCATCTTTTAAATTTAAAAAATAAAATCTAAACAATTTTCATCTAATTCAGCTATAATATTTCAGCACGTTCCATTCTACTTATATGATATATTTCCTCAGAACTGCCACCGGAGCCCAAAGAGCTCCTCCGGCCTGTGTCCCTTCTCTTGAATTATCCAACAATTACACAAAAGGCATATTTATTTTGGTATCCCAAGCCGGAGAGCTTTTCTTCGGGCTTAATCAGCAAACTTGAGACTACAATAAGCCCATGTAGATGTGGGTGTGGTTGTGTGGGGGGGTGTGGTGTGGGTATTTATAATCTCAATCTGAAGGGTTTTATCTGCCGAACAAATACAACAAGTGCTTGACAAGTGCGGCTCCTCCCGAGGCTCCCGATGCACTGAGAGAAAATAGTAATCAATTAATATTTTAATCAACAGTTGGATCAAGACCTCTAAGGCTTTATTTTCTTTGGTGTAACCCTCCCTGGTATTTGGCCTTGTTGGTGTGGCGCGTGTTCTTCATCCGCCTCATCTCATCTCTCCGCCCAGAAGTCAGGGTTGCCAGGGTTATTTCTGCAAAATGCAGCAGAGGCAGAGGCAGCACGCTGACCTTGAACTTTTGCGCTGCAGATGCGCTTATAGCTCACCACTCACAGCCCTACAGCCCTACAGCTGAGAGGTGGGTGGGTGGTGGATGCCACATGCTGCCTGCCCCCGCCCCATGCCTGAAGCTACTGTTGTGGCAACAACCACTCGCCACTGCAAATGAAAGCTTTCGGCATGGCTGCTTCCCATTTCTGGTTTTCATTTCCATTTCCAACCGGCGTTGCATGTTGCATAATTTGTAGGCGCGACCGTAGACGGTTACTGAGAGGGGGAGGAGGGGGAGTAGGAGGAGCTGGGTGCAAGGCCATCCAGGGTAGAGATGTCGTCTCGTTACGCTATTCGGATTCTTGCGTCAGTCAGTCAGTCAGTCAGCCATTCATCCAGATTGCAGATTCTCCTCCCTCGGAAAACCCACGATCTGAAGCCTCCACCTCCTCAGCCTCCTCCTCCTCCAGCCCGTAATGAGTGATGGACTATAAAAAGAAAAAATATCAAGCGGGGCGACCTCATTTGTGGCCTTGTACGATATTCCAAATATTTGTTGTGGTTGTAATTATGGAAATCCAACAACAAACAGCCCGAATAACAATGCGATGGGAGAGGTCTCTGGCTATGGCCTACATCTTAATCTGAAAAATTGCCCATTTGTGGAAGTACTTTTGAAATTAATTCAAATTAATTAAAATGTGATTAAAAGGGGCTAGAGCTATGTATTTCTTTTGAAATAAAATACCACCCTACATGTATTACATTCCAAAGACTCTATAGTATCTATCCCTAGTACCTTGTACTAGTCTATATCTAGTACCCACAACTCTAACTGGGAAAACCACAATCATAGGAAGTACTCTATGACTGAAATCTGAAATAACATAATTCATTTAAATTTTATTTCTTTCCCAAAACTTAGAAGTTTGTCTATAGAAGAATTCTTCCATTGTAACTCTTCCATTATAACCCACTCTTCTTACTTGGAAATTATAAGAAGACCTTTATTAAACTATATATTTCGTGTAGAAATAATATTCCCCCTATAATTTTAAATGATCTTATGTCTCTCTTTCTTAAAACTTACAAGTCTGTGTACAGATAGAGAATTCTTCCATTATAACTCTTCTATTACTTTCAAATTATATATATTTTTTTTAGAACTAACATCCCCCCTTTAATTTTAAAATATGAAATGTCTCTCCCCCCCAAAATCCCACAAATTCTGTCTATAGATTCAGGCCTTCTTTCATCAGAAACATTACTCATACGCCCCATATGCTTCAGTATCAGATGAAAAAATGCCTATATTTCTATATTTCACAAAGGGATGTGTGGTTCATCGTTCTTTATAATCGCAGACTATGATGAGGCAGGCGCTCTAGATGGATATATTATGAAACTTTCTTTGTTGAGTTTGCAAGGCCCCCAAGTACACACTATTTCCCAATTAAAGCTCATTGCTTTCTGGAATCAACTGGAGGATGCATTCGTTATCTGCTCCATTCAATTTGCTTCATAAAATGCCTAGCCCGGACCCGGCGCTTATTGGAAAACAATTCCGAGTCTTAATCAGCGCCAAGTGGGTCGATCTATGAAGCGTGCCACGCACTCGGGTATTTCTAATCGAGTTGAGTTTCTCCCCAAATGGCCGAGGTCAGTTATGGATTCCACATCGCCATCGCATCTGTGAATCATGCAACCAAAAAAAAAAAACAAAAATTAAATAGCCACAGACATTAGGTCATCCATCGGAGCGAATATTAAAGCCCAGCACAGATCCCAAAATAGCCGACAACGAAAACGACGATATCGGGACTAGCACCGGAGGCATGTGTCTCTCGAAATTGGTGAGGAGGATCGGGTATGGCAATCAATGGAGCTGAATTGTTGTCAATTCATGCTCGATTTTGGAATTTATGCAAATATTTAATATAATTCCCTATGGCTGCCAGGCTGCCAGACTGCCAGGCCCAAGACATAACAATTAAGTTCTCCGATTTATAGATTATGTGGCTGGCAGGGCAGTTATCGATGAGTTTTGTGGGGCACATGTTTCACATTCCCGCGAGACATATCGACCCTATTTATAGATCAGTGGGAAGAAGGCCTAGTCTTGAGTCTTATTTATGATATGGGCTATCCCCCACATACTTCAATCTCGGCAAGAAAAGTTCATATATTCCTGAATCTGGCTCATAAAAGCCTCCTTATCGGTTAGACTTCACCACAATATTGTATGACTAAGTATTGTCAGGGGACCTCACATTTTAATGCTTTTATTCATTAGCTATATTTATTCATATTTAATTGGCTTGGTAATGGCTTTCAAATTGTGCCAAGCAAAGCGGAAGAGGGCCTAGGCCCAAGTGTGTCTCTGGAAGAGGCCCAAAAGCGTGCTTTGGCCCACAACAGGAAGCAGTGCTTAACCCAAGAAGGCAATGGGCGATAGGAAGAGTAAGGGGGTTCTAATACTCATTTATACTCAATATTTAATATTTTCAAAAATCAAAAATAGTATATATTTGTATAATTAATATAAGACTTATAATATAATATCATTATAGAACCTATAAGTCACATATCCCCCTACCTACACCCTCTAAAAACCACCAAGAATCACAATTTGAAATATTTCGACGAAGAAGACCCAGTTCGAGCCCTGACCATATAAGACAGCACCTCTCCGGGGGGGGAACTACCATAGCTAACCCAGCGAATTGCACCATCCCTCTGTGGAGAATTGAAAGAATGGGTGACGCCGGCGGACGCACGTGAACATTATCGTTTAGCGACTTCACCGCCGCCCGGGCCAAGTCCGGGCTCCATTCGAGGCGGGTTTTGTAACCTGAAACGTGAAACGGGACGTGGGACGGGGGCCATTTGGACGTGCAACGTGTGGGCAACTTTTCTTGTGCGGCGCTTTCTTCTGTTGGTGCTGCTTCTGTTTCTGTTTCTCCCTCGGCTCTCAACCGGAAGTTTTACAAAGCAAATGAGCAAAAAAAAAAACAACAACAAAAAAAAGTATGAAAAAGTTGACAAAGCCCTGGGCCGGGGGCAGGGGGAGGGAAGTAATTTTGAGTTAAAAAAAAAAAAAAAGTAGACACTGTCCAACCAACACTGTGAATAAATTTCAAATCACGTAGCTGGCTTGGGGAGTACTGGGTCTTATAACACAGATACACAGTAAGAAATTTAAGCTTTCTAATAAAATATTATTTAAAAAAATAAATAAATAAATTAGTAAACTAAAGAGATATTTTATTTAAATTATTAAAGTTTTAATAATTTTTCATTGCCTGTGTGAAGTCTGAACAAGTCTAAACAAGTCCAAACAAGTCCAAAACAGACAACTGCGAATAAACTAACAGTTCCAAACAAGGTACAACAACCAGACGACCTGAATAGTGCCAATTTAAAGAAAGTTAGAAAAGCGAGGGGGTGGAATAATGAATAAAAGAACAAAAAACGGAACACGGAACTCGGGTAGTATGATCACCCCTCTCTCTCTTTCGGTTAATAATATCTTTTTCACGCTGCTCTGCATAAATTGTGCGGATTATATGGCACACAGGGAAAAGGATTCACTTCCTCTTCGACTTCAACTTTGTCGAAGGGGAAGCAGCAACAATTGCAGTGCCGACGACGTCACCGTTACTGCAATCAGATACCGAAACGAGGACAGCAACAAAAAAAGGGAGAAGGAAGTGAAGTATCTGTGAGTTACAAAACTAATGGCCAATATTAACTAAAAACCTCTCACTAATCATTGTCGACAGATAATTGCCTTAACTCTACGCTTGCTCTTCTTGATTTTTTCATGTTTATTCCTGTTTTTTCTTGCTCCTGTGAGAGTGCAACTCCAACAACAGAGAGTGAGAGTGATAGAAAACGAAATGCAAGGCACATAAATAAATACTCAAGAAGAAGAGTGGAAAGAGAGAGGTAACACACAGATGGCTTTAGGAAAGTAAAGGGGAAAGGGCACGACGGGAAATAAATCATGGCGTCAAAGGGACATCACGCCCACAAACGCAGCTCTGCATGCAAGCCTTTTCATTAAGGAAGCAGGACAGGCACTCTGAACAGTTGAGGTTAAAAAGATAGTAGCGCTTGGAAGTAATAAAAAAAAATTTTTAAATAATTCTTCATAGTTGTTAATAGAGCTTCCAATATTAAACCCTTATTTCAAATTCAAATATACTTTTTTTTTATGAAAATACCTATTATCTTGAACACTGTAGTATGGCCATGTGTGTGCAATCAGGAGGAGCGAAACGAGGACATTGCAGGCCAGGAACAAAATCAATGAAATTTTCACTACTTCCGGGCAGGGGGCAGGAGTAGAGACTAAAAGGGAGTCTCAAATGAGGATAGTCTGGCCAATGTTTGCGTTTCTGCTTGGCCCGGCAGGCGAGACCAAAGTTATTAGCCTGCAACACCTTTGGGTGTTGCCGCATTAGCCAAACATTCAAAAAAAAAAAAAAAAAGTAAACCAAACAGACAAGATTTAAGCAAACATGGAGCTTCCAAAAGGAAAACTTTTTCTTTCAAAAAGAAAATCAAAAGATGTTATGAAATAGTCTATAGATACACTGTCTTGGCTGTTATATCAGAATAGTTATGGATGCCCGCATCATCCGAAAGTTATTTTAATATAATTAACCTTGGTCACGCCACTTGGCGAAGTGGGTTACGAAATTTGCAAGCCAAACACAACCATAAAAACAAAAAAATTGTGCAAACAAGTGACCCAGAATTATAATTAAACAACCAGCCCGTCCAACAAGATACTCATTTAATCAATGAAGAGGTTAATGAACTTCCAGAGGATCTTAAAGATACTTTATTTTGAAATGATCATAGATACATAGATACTTACTTCTGGTGGATCCCAAACACATTCGCCGGTGGTGAGATTGGCGTACATGTGGTCCTTGGTCCGTGGCTCGATTATTTCTACCCATTCTATTCTGTATATCCGGAACGAAGATCCCATCCAGATCCAGAAGATCCATCCAGTGGGCCAAGCAGAGGAAGAGCAAGAGGCGAGAGAAATACACATAAATAAGGCATAAAAATGCGATTGCTTCTATTTTAGCCCCAAGCGCCCCAAACAAAAAAAAAGCATTTCAGGAATGCTTCTCGCGCGAGTTCTTACACGCCCTTTCTGGCTAATTCTTGCATTTTATTTTGTTTTCTTGATGAAATTTTCAAAAAGACAGTTATATCCCGAGTTCTTCATTTAATTTTTGGGGGTATTTCCTCTCTACAACATACAAACAAACACACATTTTGTCAAACATTTTCCGGTTTTTCCTTTTTTTTTGTAAATTGCAGTCCTTCCACCAACACACACACATACAGATACTAAGGCGGGTTTGAAGAGAGGGTGTTAGCACTCTCTGGCTCTCTTTTTGGCACATTTGGCGGACGGCGCTTGTTGCCGCGCCTTACCAGAAAATCGATTTTGCAGCAGCCTGGAATGCCTGAAAACCCAAGACCCCAAAAATGCATAAATCTAATATTTAATCAAGGTAAGAGAACTGCACGCAACCCACACTGCACACACGCAGGTCAGCACATGGGCGTTGTGGGGTTGGTACTCTCTTCATTAATTTCCACCCACTGAGAATTTATGTTTTTTTTTTGTTGGGCGTACCACCACCCACTCATTTTTGTTGCCGAATGCCATTCCCCATTGATAAAAATCCTGCTTACGCCACTGTTCTCTCAGACCCACACGCACACACACGCATGTCGCAGCACGCAGCTGTCAAAAGGCGCTTCGCCTGACCCTCCCCCTTGACGGCCGCCTCTCTTTCGGTCGACTTGCTACTCCCACCCACCCATTCTCGCACTGCATTCAAGACAATTTATTTAACAAAAGCATCTGCACTTTTGCATTGTTGTTACGCCTGCTTTCTTAATAAATTGTATACACAATTTCGACATTCGCGTTGTCTGGAAATTGTTTTTGCTATTGTTGTTGTTGTTGTTGTTGTTGTTGCTTCTTTGCTTTTGCTGCCTGGTGTTTTTGTAATGCTAGTTGTAGTGTAACGGCACACACCTTTCACAACTTGAACTCATTTTTTCTCTGCTCTTTATTAGGCTGCTGCTCGTTTTGATTGTTGTTTTTGTTGTTGCTGCTGGCGGGTTTTCTCTCGGTGTTGTTGTTGTTGGTGTTGTGGCTCTTGTCTCCTTTTGCTATTTCTGCTGCTGGCTACTGCTGCTTCTTCTTCTCCTCGGTTTCCTTACGCACACTTACACACCCCGAACGCACTTTATATATATGTATATTTATATATGTACATATATATATTTCACTTTTCTTTCACTTATTTTCGTTTCGACCGCGGCGACGAAAATGCAATTTTCCTTCTCAATTGATTTTTTTCTACCCACTCGTACTCCTTCTTCACATGCGTGCCGCAGTTGGTGTTGTTGTGGCTGCAGTTCTGCGATTTGATTTTGTTGTTGCAGCGCAACTGAAAACACTTTCACATTTATGACATAATTTGCTGGCCATATTTTTACTTCGCCCTGCGCTTGTGCCACTGCATCTTCCACGAGCCAAGTGCTATCTTAAATATTTATGCTCTATGCTGCACAATTCGAACGCGATCCGCTATTATTTGCTGCAGCGCCGGAAGCGAGTGACCAGATTGTGCAAACGAAAAACCTAAGCAAATTTAAGCCTAACGCCTTAACGGCCATCTCTGGCCTCATGAATTCAGAGATGAGCGCGTGATTCGATAAAAATTTAAACTTGTAAAGCTTATTTTCGAAATCAAGTATTTTTTATTTAAAAAGTAAATGTTCAAAGAATTCAATTTAAAAATGATGAATCGAAAATTAACAAAAGTGGTTACTTAAACTAAAAACTATAAAAGCTGCCTTTTTCCCCATTTTTGCATTGTGCATCTTAGCTTATCTTAAAGAATAATTTAATTGTTTTTTATTGTTTGGTAGTGGAATTAAATCTCATACAAATTTATCAAAAATAGTTTCTGGTTAGGAAAAAACACTTTAAGCTTACTTCACAGTGACTTTCAATCGGCTCTGCCTGGGATTAATAGCAATCCGAAATCATATTCTCATCATCGCGTTTTATCGCGCTCAGTATATCATCCAAGAGCGATGTAAAACTCTCCTCGCACTCGTACCACTCTTTTTGTTGTTTCAGAAGTTGGTCGGGATTGATAGCCTTTAGCTCCGCGAAGAACTGGCGCATCGGAATTGCAAACTGCTTATAGTAGAACTCGTCTATATGCCGTTTTTTCGAAGGTTCATCATCTGCATTGAGCTGCATTTGAGCCTCGAAAGCCTTCTCTAAAAGCTGAGAGTCCTGCGAATTGAGAATCGCCTCAATAATCTCGTCCGCTTCGCTGGGATTTATTGAAGGTTTGTTTCCTGATGGCTGAGTTGTTGGTGGTGTCGGCTGTTCCGATGGGAAATTAAACGAGCACTGATCCGTATCCAATGGTGATCGCATTTCAATTTCCTCCAGTATACCCTTGTATTTCTCAAATTTTTCCATCATTATAGTTGTGCCCTTGATAAGGAATGCCAACAATTCTTTCGAGGTCTCATCGCGCAGACTCTTAAGTAATACACCAAAGTAGCCATACTGCTGAACCTCAGCAAAAACCTTGGCGATACTAGTCTGGATCTCCTTCTCTGTCAGTGTGACAATCTTTTTTTGTTCCTTGGAGAAGGTAACAGTGGGAAAGACTCCGTCAATCATGCCTTGATTAGTGAACTGACGATAGAACTCTCTCCTCCAAAACTCCAATGCATTCATCTTTACTTCGGTGTGGTGGTCTCCTACCACACAATAGTTAAGCGTGGAAAACAGGGTGTTTTTGTATTTTTGATGGATTTTTCGGTGTTCGTAAATCTTTCTTAGAGTTATAAGGGCTTCGGCTCTAACAATATCATCGTTCTCCCGATACATCACATAGAGTAAATGATCCTGACAATAAAAGACTATTTTTAGTATCGCATCAGGTGGAAAATTCTTCCGATCTTACCACAAGATCCAGTTGACTTAGGCCATTCTCCCATAAAAGGTTTATAGAGACCATCTCCGCCAGACACTTGAAGGCAGACGCTCGTACATAGCTCTCTGAATCGTTCTTCGCCATTTCGTAGACTATTGGAGGTATCTTCGAGTCGATTAAAAACCTTTGGAAGGCGGGGAACTCTGGGGAAGTATTAAGCTTTAACTGCCAATTCAATAATGAATACAAATTATAGTCTACTTACTGACGCGGGAGATGCTAGCAATGGAGGTTGTCAATTCCAAAGTGGTGTCACGCACTTCCCACATGGTGTCGTGCATTCGCTTAACGATGATAGGGCCTAAACAAACTAAAGCTGAGCCCTGCAGGTTATCCACTAGCAGAGCCATGTTTGGGGAAAGAAAATGCTCCACTGCTAGCTGAACAAGTTTCAAGGCCTGAACCGTACACTAATAATTAAAGAAAATATATAATTATATATCAATAAAAAAAAAATTAAAAAAAAAAGTAGACTCACTCTGGCATCCATATTGGTGTTTTCTAAAACGAAAGCTAGGCAATTGACTAGACCAATGGTCTCTACAGACTCCTTCCATGTTATCTTAAACCGCTCTATCAGAGTGCGCAATCCCACCATGACAGAGTGCAGTACTTGGGGATCATTCACAACCAGTTCTGTGCCACGAGGATACATTTCCAGGTAGGAACTGCCGGTGCTGCTAACGCTGTGGCAATCATCCTGAGAGTCGCTAGTAATGGCATTCATAGCCACAGCTTCGCGAAGGACATACAATAGAGCCTGGCACACGGTGACGGCCTGTTCACGATCAAGGACCTTCTCTAACGAGAGCAAACTATGAATGCATTTGTTGGCCAATCCGGGGGTCACCAAAGACAAGCCCGTGCCGTCTGGAGTGAAGAAGGCGTCGCGCATGCTGTAGCAAAGGCGCAAAGTCTGCTCACAGGAGATCTCTAAGAGCTTAACCACATAAGCGTCGAACAGTTCGACCTTGTTTTCCGCCTCCAGTGTTTTTGCATACTTCATGGAGAAGAGCAGAGGCAGCATATGAAAGCAAATAAGCTGATTTTCAAATGTGACACGCTCTTGCTGGATGACAATTTCCTTTGGCGCTCTCGCACCCAGCTTTTTCCACAGTACATGATTGATCTCCGCCAGCTTTACGAAGCTGATTCCATCCTTACGGGTGATGCAGAACTTCATGTGGTTAAAAAAGGCCAAGCCGAATTCCGTGAACTCCTCCGGTGGTTCGGTGGCGTCTGGATTTAGGAGCTTCTCGTGCATCATCAGAGCAAAATTGTAGCTAGTTAAAGTGGTAAAGATCTTTTCGATAAAGTATGGATTGTGCGTCATATCAATAAGTTTCCAAATCGTATAATCGAATTCGTGGTGCTCTTTAAGCAAGGCTACTAAACTTGTTCGCTCTTCCAGCACCAGTGTCTGTTGCAGGATGTAGGTGAGAAGGTCCAGGGTCGCAGAGATCTTGTGCAGCAGTTCGTTGTCGTCCACCTTTATGTGAATGGCAGTCTCTTCACCCTCGCCATCGTGTTTCTTATACAGGTTATCGTGAATCGGCTTCATGATCTCGGCCAGCAACTCCAGAGTGACGGCCTTATCATTAAGCTTATCGCAAAATTTATACAGCATCTCGAAGAGCAGTTGCCTGGCCTCCCGAACCACATACAAGGTATGATCATTGTTGGAGTACTGGATGAGTAGCGTCCATGCGCGATGAATACGCAGGAAAGCCAACCCCATGCTATAAACCACGACGCCCTTCATGAGCCTAATACCTCCAAGTTTAATTGAGGGGCTGTAGGAACGATCCATTTGTAAGAATTTCATAGTTCTGAAAAGTAAAAAAAAATCGTCATGACCTTTGGTCTTTTTTGCAAAAAAAGATAATATAACTTTAGTGAAGAATGGTATCATAAATAGCATCAGCTTTCTTCCATTCTCCATCATTCTGTAATAAAATCCAACCTGTTTACAATGTCCAACTCCCTCAACCGTATGATCATCCACTCGTTGGCCGCCAGATAGCTGGTTAGATTGAGCATAAAAGATACTACTTTCGGGTGAACTGTATCGACGTCCTCCATAACCATGGTCATGCACTTGTCCACCCAATCGACCACAAAAGGATCCTGCAGTACATATGCATTCTCTGAGGATACAAATCGATCGGGAATTAATATTACTATCAATATGGGTAGCAGATACCACCCACTCACCCTTGGCCTGTAAGTGCGTGAGGAGCTTCTCAAAGTAAACATTGTTGGTTGTGGAAAAGTTATCGCGCAAAAATATGTTTAGTATCTGGCGCAGGCGCGACAGCACCTCCTCTTGCTTCTGCATATCGCTGGTATCACGATGACTACGTAGCCTCTCCAGCGACTCCTTCTAGGGCATACTTTTTCAACTTGCAATTGGTTCAACAAATAATGAAATCGTTTGATTGCCGCTCTTATCACGCCGAAAGACACTTGTTTTGCCTTCAAAGCAGACCGTTTCGTTCTACCTGCAAAATGTCGAACAGAGTTGCCAGGTGTTCTAAAACAGTATTTAAGGTTAAATAGAGATGATTAATTTTAGAATATAAATATTTCATTCATTCCCAAAAGTCAATTAGTTTTATTTTAATTGTAAAAAAAAAATTTAAAATAAAATAATTACAAACACTTTCCCAGTCCCAAATATTTTAAAAAATATATTGTTTTGCGCATACTGTAACAATAAAATGCAGATTTTATCAAATATTCACTTATAAAAATATTTAATACGTATAAATTATATATTATTTAATATATAAACTAAATCCAATTCCCTCCCAATGGACCATCACTGCCTATGAGCCGAGCGCCCCAAATAACAAATAAAAGAACGGTAACACTGTCTGTGGATGCAAAATAATGACGCTGACATCGAATCGGACCTAGGGGACGTATAATGGATAATAATGTAGAGCAAGCTGCAATAAAAAGCAAAACAGATTCCGCAACAGTAAATATTGGAGCAGCAGCAGCTGGATCCGCAACAGGAACAGTCAGTGGAGCTAGCGGTGCCGGGGTCCTGGCCAACGCAAACTCACATTCGAACTCGACCTTTTGGAAAAACAGCGGACGGAGGGTGCCCGGACGGCCCAGTCCGAAGCGGGAGCTTGATAAGTCTGCGGGACTTGGAGTTGGCATGGTGTCCACCTTCCGGGACTATCAGCAGTCGGTGAGCGATGCCTGGGACACGGGCGACGATGAGTTCTGCATCATCAGCAACTCGGAAGCAGCAGCAGCTGCAGCAGCGGGAGCCGGCGGTAATAATCACAGAATGTTTCTTCTTTCTACGATTTCTTTGTCTAAAAAAATATACATTTTAACTTAGTATACATGGTCCCAAAACATATTTTTAAGTTTTCCCTCCCATGATGATCTCCTTTACAGATACTGCAAGGATTTCTCGCCAAGTGTCCCAGACGGTGGCCCTTAACGTGATTGAAACGCATTCGCGGAGCAACCAGAACCACAACGCACCCAAGACCTTAAATGAATGCGGTCCTGAAGTGATATCGCCAAGTGGAAACCCGGCGGAAGAAGGCAAGGAAGACCGCCGGAACCAACCGGACAGCAACGAGAACAGGTGAGTTGAGGAAGCGGAACCGGGAAGTCAAATAGAAAGTTGAGTTCGAAGTCAGCAGTTGTGCAAACAAGTCAGGGGCGGAGTGGGGAAAGTACACACCCGCATTTCTTTCGTAGCATTCGGCAGTAATGTAAGCTTGATTTTTAAACATAATTAACTTGATTAACTAAATTTTAAGGGTGCTCCCAGACATTTCTAAACTATTGCCAACATAACTTTACGATAACCGCCCTGAATTCTGTCTATCTTCCTTAACAAATCGTCACACCCCAGCCCTTCCCATGAATTCAAGTCACCAAGTTTAGAGTCAAGAACGCAAGCACTGAATCCCGGCATGGATAATAATCGGGGTTGCATTTACAGATCAAGATTACGGAACTACCCAGGACGGCCGCAGCTTCAGAAGATTAGGTCAGATTGCCAGGACAGCGAGTATGAGACGAAGATTGAAAAGTTCCAGGTACTTCTCGATTCGCCACAGCTGGATTTGGCGGCTCTTAAGAAACTGAGCTGGTCGGGAGTGCCCAGAAAGGTAAGAAATCCCTTTCAAGAAACTGACCAGAAATTAAAATATATTTCCGAAGATGCGCGCTGTTAGCTGGAGGCTGCTCTCAAAATATCTTCCACCCTCGAGTGAACGGCGGATGGCGGTGCTGGAGAGTAAACGGCAAGGATACCAAGACCTCAGGCACAACTACTTCCGCGTGGACAGTCAGGATGAGACGCAACAGGATACGTACCGCCAGATTCACATCGATGTGCCTCGCATGAATCCCCAAATACCGCTCTTCCAGCAAAAGCTCGTGCAGGAGATGTTCGAGCGAGTGCTATTTATCTGGGCCATAAGACATCCAGCTTCCGGTTACGTTCAGGGCATCAACGATCTTGTTACGCCCTTCTTCATTGTCTTTCTCCAGGAGGCTCTGTCGCCGGACACGGATCTCGAAAAGTATGAGATGTCTACGCTGCCCGAGGGTACTCGTAATATAATCGAGGCCGACTCATTTTGGTGCCTATCCAAGTTTCTTGATTGCATTCAGGATAACTATATCTTTGCGCAACTGGGTATACAGGAGAAGGTTAACCAACTCAAGGATCTTATACAACGTATTGACGGTAAGTTTAAGGATGAGTATCTTAAGATATCTTCAATAAAGGAGGATAAAAGATATATATATATATACGATGTAGAATGAAAGATAAGATAAAAGGAACGTTGCTCCGCTGAAGGTAACATTAAAGATTTAGATTAAAGGTGATAATGTCTATGATGATCTTATCAAGTGGTATAGCTTCCATGTACAACACAACTTGTAATTCCCACAATTATCTTAACCCTTCTACCTCATCTAACCCTAGCTAACAATTCAATAATTATATTTAATTTCCATTACATGTTTCAGTGAATCTACACCGTCATTTACAGGCGCATGGTGTCGACTACTTGCAATTCTCATTTCGCTGGATGAATAATCTGCTGACACGCGAACTACCGCTGCACTGCACCATCCGTTTGTGGGACACATATCTGGCCGAGTCCGACGGATTCGCCCTGTTCCATTTGTACGTGTGTGCCGCATTTTTGCTGCACTGGAAGGAGCAGCTGATGCAACAAAACGATTTTCAGGTAAGTCGTTTAAATATATATCTGTTGTCCACCAAATTTATATGGTAATATCCATCGGCAGGGTCTCATGTTGCTGCTACAAAATCTGCCAACACACAACTGGTCCGATCGCCAAATCAACGTTCTACTGGCCGAGGCATTCCGCCTTAAGTTCACGTACGCCGATGCACCCAAGCATCTGGAAACGAAGAGTTGACAAAAGAATCACAAACCATGCATATACGTAACATAGAAGTTAGTTTACTAAAATTTGCGGAATATACCTACACATAAACGTACGCCTACATATACATCTAATAATTATATACAATTTGTTATTTAGCCGTTTCTATGTTTTGTTTCTTCTCTTCCTCTCATTTACAATTTTGTGTTTTCATTTTAAAGAATTCGTACGTAAAAGTTAAAAAATTATCCCCTTTTTGTACATACAAATCAAAATTGAAAATACAATTCAACACGTTCTACGGGTCGAGAGCAGTTTCAATTACAAATTTGTCTTTTATAAAAACAAATCGAATCAAATCTTAAATAAATCGATTTAGCTTAAAATAATAAAAATGAAAAAAGCTATTCAGTGAAAGGCGACTTAAGTTATACCCTCTCTCTTAGTTCTGCCGCTCAGCTATGTGCTTCAACTGCTTGAGAACCGTTTCCAACAACTTCTTTTTGTCATTCTTGCGGACCAGCGAGAAAATAGGTTTCTTGTCCGCTTCACGGATCTTCTCTAGAATCACTATAATCGACTGAGGCTGGACCAGGTGGTAGCGGTTCTCTTGCTTTCCGTAGTCATGGAAGTACGTGCTCCACTCCTCCAGAATGAGGAGATCCAGCAGTTGGCGGTTGCGCAAGAAGTACTTGCTTAGTTCTCCCTCCTTTAGTCCAGGAACAGGTTCTGATGCCGCAAAGAACTCGCACTGCATCAGATCCAAGTTGATTTGGGTCAACGCGCCCGTGGATATCTGCTTCACATCATCGTCGTACATTATGGAGTATATCTTCTCGGCAATGTGCTCGCAGGTGCGTCGGCAAGCGGCCTGGGCAATGTGCGGTAACTTAAAGGCAAAGTTGTCAAAGGTGCTCTTCAGATACGAAATCATATCGGTGATGAATGCGGAGGCAATGCCAGGAGGCTCTACCAGGAGCCAGTCGTAGGCGCTTAGCTCGAAGAACTCGTCGATCTTGGAGCATATGCGCAGGCCAACCTGTTTCTCGGCATCCTGTCGAGCAACGTGGAACATGGCCGAGGGAGTTTGTGATACACTTCGGTCCGTGTTGGTCATGTGACACACAAACTCATCGAGAAACGGGCCAGCTTTCTCCAGATACTGCGTGTCGATTATAATTTGGATGAGCTGCGTCAATGTAATGCTCGGCTGGCGAAATACCACCGACAAACATCCGCTAAAGCTGCGCGTCAACAACAGATTAGCTGCCTTTCGCACCATGGCTGCTACTTCGTTGGGCGATAGGGTGAGCTCTTCGGCGAACTTCATGCAGGCGTACATGAACTCCTTGGCTTGGTGATACACCTCCGGTACCATGCGCGAGAAGGGGAACTTTTTGGGGAAGGGTGCATTCTCAAGCTGGTCAGAGTGGAAGGGAAACCGCTCGAGAATAGCTTCATATTCCTCAGGGGTCTGAACCACCATCGGCAGGAACTGCTCCTTGTCGAGAATGTCGCGGAAAACATGCACCCATCGTTGCAGCAAAACCTAGGATTATCAATATGAGCTTTAGTAGGGAATCATGCTTATTTTTAAAGTCACTTCTCACCTCGTTGTAATGATCCCGCATATTGTGCAGCAATTCCCAGAGAATATTTACGGTGTAGCCATAGCACTTGAACGTGTTGATGGACAACATAATCAGGTTTTTGATGCGCAATAGGATGTTCGGATCAGTGCATGACGAAGAGCTCATGCTGATCTCGTTCATGAACTTCGTAAGAGAGCTAGACCAGAGGTCCTCCAAATAGCTACTGGTCACCACATCGCCGGCGGTATTTTTGACGTGATCTTCCACGACAAAGAAACCGACAATGGCGCATATGTACGTCTTGTAAGCCTCCAGATTATCGTGCATATTGGGTGGCGGTTGGAGGACAAGCTTGGCCTGATCACGGCGTTGCTGTCGATAGTCCTTTTCAAAGTACTCCCGCTGCCCCAGAACCATATAAATGTGCAGACAGCGGTAAATAGGCGAAAAGTCGATGAGATCCTGGGCACTAACATTGGCATCATCGTCAGCTGCGTCGCCGTTCGCTTGCTGCATATGCTCGGCGATTATGGCGTTAATATCCCGCTTCTGGAGCTGTTTGGTGTGGGTGATGGCCAGCTCCCCGATACGCGGTGAGAACTTTCGAATGTTTTCCAAAAACTCGCGGAAATCCAAGGCGGAGGATCGACGGATGTTTTCCTTTATAATGGGTATCTGAATCTGCATCTGGGTGGCAAAACGGTAGTTGTGGGTTTTAAGCCGCGACAAGTGCTCTGTCTCTAACGTCTCCAAGGTACGCAGTGCCTGGTAATACTGCTTGTTTTTGGCCTGCTGCGTGAACTTCATGTAGCACTCCAGTGCTGGAAGGCAGGACTTCAGCGCCTCGATAGCGCTGGCCAGGTTGGACTCTATTTGGCGTGCTCGGACCAGGTCGTTGCCTTGCTGGATCAACGAGGCACTTATCTGGCGCAGCGAGGTGTCCAGCGAATGCACCTCATCGTGAAGCTGCTTTGCCTGTGTGCGCACCTGCAACAGCTCCTGTATAGAGTCAATGAAGCCCTGGTAGTACAAGTTGCATATCCTCTCAATCTCCTTGTCGTGACTTCTGATCCGCTGGTCCAATTGTTCGCTTATCTGTTTTGTATTGTTTCCTATGGAATGACGAAATGAATTACAAAGCCAATGGGCGTAAACAAAACGGATTTCAGACCAATCCAAGTCTTACCCTCAAGTATCGAGCGAAAGGTGGGACCCCAGTAGTCGTCCACCGCCTCTATGTCCTGCACGGTTACCTTTGACATTATTGTCTTATTTTTTCCAATATATTTTTTATATTTTACGGTAAATCAATTAAAAAATTATTCAGCCTTCTTGACCTGTGTTGAAAAGTTCTTAAAATGGCAAGTGTTTTCAAAAGGTGCTGGATAACAGCGCCAATAGTGATGTAGATGGGTTTTAAATAAAGTTTAAACTTTATTAAAGGTCCTTAAATTTTATTTAAATCGACAACAATATTAATTAAAATTAACAAAATGATTCGCCTTTATTAAATTATTTTCTCCACCTTCCTATTGTTTTTAACAGCTGTTAGGTCTGCAGATCTTTTCCAACACTTAATGTTTTGTACAAATATAAATTAAAGCAACAAGTTTTTAAATATATTGAAATATAAACTAGAATATGTGTACTATATGGGTATAAGTCTTTTAAACTATATAATTTATGTTCATTGGGATGAACAACTCTGTGAAGTCTGACCATCGTTGGCCGCCTCCCCATCAGCTGTTACTTTTCAGCTTTCACTTCTGGTGGCGGCTTGGAGCAGTTTGTTGGTCTTTTTCTGGTTTTTGGGGCCAAAAGCAGTCGGAGAAGGTACGCAGTTATGTCGGAGTGGTAAATGTACACGCACGCAATCACGGCACAATTAAAGAACAAAACTAAACACAATCATGGCCGACCTTAGGAGTCGCCCCAATGCGACATCCATCTCCAACTTCAACAACAACAACAAAGTGGATAAGGAAGCCAAGGAAAATGGAAAAGAAAATAGTAAAAAGGCGGAGAAAAGTGATCCTATGATATATGTTGTTTTTATATCACTTCTATTTGATCTACTGGCGTTCACTATTATTCTTCCGCTGCTTCCATCACTTTTGGAGTATTATCGCCAAAATGATGCTTCCGGCTTGTATGCCCTGCTTACGGAGCGGGTGCGATGGTTCCAACAGCTTTTGGGGGCTCCGGAGAGGTACATATCTGTGCTATTTGGAGGCTTTCTTGGCTCCATGTTTAGCTTTTTGCAGTTCGTAGCCAGTCCAATTGTTGGGGGATTATCCGATTACTACGGCCGGAAACCGGTCTTGTTGGTCTGTGCGGTGAGTAGTATTTACAAGCTTAGGATATATATGTATAAAAATAATCATTTTTGTTTTCTAGACCGGCATTGCCTTGTCCTATCTAATCTGGGCCTTCTCCAGCAACTTTGCCCTGTTTGTCCTGGCCAGATTTGTAGGCGGTATCAGCAAGGGAAACATCTCGCTATGCATGTCAGTCATTACGGATGTGTCCAGCGTCAAGACAAGGGGAAGAGGCATGGCCCTGGTAGGCGTCGCTTTCTCCCTGGGCTTTATTGTAGGACCTATGATTGGAGCCATGTTCGCTATATTCTCAGATAAAAGTGCCAGCGGAGGCACATGGTTCGTTCTTCCTTCCCTCTTGGCGTTCGGTTTGGCTACAGGGGATCTCCTAGTACTGGCTTTCTGTTTGAGAGAAACTTTGCCCAAGGTAGAGTGGATACAAATGTGTAAAATATTTTGAAAAACTTAAAAGATGTTTTCTTAGGAAAAACGAGTTAAGGAGATCTCATCGGCGCTGTCATATGGTCTGCAATTGCTTAATTTCTCAGCCATATTTAGGTAAGGTACAATTTAATTATCATGTAGCCGGAACCTGTCGTGTGATCAAGTCGAAAGCTATTCATTATTGCAACCCAAGCGTAGTTGTTTGACTGGTTTAATGAACATTATCTGGCCGGTTGGTCAAGCACGTTTGTTTGATTGTCTTATCAGTTGACAAGTACGGTTGATGATTAGTATTGGTTACAAGGAAACTGCTTGATTTGATTCCCTTTAACATAATCTCTGATCAAATGGTTCAAATCGATTTTCCCATTAACTATTCAATATTTTTAGATTTGCCGCCATTAAAAATGTACCGAAGAAAGACATCGATGCCTTACGATCCATTGGATTGATTTATTTCCTATACCTTTTCCTGTATTCTGGCTTGGAGTTTACTGTTACCTTTCTGATGTACCATAAATTTGGGTACACCTCCATGGATCAGGCCAAGATGTTCTTGACCACAGGTGAGTGTAATATTTTTTTTTAATGGTTCATCATTATTAATAATAACTTTTTATACAGGCGTTATCATGACTCTGCTGCAAGGATCGGTGGTTCGTCGCTTGCCGGAAGCAAAGATCAAGGTTTATGCCATCTTCAGTCTATACTTAATTGTGCCGGCTTTCATATTGGTTGGCTTGGCCGAAGGCAGTCGTATGCTCTACGCCGGAATGATCCTCTTCGCAATCTCCACCGCCTTTGCGGTGACCTGTCTCACAACCCTGGTGTCCAAGTATGGTAATGACGACCAGAAAGGTTCAGTTTTGGGTATATTCCGCTCCCTGGGAGCTTTAGCTCGAGCTCTGGGACCCGTAGTGGGTTGCATTGGTAAGAAGATCTTCGCTACTAAGAATTTCCATTGTAAAGTTTTTATTGTTTTTTAGCTTTCTGGTGCGTCGGCTCTAAAATCACATATATTGCCGGCGGATTATTACTCATCTATCCCGCCCTGGCACTGCAACGAGCTCGTGTTTAATAGTAATAGGAACAAATGTTCAAAATTAAAGATCAAAGTAAAAAAAACGCGAGTATTAAATGCACATTATACTTAGATTATAGTTTTTATAAAAGTATTTTATATTGCACATTACATTATACTTAATTTATAGTTTTTATAAAAGTATTTCACATTTTAATAAAAAATGTTTTTTATATGTCGTTTTACAGAAAAAAATCTTTTATTTTTCTTAAGATAAGAAAAGGTATAAGGTATAAAATACAACTTTAAAGAAACTTTTAAAACTTTTCACCTGCTGTCACTATTTTCCGCTAGATTTAGCTTTTTTAAATGTCTGGCAACGCTGTCGCATGACGGCACAATACATACAAGCCGCAGCCAACTTCACTTCGATGTATATTGGGAGTGACTAAGTTTCGTGTAAGAAAAAATTATAAATAAATAAGCTAAACGCAGCTGCAATTAGCAAATTAATACTGCATTAGTTGCCGACCAGAGGCTGTTACACGGGGCAACCGAAATCGGACTGAAAACACATCGATTCCCCCACCAAATACTGATATACATTTTTCTTTTTCTTTACAACCCACAACTACAACTACAAATATAAAAGTGTAAAAAGTGTGTGAGCTGCGAGAAAACGCATAAAGAAATCGGCGGTGCGCAGGAATTATTGGATTTTGCGACACGGCATTGAAACATAAAGGCACGGATCTGGAGTAACCAGGGATATATAGAGCCAGGCGCGAGCGATAGCAAAACAAATTCAAAGAGAAAATGGGTGCAAGAGAAGACGAATACGATTATCTGTTCAAAGGTAATTATAAACATGACACGGCCACTACCGGCGGAGGTCCCAGGCTCTCTCTCTAACTGTGGCCTGGACACAATGACACTAATTGAAACTAATTGGAGAATAACAAAAAGTGCAGTCATGATGGTTCCCATTTGAGCTGGTGTGTGTGAGATTAATTCCCAAAAATAAGTCAAAGAAGTACGCCCCCCAAGTCAGTTCTTGTTGTTGTTGCTGTTGCAGCAGTTGGATGCCCTTTTCCCCCATTCTGTCTTTCTCGCGTTCGGTGACCCTCTCTTTGAAGGGGGGGAGCACAAGTACGCGTACTTTGCCGTTAACTGTCTGTTTTGTCATTGCTCTCGCCACGTTGCATACAAAAATCGTATAGGGCTAAATCGTATATATAATCGCGATAAAAGCGGCGAGTACCATTTTTAGGGAGGAGTATTAAATAGTTAAACACCCACTCCTCCATGATTAGATTTCCAGCTAGTATTATTATTTTTGTACAGCTGGCTTTTGCATTGAGATTTTTTGCAGATTGAGAATTACTCTCACTCTCTCTCTCTCTGTGTCGCTCTCTGTGTTGGTAACTCCAATTGAGAGCAGAGATACAGTGGGAAGAAATGGGCTGTGTGGCCCCACAAATGTGTTACAACAACTTCCCACATCTTTCTCCGCTTTCGGTTTATGTTCGGGGTCATCAATTCTCAGTCCTCCTTTGTTCGGAAACTACTACGCCATAAATTTCAATTGCGCTTAAAAAAGTCTCATATCACAGCTGAGCTTCACCATTCATGGTAGTGGTTGAATATCATTATTGAATAAAAGTGGCATCTTTTGTCAAATATTTAAACCCTTATCTAGCCTTTTTGGGTCAATTCAGGCCATGTGAACATGCCAATGTGTGACTGTGATGATTCCTCAAATTTCACACCCAACGATATTGGCTAAGCATGACTCATGGAGCTAAAATAAAAAAAAAAAACGAGAATAACTGTTGAAGAATTCCACTGCGATAAGCACATAATCACATAACATTAGCCTGGGTTGGGGAACTAGAAAGCCTAACTAAATGACGGATTATTACTTAGCTTTAATTAGTTTCAACATCCGTCTGGAGAATTGTAATTTTTTCTTCACTCTCTCGAAGATCGTTAGAGAAAGAGTCGAGTTATCGGAAGTGAGTGACTCATTTATAGCTCTCTCGGTGGTCACTCGGCGATAACTGTAACCAGGCTGTCCCCAAGGGGGGGGAGGCGATAATACGCAAATGTATTTGATGAGGTTTTGTTATTGTTTTCCTTTAGGAACTAAGCCAGCAAGGTCCAATAATAATACAAAATATTCCATACTATATACTCGAACTCCCTAGCCCCAATCGTAAAATATTCCTTACCATTCGCTCTGAATCCCCTCGAGCATTGCGCTTTTATGTTCTCCCTGACCTTGGGCCGCCGCACCACCATTGGGAAGGACTTGACCTATAGCCAGAGCCACCCGGCGCACAAGACACGGAGTACCGTGGCAAACACCCCCTCATATTATGCAATTCGATTACCGAATGCCAATGCCGCGAATAACACTAATAACGCTCTCTAATCCTTTGCAGTTGTCCTTATCGGTGACTCGGGTGTTGGTAAAAGTAATTTACTCTCACGTTTCACGCGCAATGAATTCAATTTGGAGTCCAAGTCAACAATTGGCGTGGAGTTTGCAACGCGCAGCATAGAGGTGAGTAAAATAAGGGGGCTGCCACCACCAGTGGGTGGTTGGGAGAAGGACCTCCAACACCCAACCACCCACCAAGTTTGTTTGCGTGTGGGACATACACAGTGATGGCATCTATCGTAAATATACTGGGGGAGCTATTCATGATTTAAGATTCAATTTCTGAAAGTGTCTAGAGAGTTCTAATAAATTAAGTATCCTATTGGCTTTTATTCAAAATTTATGAGCCATTTTCCAAGCTAAAATGTAGGTTAGCTTATGAAGAAACTTTAATAAAAAAGTACTTTTAATTGAAAAATTTAGTTTAGCTATTAATGTTTTATATAAGAGGCCATCATCACTGTCCCTCGTTTATTTATTGATTTTGTGGGCGAAGCACCACAGCACTTGGTGAAGAATATCTTGGCGAAATTGCCAATTACTGTCACTATTCAACTTTCTCATTCATCTGCTTTCTCCCCCCAACCACATCCAGGTCGATGGAAAAACAATTAAAGCGCAAATCTGGGATACGGCCGGACAGGAGCGCTACCGCGCCATCACCTCTGCCTATTATCGCGGCGCCGTGGGTGCCCTGCTCGTCTACGACATCGCCAAGCATCTGACGTACGAGAATGTGGAACGATGGCTGCGGGAGCTGCGCGACCATGCCGACCAGAATATTGTCATCATGCTGGTGGGCAACAAGTCCGATTTGCGGCACTTGCGTTCCGTGCCCACGGATGAGGCGAAACTGTTTGCCGAGCGCAACGGCTTGAGTTTCATAGAAACCTCGGCCCTCGACTCTACGAACGTTGAAACGGCATTCCAAAACATACTCACAGGTGAGATAATCCTTTAATGATACTAACTGAAGCTTTATTGAATAATCCCTTCTTTTTTTTTAGAAATCTATCGCATCGTTTCGCAGAAACAGATCAGAGATCCGCCGGAAGGCGATGTCATTCGTCCGTCGAACGTGGAGCCCATCGACGTTAAGCCGACTGTTACAGCCGATGTGCGCAAGCAGTGCTGTCAGTGACCGCCCCAAGCAAATATCGCTACCCCCCCGCAACCGCCAGAACAGCAACATAAGCAGAAGCAGCAACAACAATTACAACTACAACAACAACAACAACAACACCAACAACAAAATGATCAGAAGCATAAGAAGATTTTGTGTTTTTCAATCACAGCCATTAGCAAGTTTTCATAAAAAATTAAAAATTAAAAATCAATTCACCACCAGAAGCAAACGTCAGCAAAAAAATCGAAAAATACATCCGGCTGTAGTTAACTGCGGTTTAAACTGAAGTTTTATATATATACAGATTTAAAAGAAAATATATATCGCATAAAACGATCGCCGTGATCGTCGATGTCTGCAAACAACAAAAAAAAGGGAATGAATATATAAGCAAAACTAAACACTCCAAATTCAGTTTAAGCTGTAGAACTATAATTTATATAAATATACATATATGCTAATATTAAAAATATTAATATTATTAATTTTTGCAACATAAATACATAGTTCTAATTTTTCGACAAAACGACAACCGGAAATCTTCGATTATGATGCAAAATCCATTACAAAACTACTGCAGCTCCTTGTCAAGCAACTTGCGGACTTTCTTGTTCAGTTTTCTTCACTTTTCACTTCAGTTAATTTAAATAAATCAATTGGCCTCAACGTAAATGAAATTTTTCAAAACTAGCTGATAATACAAATCAAACAAAAACAAAACAGTTGTAAAACTTTAAATGCATAAATGAAACGAAATAACATCATTTGTGTTTGCTATGTTAAGTGTGATTAAATAAATATAATTTAAATAAAATGAAACTCGATGTGTGTTGGAAATAAATCTTTTTACTAAAAAGTTGCAAACATTTTTCTAAAAGTTTAAAATATATAATTTCTAACGGAATGTTTAGCTATAAAACGGCTAGACAGGCAACACTACGTTATGCTATCTTGAAGAGCTGCGGTCACTCTAATTTTAACACGTGCGGTTGGAAATAGAAGGAAAACATGGGACGCGGTAAAAAGAAGGTGCATCCAAAAACACGTACTGCTGCTTTTAAAGCCAGTGAACCGAGCGAAATAGTAGAGGCACCCCATTCATTCGTTATCCACCGAGGACTGACATGCCCGTACATCACAGACCTCACCCTCGACTTTCGGCGCATCATGGAGCCGTTCACGGCGACCAATCTGCGCGAGAAACGGATGAACCGCATCAAGGACTTTGTCAGTCTGAGCAGCTTCTTCCACGTTTCACACATGGGAATCTTCAACAAGGCATCCACGCAGCTGTCCTTTAAAGTGGTCCGACTTCCGCGAGGTCCTTCATTGACGTTTAAGGTTTGTTTTTGGTGATGATTGTGGATGCCATCACTTATTTTGTTATTTGTGCGACAGGTCCATCAGTTCACGTTAGCCAGGGATGTGATTTCCCTAAGCAAAAGGCAGATGATCGACCCCGATCACTTCAAACATGCTCCCCTCGTGATCATGAACAATTTCAGTGGCGACGGAAAGCATTTGAAGTTGATGGCCACCACCTTTCAGAATATGTTTCCATCGATCAACCTAGCGCAGGTCAATATCGGTACTATCCGGCGGTGCGTGCTGTTTTCCTACAACCCGGACACGAAGCTAGTCGAGATGCGTCATTATTCGGTGCAGGTGGTACCTGTGGGCCTGAAACGTTCCGTCCAAAAGATCCTCAAGGGCACTGTCCCTAACTTGGGAAAGTGCAACGAAGTTGTGGATTTTGTTACCAAGTAAGGATCTTCTTTAGACTTTTTGGAATTCGATTTCCTTATATTTTCCTTCTTTAGAGATGGATATGCATCCGAATCCGAGGCAGAGGATGACGAGCAGTCGCATGTGGTATTGGCACAAACTTTGAAGAGCAAAGGAAACTTGGAGGACAACAAGAGCTCCATCAAGTTGCACGAAATCGGACCCCGTCTAACGATGCAGCTGATTAAAATAGAAGAGGGACTTCTCACTGGCGAAGTACTCTACCACGACCATGTGGTCAAGACCGAAGACGAAAAGGAAACGCTGAGAAAGCTGGTCGAAAAGAAGAAGAAGCTAAAGGAGCAGCGCAAGAAGGAGCAAGCCGAGAATCGGGCTAGGAACTTGAAGCTCAAGAAGGACGAAAAATGGGCCGCCAAAAAGGCGGAGGAAGGGGGCGACAGCGACCCCGAGGATGATGCCGAATACTATAAAGAGGAAGTGGGCGAGGAGCCAGATGAGGGTAAGTATTACAGCCTATCTTGTGGAATAATATAATTAACTAAAAATATTTTATTTTCCGATGATAGAACTTTTCAAAACGGAAGCCAAATCCTCTCGCAAGCGACCCAAACTGCCCGGCGGCATGAAGTTCAAGAATAAACGCGCCAAGCTTGATCCTAAAAACAAGAAGACCAAGACAGACTACCAGAGGAAAAGTAGAAAATCAAAGTAGAGTTTTAAATATATTAACTATTTTATAAACACTTTGCGACAATCTTAATAAGACTTAGCTGAACATGCGTTGTACTACCTCCTTATAGTGGGCATTGCTGTCCTTCCAGCTCGAGGCGATGTTGTCGCGCAGTTTGCTAAACTCCCGCTTGTCCTCGTAGCCAGGGACCCGCTCGATGGTGGCCTGTGCCTTCGCAAACTCCTTGAGATGATAGTAGGCCATGGCACGTCTGTAAATGCTCTTTTCAGTTGGACTCTCGGCGGTCTCCACGAACTGCGTGGCGTAGATGACGTCCTCGTAGCGTTTCTCCTGCAGATAGCAAGCCGCCAGGTTAGTGTGGATCTGGACGAATAGCTCCTCGACTGTGCTCCCGTTTATGCCGTTCGATTTCTTGGTAAGCTTGTCGAACGGCTTGTACGTGATGAGCAACTTGGCAGCCCTTATAAAGTAATCAAATGCAAACTTTGGATAAGCTTTAAACGTGAACACTCCACTTTCCTTGAGGCGTAAGGCCAAATCATAGGTCTCGGCGGCATTCAGCTTGTCCACCTGTGTGTTCTTCACGATCCTGTCCAGCTTCAGCTCAAACTCGATCCGTTCACCGGCTTTTGTGGCAATACTGCAGGCGGCTGTTTCTCCAGGCAGGAACTGTTGCAGTAGAATCTCCAAATAGCAGTCCACTGGTGTCAAGGACGTGCCCATTTCCAGGGAGTGCTGTGCTGGGTAGGTTGAGGATTCATCGCTGGTTAAATAGCTGCTGGCACGATTTCCCAGATTGGCGCATTTCTTGTTAACGCTGAACTGCACTGTGCTGGCAGTTGTTGGCTTTTCCATGTCCCGGAACTGGAGGCTAAGGACCTTCTTGGCCAGGCCGCGGCTCTTGTCCTCCCATTCAGTGCCCACGTACCAATCCATTTCCAATAATAAAGCTGTTGTTCAATTTCAGAAGTTTAACAAAAGCTAATTCATTCGTCAGTGTGGCCATTCCCAGAAAACAAAACCAACTAGAAAATCCCCATAAAAAATACTACACTTTGTTTAAAAAATACCATGACAATAAATTTATTAAAAACAATAATTAAAAAACTTATTTTAAAAAATAATTCACAAAATATATAAAATTCTAAAAGACATTAAAAATTCATCATGCGTTACTAAAAATTTTTTAAATCCCAGCCGTTTCCAATCAATTAAAATAAAAGATTTTAGCATTTATACACAATTTATTATTTCTAGTTTATCTGTACCTATTTCTAAGCCCTTTCGCGCAATTTGCAGTTGCTCAGACATCGTTTAACAAGCTGCTTTCTTTCCACTAACAGTTTTACATAATCCGGAGTATGATTTTCATATTTCAATAAACTTTTAATTTTTTTTTTTTTGTTGTTTTTTTGTAAGTTAATCGTTATGTACATACATTAGTTAACGCGGAAGCAGAGATCCGAAATTAATTGTAATTCGGATCAGGTATATAGCAATTGGAACTTAACTTACAAATAGCAATACATATACATACATATAGTAAAAGTATCCTTGATCACAATCAACGATCGGTGTAAATATATAAATAGATTGATGAAACGGCCTGGAAATTTTCTATATCCTACATACGGTTCAGTATAACTAGATTCTATAGTCATTATATAGATCAATCCAAATTGGTTATATATTGCAATATATTGATTTTGTTTCATCTTTCAGGGGGTATTATCTTTTCTTTTTTTTTTCAATTATGGTTTTACAATATTTATTTAAATTATGTTTATTTTGGGATCTTTATAACTTAATTTACAATTGCCAATAAAATACTAGGCTTAAAAGTACCTTTACAATTAACACAAACATTAGGCATTATTAGGTTTTAGAAATGTGCAATGCGGACAACCAAAAGGATGCTTTGCTCAGACAATTTCAATGAAGCGACTCTAACTAACATTTATGCTAAAAAAACTGAATCTAGCCGCTTTCTAAGGGGGATACCTCAATATTATTCGGTGGCGAAAAACTGCCAAAAAACGCGATGCTTTTTTATTTGAGCTAAAGAAACACTTAATATAATGTCCGATCCGATCGATCGGATGCACAATACAAAGACTGACCTTCGATTGATTTTTTTCAGCGCCTAAGTAACTAGTATATAGTTCATTCTCATTATTTTCTTCATTTTTTATACATGACAAACCTAACAGCCAGTTTTGCAAAAATATTTTCATGTCATTTCTTTCTATACTTCTTTTGCATTTATTAAGTTTCTTTCATAACTTTTAATTAATTCATATTATGCGTATGCTGCGCGGGTGTGTATGAGGTGTGTGTGGGTGGTGGTGGTGTTGGTGTTGGTGTGTGTGGGTGGTGGTGATGGTGTGTGTGGTGTGTGTGTAAAATAGACGCTCAGAGATCGCTGTATCTTGGGTTCAACATGATTTTTTTTTAGACGCTGGCTTTATATCATTCACGCTTTACTCATCATAATCATCAATATTCTCAACATCTATATCGTATTCCAGGTCGTCCAGTTCTGGATCTGTCCCAGAACCGGCACCTGATCCTGGACCGGAGCCCGAATCATCAACATCAATGTGCCTAACGTATCCCCCTAAATCCACCCCAGCATAATCTCTTGCCTGCTCGTCGTCGTACTCCTCATCCTCCTCCTCAAAGTATTCCTCATCCTCATCATCATCATCCTCATCCTCGTCGTCTTCGAACTCTTCTTCGCTGGAGGACAAAAGGTGTAACTCTCGCAGCTGCCGTTGCACAAAATGTTAATGTTCCATCAGGGCCGCTAAAAATCAAACGAGATGATGAACGTTATGCATAATTCACGACATCAACTGGGTGAAAGTTTGTGCTACTCTTACGTGACGGTGTGCGTCCGGTCTTGTTCTCATTGGGTGTGAAATTTAGAAAGTCCCAAATCAAAATTGTATCATCGTGCGAGCTGCTAACGATCTGGAACTCATCGAATTGCAAACGAAAGACGCGACCAGTATGTTCCTGAAAAAAGAGTTCATTCCCCATTCAATTAATCAATGAAAACGAATACTCGACCGCAGATGGATGACTCACCACGAGTGTATTCAGACAGAGGGTATTGGAGGCTGCCCGTGGATCCAGGGCGGCAACCAAGTCCCAGACTTTGATTTTGCCATCATAGGCGCCGCTAACAATGCGTTTCGTGTCGAAACGGATGCAGCGCACCAGCTCCTCGTGACCTTCCAAGACACGTAAACAAGCACCACACTCAATGTCCCAAAGTCTGTAAAGTAGATCAAGTTTTAGGTTCAAAGATACTCTTATTATTGAGCACTGGAGACCTCACCTTATGGAATTATCTGAACTGCCGCTGACTACCAGACGATCTCTGTACTGCAGGCAGGCGATGCCACGCTTGTGGCCGTTCAGAGTCCGTACAAATTCACAGCTCGAGGTGGACCACACCTTGATGGTGCGATCTCCGCTGGCGGACACAATATACTTCTCATCGAAGTCGACAACATTGACGGCGGCTCTGTGGCCAACGAGTACTCGGCGGAGCGTTATCTCGCTGGGCGAGGTCATGTCCCAAACGGCAATCGATCGATCCTTGGAGCAAGTGACCATCATGCCATTGTTGAACCGCAAGTGCAGCACCGCCTCGCAGTGGTGGATGAGCGTGTTGACCATTTCGCCACTATTCACGTCCCATACACGAACTGTAGAGTCGCTGGAGCCGCTAATGATCACCTTGTCGTCGTACTGCAGGCACAGCACCGACCCAGTGTGTCCAATAAGGGTCTGCCGATAAAGAAGAGGTTAACCTGGAGCTTCTCTCCGAATCTGACAACCTACCTTGACGCACTGCAGATCCGTGCGATCCCAGATCTTGATGGTGTTGTCCCTGAGACCGGATACAATTTTTCCATCATCGTACTGTAGACAGTAGACACCCTTTGAGTTCTCCGATCGGCAATTAATCCTCCTCAGCATATGCCGACCAGTTCTCCAGTTGTTCTCTATACTGTCTATGTCCTGAAAGCCCAGAAAGTAATGAAATTAATTACTAATTGAGTTGGATGGCCTGCTAAGGGAGGGTAAACTCACATTCATTATCTTGGGGAATAGTTCGCGATGGAATGAGTGTGGTCTCTGGGTCTGGCCCGGACGGGGCTTGAAGAGGTATTGCATCCAATTGCGACGCTCGGCCAGGCCGCGCCACAAGGAGTCTGTGCGCACCTTGCGTTCGATGAGCTTCTTCCAGAGCATGCCCTCGGAGATGACGCGCAGCCATTCCTTGCAGACCAGTTCGGCTGATTTGAGCGATTCGGCATCCAAGTATGACAATATGTTTTCCGCAATATGATCCAGGCCCTTGACTGAAAATCACATAGTTATTGGCATGTTATATCATATACGATGTAGTTTCAGGTGCAGCGCACCCATCCCATCCAAGCCCAATGACGCAGTCGTCATAGCCCATCCCAAGAACATCGAATGCATCCACTCGGCGCCCGTCATCAGCAGAACTTGGCAGACAAATAGATGCCCCTAACGGCATTAAAATGCACTTAGCCCACTGAGTAGGAGTGGGAGTGCTAGACTGGCTATATTTGCATGTGTTATGTGCGCACACAAGCTTGTAAGTGGAGTGGGGATGGTGGTACGTGTCTCTACATCTACATCAGCATTGACAGCCTAGACCAGAGGAGTCTGGAGTGCAGGCGCTGCTCCCTGTTGGCTCTGGCTTGGCCAAACACAATTAAAAATGTGCACAAGTCGGAATGACAGGCGGTTGGTTCGTCGATGATTTGGCGCTCAAGTTGTTTGTAACGGTCTTGAGAGTGCCTATCCGGCTGGTATTCCAACCACTGTCTGTCTGTTTAGTCCCCTCGGTTAGCTGCCTTTGAAGTGCATTACTTTGTAAATGGAGGAGACAATGTTGCCTACTTTTCACGCTTTTTTTTTCCATCTTAGTAGTACTTCCCAGCTCGAGAAAAATAAATAAACGAGGAGGACGAACCTAAAGAAGTTCCAGCTCTCTGGTCAATATTATTCTTGCTAGTAGTATGAATAATTTATAATCTTTATATATACCCTTTCTACTAGCTTCTATAAAGACCATTGAAATGAGAATGCCTTCTGTGAAGGTTAATATTGCACGCACGGCTCTGACTCACCGATATGCATTGATAAGCCATGTGATTGCTGATTCACATAATCCCCATTGGCACTTCCCTGCCTAGGCCCTTTTGAACACTTCAATCCAATCATCACCAGAACTTCCCAAATCAAAGAAAAATCGATTCATACAATTCCTTATAAATAATATAAAGTGTTTGGACTGGCTTTCGCTTCGTTTTGGTTTGTTTTTGTTCCGGTGATGGAGCTCGTTTAATGGAAGCAACGACCTTTCAGTCAACAACCAACAACCAGTCAGTTGCTCAGCCCCTGTACCTTCCACATCCCACCCACTGGGCCGGTCTCCTCTCTCCTCCTCTGGCCTGGCATAAGCATAAGCCCAGCCAGCAACAGTCGGGGTCTACCTTTCATGTTGTTTCACCTTTGTACCTGCCATTTGTTATTGTTTTCCGCCATTGCGTGCCAACAGATTAAAACTCTGGCTTCTGGGTTCTCGGTTCTATTCGCGGCCCCAAAAGGAGTTTTATTTTTTGGTTTGATTTATTTTTGGAACTGGGAAGTACTTTTTTGTTTCCTGGCAGCTGTTATCGGTCGGGGTGGGCTTATCAAAGCTTTGAGAAAGTACTGAGGTCAGTACTCCCCTTAACACCTGCCACAATCTGCTACATCTTTTCTACCAGAGTACTATCTCTATTAACACTTATTACTCATCAACCTAACTATCTGCTTAAAAGGTTTCCTAGAAGACATTTCAATTAAACCTCTAGAAAGGCAATTATCTGATGGTAGTCGTCTGGTCTAGTCGTCTTTTAAGAAACTCACTTGGCAGAAGTGTGATAAAGTCGCGCTGCAGCATCGGCTTGAGATAGGCATTGATCTGGCCATGTTGATAGTGACACATCCGCGACAGCAACTGCTCCACAAAGTCCACCTGTCCGGCCTCGCTCCACTGGGTAAAGTACTGGAAACAGAGATCCCGCTCTGTCTGGTATGTGGGCGAGGAGTCTTTCTTGCGCACCGGATCATACAGCATGGTGGTTGTGAACTATAAAAAGAAATGTTTAAAGAAATTAATTAAAATATGCTGCATAGAGGAAGAGGTATATGATATGATATGGATGTCAAGGGGCATATGCTCGTAAAGAGGGAAAAAGTAGGTAGGTAGGTAGGATTGTGCAACTTTCAGGCACAAGTAGTGGAGTGACGACCCAAACTTGGGGCTTACAATTAGGCAATTAGTCGAGCTCCAAGCTCTGACTCTCTTTTCGTCATTTTCTCGCTATCTCGTTTTGTTTTTTGTTTTTATTCATTCGCGAAAGAGTTGGCAAAGCAGAATCGAGCAAAACCACATAGCTGGGAGTATGAGCTGGGGGCGGTCGGTAAATCATTCACACGGAATGTTTATTAATAATTGTATTAATGTTTATTTGCTATTCGATATAAATATCAGAGCCCATTCAGGGAGTCTATATCCCAATAAGAACCCACACAATACGTCATCTAATATTTATTTATTTTTTTTTTCAATAAACAGCTGAGATTTGTATGAATGATTTGAGTAATTAAGTTAACTGCAATGTCAGTGATACGAAAACCTTGCGTAGAGTATTTCAAAGTTTAGCCTTAATTTAATTGAAACAATATATAGTTTAGTTGTTAGCCTTTAGCAGAATACTACCAGTTGATATGTTATGTTAGCCCCGACTAAAATGGGTTTATTGCAAGGATGCTATCTACAGTAGTAATTCCAAGAAAAAGACTACCATTAACCATATTCCACCTTGAAAAAAATAAAAAAAAAACAGAGATGACTCAAGCAAAACTTTATTGCTAAACCCACAAAAAAATGAAGAAAAAAAAGAAACAATTTTCGGTACACCGCATATCATATTTAACAAAATCCATACAATAAAATATATATATATAACAAACTGTTGTACTACAAAGCTTTGTTATTAATTGTGTAAACAATCCCGAAGGCTAATTAACCCCTCAAATGTTTGATGATTTTTTAAAAAAATATGATTTTAATCCTAAACAAGGTCAAGTGGTCTTATCTCATCAATAAATGGATATTAAAAAATCTATAAATTAAATAAATATTTATAGACCATCGAAGGGTTAAGGAAATTGGCCAAGAAGAGAGTCAAGAGAAGAGGTCAGGGGTCGGAGAATAGAGATCAAGATGATGATGATAAATAATTAGGCTAAAGCCAGTGTCCCAAAAGTTTAAGGTTAGCAAAATAGGAAAATGGAAAAAGAAATGCGACAATTTCTGAGTTTAATAGAGTGCACGAGTGCAAAATCTGTAGTATATACGAAAATAAAGCACACGAACACTATCTCGCAGTGCCATGTGTGTGTGTGTGTGTGTGTCGGTGTGTCTGTGTGAAGACGACACCTTGGGCCATTATGTACATAAATAGGTATTTCGAGAGCCTTGCATATAGCCAGAAATTGGCGCTTACTTAACCTGGCCAATTTGCCACTTGGAATACCTACCGCTTGGGCATTGGAGTTGGTTTCGTCCATTATTTTGTCAGTCTCCATTTTCATCATTGTGATGTGTGTTGCTGTGTTTGTTGAATTTGGCTGTTGGTTTGTTTCTCTTCTTTTTCTGCTCTCTCTTCTGCCACCACACACACACTCGCGTACGCCGCTGCACACGTACGTGTCTTTTGCTGGCGCTTACTTTATTTACTATTTTATTTTATCCACACACAACACCACGGTATTCAAATTTACGTGTAATATTATTAACTTTTAATCTTGTGAAAAAATTACTATTCTGTCTCGTTGCAGTATGACCGCAGGCGGGATGCGCAAAATGGCAGCGCTGAGGGAAACTCAACACGGCGCAAAGTCCCCTCGCTTTTTATCTTTCGTATTTTAAGCAAGTCATTATTTTCTGTTGACCTAAGCCCGTATTTGTTTCGGTCCGCGCTTGTCACGTAAACTGCACCAACTTTATTTAGACGAACAATTTTGAGGAGATTGTACTAATTTAAGCTCCAAGATAGCTCCAATATTTTAGCTGTCCAGCAAGCATATGGTCTCACAAAAAATATCAGTGTTGGAAAGTTTCGGCTGACAAATAGGATCTCCACAAAATCTAGTTTTCGGTTTTAAATTTACTATCTTAGATTTAGGCTGCTACATGTATTTTATAATATACTTTTAACTATTGAATATAAATTTATTTTATTTTATATATTAACTTTTTATTATTTTATTTAAATCTTATAACGGAGTCTATTGTTTCTTATTTTCTTCTCTAAATTTCATACTCTTATTAATCTTATTTTTTTTTTTTAAATAAATTGATATATTTGCTTTAATTTGGTATTAAAAGTTTTCCCAAAAATGTAATAATTAAAAACTTTGAAATTCGGCAACTCTAATCACCAGCTGTTTCGGCCTCGATCAGCCGCTCTTTTGTGTTTTATTTTGTGTTGTTACTTAATTGATAAACTTTTTGAGGGGAGCGGCGCTCTCCTCCAGATAACCTCTCAGCACTTTAAATTAATAAACATAGCACAAGTAAGTTCGGGGTCCAGCTGTCAAAGCTCGTGCACTCACTTTCATTCGACCGCAGCTGGTGATCAGTGACTTAAAATTAAATTTCTTTTTTAATAATTTCTAGTGGTCCGGGTGTCCAGTGTTTTCAGGATGGCAGCTTGCCTTACTCAAACCAACGCCAACTTTCTATGCGACGGAAAGAAAATAGTCGGAGTGGCTCTCAACTATATGTAATTGGCAATAGAACCCCCCTATCTTTATAACTGATAACAGAAGATCTTATCTACAACAGGGATGTGGTCAAGGCCAGGAACGTTCCGGTACCCAAGGAGCCGCTTGTCTTCCTAAAACCCACTTCGTCTTACCTAAAGGAAGGCCAACCTATTATCGTGAGCATGTTTTTGTTATGATCATTAGCAAATAAATAAACTTACTGATAAGGTTACTAATCTTTCAGCTCCCCAAAGTCTTTTCCAAGGTGGCCTACGAAGTAGAACTGGGCGTGATAATTGGAAAGCCCTGCAAAAATGTGTCCAAGGCTAGGGCTATGGACTATGTGGCAGGCTACTGTCTAGCTTTGGATCTGACAGCACAATGCCATTTGGTAACAGAAACTATATATTTTTAATTACGCGAATTACAAGAGTAATCTTTTCAGGGCAATGCTCGAGCAGCTGGACACCCATGGACATTAGGCAAGGGGTTCGATACCTCCACCCCTGTCTCCGAGTTTATACCCCTAAAGGAAGTAAAGGACCCCCATAATTTAAGTTTGTGGCTCACCGTAAACGGCGTGGAAAAGCAAAAGGGATGCACCGCAGACTTAATATTTAAGGTGCCGGATATCATTTCGCACGTGTCCCAGTACATGACCCTGGAGCCCAACGATCTAATCTTGACAGGCACTCCTAACGGCTCGGATGCCTTTAAGGCAGGCGATGTGATTGAGTGTGGTCTGGGGGATCTTGCCACTCTAAAATTCGACGTGTGTTCAGAATAAAACCTTGAACTACTTGTATATATATTGGACTTTTATTGTAACGACCTCTAGAAATGATTATTTTTTGCGTTCGACATCGTCGCAATCCATTAAATATTTCCGCATAGCTGCACAGTCGTCCGTATTTTTCCATTTGGTGGAGGGACAGTTGAGATACACTTGTTCCATGATGCAGGCCAGCAACGTAGCCGGGTAAAAGTTGCACTCACCTTTTGTGTGCATCCACTCGGATTGCTGAACGCGTTGTTGAGCTGTGGAATTGTATATATTAAATATTATTTTTTTCCTATTAGCTTTACCCACCATAATTCGCACATTGTGCCACACTTTTAACCATTAGTTTGGATGTGGCAGGATCGTTTTTGTAGCGCAGCTGATAGTTCTTTTGTAAAGCAGTAACATTGACGGTGCCATTGTTTGCTAAAAATCCATTGGCCTTAAAGGAACATTCCGCTATGCACTGGAATAAACATATTTTTCTTAACAATAACTTTTAAAAACCTTTTTAAACTTACCGCGTTTAGAGCTACTTTATCCGATCTGAGATTTGTAGCACCGGCATTATTGGACGTTGAGTTTTGGTTTAATAAGAACTTTCGGCATGTCTTAATCGTCTTGTCATTTTTTTGGACATCACAACATGAACTCATCTAGCAAAAAATCATTTAATATCAATAGATAATTATATATTAAACTACAAACTAACGAATTTTGGTTGCTTGGCATGGTCACAATTAGTATAATTAAAGGACAATACACTATTAAATATATGAAATATCACGATGAAAAACAGAAAAGCCCGATGATACATGGTTTCAGTTTCAAAAGAATTAATAAACTGATGTTCAAAGTGAAAAATTTACTACTTTTATTAAATTTATTTTAATGTCTGTCTATTAAGAAGTTAATGTTGCATAAATTGTTACTATAGTACATAATAATCATGAGGAATTGGTTCGATGTTATTAAAAATATCTATTTATAAAACATGAATGCGCTAAGATTTACCAATGCTTATAAATAATTTAAATTTAAATTTTTAACTTTTAAAACCACAGTTTATAACGGTTTCTTTGGTATTGCGAAGTTTTTAATATATGGTCACACTAGCACGAGGAACACCAAATCATTGAAATTACCCTAATCGTGGGTATTTCAACTATAAACTATTGTCATGGACACAGATCTCTACCAGGGACACTCTATTTTCCGGGATCAACCATCCTTTAAGTTTTATAACAAATCTTTTGAGGATAAAAACGATTCATTTTTCGTATTCCTAAACGAGGTAGACCCGGTGGTGCTTCGAGAGGAACTAGAAGGACCTTCTAGAATCTTCACATCCTTTGCAACTAACTTGGCTTTAAAGGATCCGCGTACCAAGGAAATTCCTCAGAAAGTGGTGTACGATCATACAAGTACAAAACTCGGATACGAGTTCTATAATCCCCAACAGCGTTACTCCGACTTGACACCGGACCAACAGGCGGCCTGTGTTCGGGCGCTCCTTTCACTGCAGCGAGGGGAACCCACCACGGATGATGATTTTGAGAAATGGAACGCCACGGAGGGGAAACGCTGCACCGAGCGCCAGCAAGTCCAGAAGCACTTTCACGATTATGAACTTTCCAAAAGGGAAGTCATTTATGTGCCAATGAAACGACTGGTCACTGCCTACAGGAAGTGGTATGATAAAAAGGTTGATGCTATTTTAAAAAATTATCCTGATAAATCATATACAACATTTTCCGGACTGCCACAACTTTCTCAGTGCAAGAGCCTCAACGGCGAAACTGCCAGCATAGAGGAAATAGAGCTGGAGCGTGTTAAAGGTCGGGTGAGGCTGTGGCCAGAAGTTAAAATTAAAGAGGAAGTGTTTCGGACACTTAATGTGCGCCTGGATCGGTATTCGGGCACTAAAACTGAAGATTTTCGTAATCTTTTGAAGGAAGATGAAAAAAAGACTGAGCTGCAAGCTAGAAACATATTTGTTTTGCCCTTGGAGACGTTGCTAATGCTCTTGACCGGCAGTTCTTACGTGGATTTGCCTACGGAAATGTTCTTTGACATAAAGGAATCATCTTACAGTGGACACAAATGCGTGGAGTTTCAGAATCCCTTTCCTGCCCGCAACTGTGGCTGGCATACAAACAACTTGGTTCTAAATCAGGCTTTCGAAGCTTACTCATCGCAGCCAGGAGAAGCGAAGTGGTTGGATTACAAATCAAAAGGCATTAGAAACGATGTGCCATACCCACTTATAAGCGAAACATCCTCGCTCAACCTTAATATGAGCTATGACCCACCATTGATTGATGAAGATTCATCTGGAATTCCAGATAGACATAGCAATGCCGCCCTTGTAAGTTGGATCCTGAAGTGTCAAGATCAGAATTTCCAAATGTTTAGCACCTTATCCATACCAGCAGTAAGGGATGGAGATGGAAAAAAGTTTCTCGGCTGCCACTTCATTAAACTGGAGAACAAGCCAGACTGTGGCTGCGAATTCATGACCAAATATGAGCTCCTCAAAGCCTGGTTGCAAATCAAACTCTTGCAGGCCGAGGTGGGCCATTGCACACGGGTATCCTTGCAAGACTTTAGTCCGGTTTTAGAGGAGAACCTTACCTTGGAATATGTGGAACAACAGCTGTCCGATTACTACAATACTAGCATGCCGCAATTACTTTCCAATCTCTTCGAGTTTCTCAAAATATTTCACACCGTGCCAGTGGGAGAGTACATGCTGCGTTATTCTCCCAAATACAAGGATAGGTTGCTGCTTTGTACCAGCACCAAGGAGGCTACGCCACAGTCCTTTCAGTTGCATCAAGTTTTAAGGGAAATCGTCCCCAGCGATCAAAACTTTTTAGCCCAAAGCAGTTATCTTCCCATTTCGGCCAGGCTCTGTGGTCGAATGCACAAGGAATTGCAATTGGTGCCCTGCTCATTTCCTTCCAAACCTAAGGGGAAGTTTGTGAAACGAAAAGATCTCCCAATCGTACTCAAGAAAGATCCTCCCCGAATAATACCTAAAAAGTCTCCTAAGAAACGCCACCAAAACAAAACCAAACAGAAGGCTCGAGCGAAAGCCCGAAAGAAGGAAGCCATGGAGGCTATAATAATGGATAATAAGGAGTTGGATAAGATTATGGTCCTGTGAGAGAGAAGTCCCGACTATGCACCGTTTTTAGTACAAAAGCCAAATTTTCTTAAAAAAGAGAAAGTAAATTGTAAAATATAAATTAAACTATTTGGATAAAAACAAATATTAAGTAACTTTTTACCTAAAAACAAAACCTTTAATTTAAATTTAAATTCTCCAAATTAGTTTCCACTTCCGTCACCAGCTCATCCTCATTTACTTTTAGGGCTGGAAACCGTGTCCAAAAGTCGGAATCTTCCTTTTGAGGCAGAGTTTCCTGGGGAAAAGTGTGCAGGGATAGGTCGTTGAATACATTGCGGTGCTCGTAGTCATCATCGAGGGCAGTTTCTGTGCAGAATTCAACTATTTGGGTTATATGATCCTTTTGATTTCTTCGCGCCATCGTAAGCATTTCAAAGCTGTTTGAGATAAGGAGCACATTGGGCAACCTTTTTCGCTGCCAGTTGCTCCACAATATATTGTGCATTAGGGCGTACGGGCAATGGGGCAAGTAATACAGAGTGGGCACAGTGGCCTCATGCTTTCCTGCGCAGTCCTCACTCATCATCCGGCCATTGAACATGCGGATAAGCTCTGTCTCGCTGTCCCGGAATACGGGGTCAAAATAAAGAGCCTCTTCGATCTTGTGGTGCTGCTGCAGGCCTAGAATAAAAGCTGCCTGGTGGAGAGCTTGGTGAGTTCGGGTGAAGGGGCCCAGACCCAGGCATACTATTCGTTCCAGCGGGGCTTTAAGGGTATCCAATTGCTGCTGTAGCGTTTCCATGGCTACCAAAAAGTAGTCGCTTTGGCGCATTTCCTCGCAAAGACGCTCCAATCGCCTAAATAATGTTTTTTTATTTATCAATGGGGAGATCTAAACACTTTGAAAACTTACGGTTGAAACTTCTCCACGTTAACATCGGGACAATCGTTCAAATAATCGCTCTCAGACTTTCGGTGGTCACGCCGCCTCAGACACTTCCTGGCCATCCATTTTTTGCGCGTAACCACCTGAAAATCGTCGCCAGAACTCGACATTCTAAAAGGTAAATAAACACTTGCTCCTCTACGTCTTCTCTTTCCCGTAGAGATGGCAAAATGAGCTAATTATAGCTATTTTTGGCTATGTTGAAGCTTCTCAACACTGGAAAACTATCGATATCATGTTACGATTAATATTTGACTTATTTATTTATTTTTGTTTACCATGAACGATCCAAATAAGAAAATCAGCGTGAATTTGTCCTCGCTACTCAGCTTGAAAGCAGAACTACTAAGGAAGCAGCATGAAGTTAAGCTGGCCAAGGCGACCAAGGTGACTGCCAGCGAATTTCGGCCCATAAAGATGACTACCGAAAAGGAAAAGCTAAAGTCCAAGAATCCTGACTACAAAAAGATTGGCACCAGCGAAGACGGATCCAAGGTGTACGAGGCGGAAGACACCCTTGAGTTGGAAAGGTCGAGGCGCGTTTTGGAGGCCAAGAGCAAGTACTACGAAAGGATGAGTCGTAGCGGCGGCAGTCTGAACTCCGATGACCACTGCCTGGTCATGTTCAATCGCAAGAAGCAGGAGGAAGGCCAGGAGGTCCGAAGCCAAAGGTATAGTCCCCATCGAACACCAAGCAGAAGTAGCAGTGAAGATGAGGGCGACGATGACGACGAAGTGGAGTACATCGATTGCCTGGGACGCACAAGGAAATGCCAACGTAAAGACTTGGCAGAGGCGAAGAGACGCGATGAAGAACTGGGCAGAACCATGCCACAGCGCCTGGACCAGAGCAAGGCCAATTGGATGATCGACACCCAAGGCACTAAAAATGACGAGGATAAGGATGAGGAGCCTAGTTACGGTCCACCGGCACCGGAAAGCATTTGCAGCGATGCCGTATCCACAATGACCAAGCATGATGAACAACGCATGAATTGGGAGATCAAGGAGCAGGAGAATTTTGAAAAGCCAGATGTCCACTACCAAGACGTCTTTTTCGATGAAGCGCGTACTCATGGCGTTGGATACTATGCCTTCTCGACGGACGAGGCCGAGCGCAAACAACAGCAAGCAGAGCTGGAAGAGGCGAGGAAGGCCACAGCCGAGGGGCAGAAACGCCGGGATGAAATGCGCGCCAAGAGAGATAGTATTGTGACTGATCGAGTACTAGCAGCCAAAAACAGGATTCGAGCACGTGATGGCCTTCCTCCCATAAGCAAAGAGGAGTTCGAAAAGGAGCAGTTACTTAAGAAGCAGGAGGAGATGGCCGAAAAGGATCGGGAGCGGAAAGAACGAGAGAAGCAAGAGGCCCTGGATCAAGAAAAGGCAAAGCAAGAGGCAGAACTGGATGAGCTGCGCAAGGAGCATGTACGCGATTGGGACCGTAATAAGCCAGGCGTAGCCACGCGTTCAAAATCCGAATCCTCCGAGGAGGAATGGAAATACAAAGCAGAAAGGTTTCCCCTGTCTCAGGAAGCATGGAACGAGAAGCAACGCGCCCTGCGTCAGGAGGAATTTGCTCCGATGTCCGAACCAAAGCGTACCAATTTCTCCAGTATGCCACCACCACCGGCGTGGGTAAGGGGCGAGACTCAAGAGTTCCGCAACTTCCACACCAGCAAACAAGAAAGATCATTCCAACGACGAAATTATAATGGTTCCAGCGAAGAGATGAATGATGATGAGCCCAGCACTTCATCTCGCCAAATGGGGGCTGCTATCCCACCACCTGCCGGTCTGAATGATAATGCTTCTTTGCCACCAGCAGCCAAGCGGCCAAAGTCTCAAGCGGAACTGGAGCGATCCATCGAAGCTGGTCTGAAATTCCTGCGCGAAAATTGCGACAAAGGTGCGCTTGGCAACAAGGCCACCTGGACCGCAAAGGCTGACTACTAGTTTAGTAATTGACTCAATTTTCTTTGTTAATAGTTTATTGCTTCGTAAAAAGAATACTTTAGAAAAACACAATACACAATACACGCGACCTAGACCACTGTTCTATTGTCTGGATTCTTTGAGCTAAGGCCAACAAATAAACTGTTCAGTTGGCAAAGTCTAAAACAGAAGATGCAGTTCCACAGTTCCTGATCCTGCCCCTCCCCCACATCCCTCAATCCGTAATAATTATGGTACTTGTTTAATGAGACATGTTACTTTAAATCAGAGGTCGGCACTGCCCTATCTCGGGGGCATAGGAAATTTCTCTGCCCGAGCTCTGCCACACACACACAGTATAAATGTGTGAAACGTCATGCTCACAGCCTACTTTCTGCTATTCGTTACTAACACTAATGCGTTTAAATCATATCAATGTATTGGGGTGCCGACCTCTGCTTTAAATTAAAGTAAAATCGCTGTTGAATTCGGTTTAAAAATAAATTCGAACGGGAAGAGTGTGGAAATATAAACAATAAAGTAAATTAAATATATTGTTAACTAGTCTAGGTATAATGGTATCCTCTTTCTACCCTGTCCATCTTGGAAACTGTCTGCATGAAAATAATCGTATTAGTAACGTTGGCACCTAATCTTACAAAGTCTTGCTAAGCTACTGGTAATATTCACTAACTTGCATATAACTATGTGTTATGTTATGTGCTTCTGAGCTGGTAGATTATTGGTAATTGGTGTTAGATCTATTATGATTCATTCCTGGCCTAAAGCATGCCCCGATCCACCATGTCGATGACAATTTCTGACATTTTTTGGCGGCACAAGTCATTTGGGGGAAAATTGAGAGTGGGTGCTCCCACATCCTCTTCGTAATCTTTTTTGCCTTGCAAGTACATGTCGGGAGCATCCTCCGAGGAGCCAGTGCTAATGGGAATAATATCCAAGGCCAATCCAAGCGCAAATCGCCCATAGGATTTAAGTTCGTCGGCAAACCTTAAAAATTAAACCTTAAATATTGATAAAAATTAAGAATTAGGTTTCCACTTACAGATCTTGAAGCTTCTCTAATGTGTCACAATGCTCGGGCAGAGTCGTGCACATGATTTCAAGCCACCGAAATAGCTCCTCTGTATACGTCTTCAGTAGCGTCTGGAGATTGGCATCCCTCATCTCCTTTGTGGTACAACAATACAGCAGATTCGCTATGTCCAGGGCAATCGAGCTGTAGCGTATCAGTTGAAAGTCGATGAGAGCCACTTCGAGAACCTGCTGCGAGTCCTCCGGATTATAGTGGTAGAGAAAGTTATTCACCCAACAATCCCCGTGGCAAATGGCTGAGAGTGGTGACTCGGCACTGGCCATCTGAACCATTCGTCCAAAGAAGGAGGAACTCTCGGCGAAGTTTCTAATGGCCGCGACATATTTGGAATCGGCGGGCAGAACATCCGACACCATTTGAATGGCATTCTTCGTAAGGTGTTCATAGTAGTTTCTGTACCAGCTGGTGTTCGCCGTGCAGAAGATGCCTTCGCTAATGAGGCTGCATAGCTTTCGAAACTCCAGCGGGTGTTCGAACTTGTAGGCCAGGCTGAGGGCGTGAAGCTGTGCCACCTGCAATAGGACGGACTGCGTCTCCTCCGTGCTGAGCCCTTTGTGCCGGTCGGTCATCTGAAAGCCACGTTCCCGAAGGTCCTCTAAATTAAGATGATATATAAATTAAATAGAATTATAGAAAGATAATAATTTATATACCCATTATCAAAAGGTCATGTCTGGCTGTGAAACATTTTGGTATTGCATTGAACAGTGGCTCTTCAGGTCCAGCTTTACTAGCCTGGAACTTCAACAACTCTGGCAGGATGGTGGTATAGAACTCCACCTCGTTTCTGCAAATCAAAGAGATTAAGGAAGAAATCCTTTCAAAGGATTTGTATTTATTACCGGAATAGCTTGTCACTCTTGTAGGCTTCCCTCTGAACAACGCTTTCGGGCATAACCTGTAAAATGTGATAATAATTAAATAACTAAAACTGGGTAAACATAAAAAAAATGTTATTACCTTGCAGATAACCTTCTGCTCCCACTTATGATGACTCCCGTCCAGATTCTGCCGCTTTCCGCTCAGATTTATGCGGTACAGGGCGGCTGTATAGTTGTCACCCCGGCCGGAGCCCTGAGCCAGCTAAAGAAAAGAAAAATAATCAGATTTCATAAACGGGAAAATGTAAAAATAAAATCACCTCAAAGGCATCAATTTGCACATCCGGTTCGACGTGTTTAAAAATGTCCTGAAAAGCCTCCAGCGACAGTATTGGTTTTCCCTCCACCGCCGACCCAGCCGCACCATTTGCCGCTCCCATTCCGGCTGTTGTGGCCGCTGCTGATTCGCCAGTGATTCCCATCTTCCGTGGCTTTTTCTGGCGCGATCTGTCTTTCCTGGTTTACCAGCAGGCGACGGAATTCTCCTCGACTGCTCGCCAATTGGTTTCTTCTGCAATTTATGTTAACTTTTCGCCGCTAAAGCTGCACTTTTCAGTTTTTGGTCTTCGCTTTGCACTTTTATTCATCGATTTTGCGCGAACATGTGTTCGGTTCTTCTTCTTATTCGTCCTTTTTTGTGCTTTCATTTCGTCCCTTACGTTATTTAAACCGTCTTACGTTTTTTCGTTACGCTACGTTGTTGGAGATGGGAAAAATTTATATTTTCAAAAATGGCGCCTTTGATAAATAATATATTTTATTTTTGTTGAGGTTTTTGTATAATCGAGAACAATAAATTTATTTATTATCACATGTGGTGTGAACTATATGTCGAAAAGCATGTGCAGATTCGCTTAAAATTATCCTTTCGAAAATAATCATCAAACGACGAATTCAAAAATAAATCTTTGATTTTCTAATTATTCTCTTTATCCATTTTTTATTGTTGTTTATTGTAAAAAAAAATTTAATTAAAAAAAAGTGTTTATCAAAAAACACACCACTTGAAACTGTGGTCATCAATAATATCAATGTGACCAGACCGCTAATCGATTCTACTCTTCATTTGTTCAACTTTGGCACGCACCGTTCGAATTGGGAGAACTTTCTTTTCTCGTTATGTCTTTTTTATGCGGAAAAAACGAAAAATGCACCGTTTTGGGTTGCTACAACAAATTGCGAAAGGAAATGGAAGAAAAATCAAAGAACCAGGTAAATTTTAGTTATACGGACCTTTTAAACAACTACAGAACTACAGACCCTAATGTGAGTTATTTACGCAGAAAAATCTAACATCAAAAAACGTGTTCAAAAAAATGGAAAATGTGGAGTCAATTAAAGTCGAAGCTGGTGTTTCTAAGCGCCAATTCGATGCAACTGGGATAAAAGAGAATGTGGATCCTCGTAACGTGGATGACTTGCAACATCCAGCACAAAAAGTTCCGAAAAAAGAGCAGCTACCACCAACCGGGGAAGGGTTGCAGCCAAACCAAGCTGATTCATCTCATCGTTACGGGATTTCAAACCGACCTCTTACGAAAAAGGAAGAACGACAATATTGGATCAAGCTGTATGAACACATTGCCTGGCATGTGAAAAGGGGCGCTTATCAGTTGGAACCACCAAAGACCAATCAGTGTTCGAAATGCCGTAGGAACTTTCCCAATTTCGAGCATAAATCAAAACATGAGTTGTTCTGCAAGCCGGAGCTTTATAGTCTGGGATGTCCATGTGGTTTTCTCACCAACACGATGCAAAGTTTGGCACCGCACCGGGCAGGTTGTGCCAAAAGCCAAAATATTCGGGATCTTGGAATTTGTCGTTGGATTCCAATCTTGAATCAATCTCAATTTCCATCTCAATCTTGAATCAACGTCAGTGACCAATCTTTTGATCAATTTAAATCTTATGTTATCTACCATTTAAACACTTAACTTTTTTTTTAAATGAAGAGACAGAGCTATACATTAATTTTTATATTAACTTTCCAGAAAATAAAACACCTTTAAATGGAAGACTATTCTTAGATTCTTTATTTTTTAAATTTTACTTACAATGTTATGGAAAGTATTCGGTATCATTTGCTTTTAGAAATAAATCGTGTTATAAAAAATGGTCTAGAATGAACATTTAATGTTATTAGTATTTTAAATGGATATTATGATGATTTAAATAGCAGGTATATGTATCTGTGCTGGGCTTGGGCGTTTCAAACGCCATCACTAATTGAGTATAATTTGACATCCCATCGAACTAAAAGAAAATAATCATGAATAAAGATTTAATAAAGGTATGTTGTATTATTTTCTAAATCTCAAGTATTTTGACTTCTTTTTGCATTTATTTTCAGAGAAATCGGCTCAAAACTCACTTGGAAAATCAAATTTTTAAAATGGGACACTTTGTATCGACATTACTGGCTTTTTGGCAGTTCAGTGCTGTTGGTGATCCGTCACCAGGCCCATGTCCTCCTGTAGCTTCAGGGCCAGGGGCAGTGGTCTCTGGGGCCAAGTGCGTCGGTGGAGTAGGGTCTCCGCACTGGCCAGTTGCCGCTGGAGCGCCTCTATTGTGGGGTAAATGTGCTGCTCCACGAATTCAGCCACCGTGTACTCGTCATAGACTTCCCACAGCAGCTGTTGAGCCTCCCGGGACATTGTTCTTAGCTCCTCGATTAGCATTGGAGTCCTGGATAATGAAGAATACAATTATCGGGATCATTTTTAACTATTTCAGATCCCCACCTGGCAGTCAAGTCCCGGACCCTCAGTGGCGAACTAAAATTGTGCGCACATTGTAATCGGAGAGCCAGGCGCTTTGGTCCTTCGTTTGCTGCAAATAGACCCGAATCTCGGACAGCTTGTCTAACAAGCGCTGGGCGTACTTGAAGATCAGGTGCCCGGGATAGCTGCACACCGCAAACAGCTGGCTGTGATGAGTGTTAGGGTGCAGTTCCAGCCAGGGTCGACCCGAACGCCGGCTATCCGGCTGAAAGACACACTGCAGCACCTTGAGAAGCTCGTTATCCCGGGGATTGGTGCTGAAATAACCCTTGGAGGCTGTGGACAGCGAGGTCATCAGACTGGGAATACCCACGGGCAGGAGTTCGCAGAGCACGCCAAAGTGATCGTACCGCTGCCACCCGGTCAGTGCTATTCCCCGCAAACCCTTGGCGAACCTGCCGCCCTCTTTGGCGATTACCGCCAGCCAGCGGATATTGTTCTCCAGATGATGTTGCAGTGGCGGCACCAACAGGCTCTCTCCGAAAGCACCCTTGAAAGCGGACGCCGTCCAGGCGCTGGGGAATATCTTGGCGTAGGTGTCCCACAACTGAGGCGGTATAAAGCGGTAGATGTCGCTGGCATACACCCACACCATCGGCTCCACATAGCTGCCCACCTGGGAGTGCTGCAGTTCACCGAGGGACATCGATCTCAACTGGTCATCCCAGATAATGACGCCCAGCTGGGGCCAGTGGCGACGGATGAAGTGAGCCACACTCACCACGTGGGAGAGGAACAGTTCGCTGCGGAGTCTCTGTCTGCAGGCGGGACACTCACCCATCCGCTGGACTTCGTCGCAGCCAATGTGGATGTGCGTGAATCGGATGGGTGCGGCGGGTGGAGCTGCTGACGAAGGGGTAGACTGCCCCAGACACTGCAGGTGGAACTCAATCACCTGGGTTAGCATCTGCTCCAACAGCGCCGTACTCTGCAGCTGGCTGGGGCAGATGGACTGTGGACTCTCGGCAAGTTCACGGAGTTGCTCGAATCCGGAGAGCTTTAAAACAAACTCCATGTGCCCAAAAGTCTGGACAAGAGGCATTACGCTTAAGCCATGGACGGCTGCCGTCTCCAGGAAGTCCTGTAAAGGAATTTCTCTCAAAAGTAGAGAATATTTAAGAATAAGTGATCACAAATCTCACCCTTAGCTCGTCCTCCTTGTAAGCATTGCGCGCCGCTAGTGGTTGGAGGACTCCGGAGTAGGGAAACATGTCCTCGTACTCGATAAGCAGACCAGTGGCTCCCAGGGCTCGGAGCATGGGCAGTAGTTGCTTGAGGAAACTAAGCTTTGGCGGAGCGCCCTTGAGGTCCAGATGGACCAGGCGCTCGGTCGGAGCACGTGGCCCATCTGGCCCGATTCCGGCCACTACTGGCACTCCCATGCGCTGGAGCTCGTGTTCGTACTGGGTCTGTCGCTCCGCCGACGTGAGCATTCGATCGTCCTCAGCATTAGCGTTTAGTTCCTCCATTCCGTTTGCGTTCCTTTGGCGCTGCTGTTGCTCCAGGATCTTGAGGCGGTCCTGCTCAAATAGATAGCTTTCGGACAGCGGCAGGGGAGCTTTTTTGGACTGCGTTGGACGAAGAAATCGCACGTTACCCAGCTGCTGAGCAGCTACGTTGTCCTTCAAGCGCTCCGCCCTCAGGACTCGATTGGCCTGGGCAATTAGCTTTTGGATGATGTGAACCTGGTGATAGCCAGTATCCTGCTGCTGTTGCTGCTCAGTGCCGGCGGAGATGGGGGGGATTGGCGGCGGATATGTGGTATCGATTAAAATAGCCCAGGTCCAGAGGCCGAGCAGCACCAAGCCAGACACGACGAGCAGGAAGGAGAGTTTACGGCGCCAAATAAATATCCACAGATTTGAGTGCCTCTGCAAAAAAAAAAGAAACAGACACAGAAACAGAAAGTAGCTATAAGTTTAAATGCACTGAGGATATTTTTAGTGAATTTAAAATACAATATTCTCGGATATAAGAATATGTAAGAAACACATATACACAAGATTTATTCTCTCAGTGCCAGCAAGTGGGAAGTAAGCCACTGCAGTGTTGCAGATGAAAAACTTGCTTCACTTTTCATAAATATTTGAAGATCCAACAAGTAGCCCCCGGAGTTATGCTATATAAATTCGCCCACAACAGCCCCCAGCCGCACGTTACTCATACGCCACCGTGCCCGGCTGGAGCAGAAGCGGCTCATTGAGGTTGAGTTAAGGGCTGTTTCCATTGTTGTAGTTCGCAGTTTTTGTGGTCGGTTCCTTGCGGGTCTTGTCTTTGTGTTTGGCCAACTCATGCTAAAGTTCACCAAGGCGCTGCTTAAAACAGTGGGCCAACCAATATATTTTCTGCCAAGAGTATTTTAAAAAATTTATAAAATGAATCAGCGTTCCACTTCTCCCAAACGACATTTATATAATTCCCAATTTTCATCCGATTTTAAAGCGGATAGTACCGATTTAGATAACAATTATTCAACAATCTGCACAAAACCTGGGGATATTTTTGGATTTTTTCTCAAGTTTTCTTGATGGACCCCGGGGAAGGCTATATCTTTGCCAATTTTCATCCGATCCTTGATCGGAGTACCTTAAACGATTTGTATACCGATTCTCCACAAATCTGCATCAAACCCTGGAGACAAAATTTTTTTTCGATTTTTTGGTAAATTTTCTGGATGGACCCCTTCAAAAATGGGGAAATGCACAGAACGACAATATGACCCACAGCGAACACCATATCTTTGCAAATTATCATCCGATTCTGGATTGGAATACCCTAAACGATTTGTATATTGATTCTCCACCAATCTGCATCAAAGCCTGGCGACAAAATATTTTTTAGATTTTTTGTCAAATTTTCTGGGGGCTCGCCTTCAAAATCGTGAAAAATGTATTGAACGCCAATCAGAATACTCTAAAAGATAACAAATTCTTATATAATTATTATTATAATTATAATTAACGAATGTGAGAATAACCAATTTTTGTATTCATTTCCAATTTTTTGAACTTTTTTGCCACAGTAGCAGTTGTGCATTGAATGGCTGGGGTTACAGTTCCGAGGCATCCGTTTAAACGGCAGCTTATTTAAATGAGTCTCTGGCAGAGCCATAAAGCAAAGGCAGTTCGCAGCTCTTCCGTAGGTGCGGCGCCCGTCGTACAAATCGACTGATAAAAGTCGACCATGGGTTTGGGGCATTATTCAGGGCCTGCAGCAGTGGCACCACAGGAACAGGAACAACATCCACACCGACGCCAAAACCAACAAAACTTGCACTGTTCGACAGGCGATAAATGCAAGTGCTCAAGTGGAAATGTGCAGCTGTCTGTCCCTGTGTCAGTCTGTCTTCATAGAGGAAATTGAATTGAGTTTTCACAGGGGCTTTCATTGGGTTTTAAGAGCGGGTGGCGGATGTTTCCGAGGCGTTTAGTTCGCTTTAGTTCAGCTCGGTTCGTGACTGTCGGGTAAGACAAACGCGAAAAGTTTCAGGTCTTTGTGGACACTTGTTAGATGATTGAGTGGTTTGGTTGAGGTGGATCTATGCCTCAATTGTGACTAGTTCCAAGTTCAATTGAAAAAAAAAGGTTTAATGAGGGGGTGTCACGAATACAAGTGAGTACTGTAAATATTTACTTTGAGAAGGTTTTAAGAAGTGTTTTCTATTAAATTTTTTAAGTTTTAAGTTCGAGTCCTTTTCAGCTAAGCATTTACCAAATAAAATCCCACATTACAGTACTTAAAGTACTTTCTCCTTTCACTCTGATCATCAATTCGACATTTGGTATATGGCCAATTGAAATCCGATTGCTGACCCATTTAGCTTAAATCACATTTGCATTATTGTGTCCCTCCCACTCTTGACTTTTCGTCGTCAAAGTTGTTGCCAAATTTGTGCACTTCATCCATGTTCTCCCCCGGGGCAAATTTGGACACTTGGGTGGAAAGCTTGGGGGTTTGACTATCCATTTTCTATCTCTATATTTTTGGCCAGCCAGTCCGAAACCACAACAAGAGCAAATTTGGAATGGGTGGTCTCGTTTTCGGCCAACCTTTTGTTGGCTCAAGTTCTCGTCGAGAATGCAAAAATAGAAGCCCCAACTAGGCTAACAAAACGCACACCAGACGCTGGCCCAAAGGCAGAGGCGTCCAAACAAAGGGGAGACCTCCCACCTTCATAAATCCTTTGATGTCCTTTGAGCAAAAAAATCACTATCTTTGACATGAATTTTTTAAAAAGTCGAAAAATATTTTGGTGAAAACTCTTAGCATCTTTTATTTTCAGTGTTGAAAAAGCTGTCCTTTAACTTGTTGGCCCCATTACCGACACATCCTGGAAGACACTAGACCAGACCCCAGCAGGACAATGGATCGGTGCTAATTGCATTCGGCTCGTCAGGCAAAACTGCAAACGGTTCGGGGCGACTGTTTTCTAAATTAAATTTAATTGCACCGCACAACCGACAGGCCAATTTGCAGTCACAATTCACAACGGCCATGGCCGTAAGTCTCCACCCCACCTACCACCCACTGGGCAGTCAACCATCCTGCTGTATGGGTGTATACCGCCCCCTTTTTTCGAATTGGGAGCACCGCCAGAAATGGCAACCGAGCTCTGAGCACTCCACTCTGCAGCCCGCTGTGAAGTGTCCGCCCACCAAACAATTTGGCAGTTTGCCACAAAAATAAAAATGAAACTGAAATGTTTTTCAAAAAAACAGAAAACAACAAAAATAACAGCCAAAAACTGAAACATGAAAAATCCTTAAAGCAGCCTCTGACAGGCTGGAAATGCACTCAACCACTCCTTATGAATGGGTGCTACCTGCAATTGCATATAAATAAATTGTATTTCTCTTTAAAGGCCATGAAAAATGCAACCTTCGGCTATTAAATTTAATATTCCTAAAAGCTTTAATTCGGATTATTTTCATGGTGTATAATTTGTAGAAACGAGCGGAGACTGGCCTCATAAATACATAAAATAATTAAATACGAGAATCATTTTAATTGCCCTGTTTTTGTTTAAATTAGTTGTGGTTATTGTTCTCTCGTATATTATGGAAAACTGATTTATGCAATGAGTCTACAATGTATTTATATTCTGTGGGCTTTACTTTAGGGCTTTTCAATGGTGTCGTAAGTGCACCATCGGCTGTTTTCATTCAGAAGCTCTGGCATCGCTTATATTGCATTCCCTGCATTGCATTTTGAGCAGCAGCAGAAAATTTGCTTGCCCCTGCAACACGCCACAGAGGATGATGGAGAGGCAAGCCAAGAGAAAGCTGGCTTAACTGGGCTTTAAGGATAAAGCACCCCGGCCAAGTTGTAGTCCTTTACAAAGAATTTACATGGTGAGAAAAAAAATGCATTTTAAATATAATTTGTAGCTTTTAGTTTAGCAACGGTCTCTTGTATATACGACTGATTTCTGATCTACTAGAATTTGCTTTCAGTGCATAAATTCTGAAGATGCAGTCGAGTCGAGAACGTGGCCATGCAAAATATGGCTCCCCCTTGGAACCTTATCGCTATGAGAGCAATAACCGACAATTAGGCAATTTAACGCCTTATTAACGTCCATTAGCATCCAGCCACTAATGGACGCTGAGCTGATGGCCAAACAAACCCTGGAATACCCATATCCTCGTGTTTTCTCAGCCGGACTCAAGATGCCTCTCGACTGGCCATTCAAATAAATTTCCACCAACTCAGAGTGCAGTCGGAGTAGAGCCCTTCTATTCGAAATATTGGAAATAGTGATGGGGGCCATTTTCCTCCTTGCATACTGATGCGAAATATATCCCTTAAATTGCCTGAAAGGATTGCAAGTGGATTTTTGCATTCAAAGTCATTCAAGAGAATCAAGAGAAATAGCCCAGACAAGTATATAAATAACCGACTTTAGGAGAATGGTGCAGTTGATTGTTCTCCATGAAATATTTAAATTACCTCTGAGGCTGTGAAGAGAAGCTCTTATGGCTTACACCACTTTTAATTGGCCAAAACAAATCAACCGTAAATTAAATGAAACTTTTTTCTATTTTATTTTTTTTATTAAAAGACTGAAAGCTGAAATGAAAATATTATGATGAACTAACTTATGCCACATTGTAAATAGTTTTCTGATTTTCCTTCACTCCCAAATAATATCTTTTCCCCTTAACTAACAAAACTTGAAAAACTTTGAAAGCTTCCAAAATTGTCTGCATTCTGTTTTTTACGCACTGTCCATTCTTAATAAAAAACGTTGTTACCTACTTCATAAGTAGATTATAACTGGAAAAGTTTAAAACGAAAAAAAAAACCAGCCAGGGGGAGAAAAAAGTGAGAAAAAAAATAGGGGAGTTGAGGGAGAATTAGAACACAGAGGCTATAACTATGCAACACTCAGTTTGTCCGCTTGAAAGCGCTAAACAGCAAAAAGCAAAAACTGCACAAACTGTCACAGCAGCTGCTGCAGGACGAGTTCCTGCAAAAAACAGCAGAAACCATAAAAAAGTAGTCACATTTTGAGAGTCTCGACGAAGCGACACCATAAAATCAAATCTCACAAATTCATTTCATTTATTTTCATTTGACTATAAAAAGCCAAGACACGTAAAAAAAAAAAAGATGCTTTCAAAAAAGAAAAAGCATTGAAATTCCTTAAAAAAAAGCAAAGACAGCAAAAGAAAAGGATATGCATATTTTATTTTATTATTATTTGAAAATAATTGAATATCAAAATCAAATAAAGAATATCCTTCCTTTGGGAATGGGTATTCAAATCACAGCAAGGACACGTAGCGACTGACCCGCCTCAAAAGGGACCCTCAACGGCATCGTGTTTATAATTTGAAATGATTTTAGCCTGCATTTTTCTGCCAGCCGG